ATAATGAAGTAAATTAATGGAGTTTATGCTGAAACAGGCTTGCTTGGAAATTTTACCAGTAACTTCATCTTGATTTTGACCCATTTTAATGATTGGAATTAGGAAGTAGTCATAAGGGAAGAGTATTTGTTCCTCTTGGTTAGCTTCTACCATGGGTTTTTGAATCATCAACATCGGAGTTATATATTGAGAGATTTATGGTCAAAAAGAGTACTAGGACCTGTGCACGGCTGGAAAACGACGCGCGCGCAGCGAATGCATGAAAGAAGCTCCGCGATCGCGACTTTCATTGCGCCGCTCGCGACTTTTTCACCTGAAACTCTTCTTGACTCTCATTTGGTGCTTTACGCGGGCTCGCGATTTTGCCACTGCGCGCTCGCGACCTTAGCCCTTCGGGCCTCGTAAGCGCTCCGCGACCTTCTCGCGCGCTCGCGAATTTTGGCTTGGAAACTCACTGTCTCTTCCAATTTCCTGCAACTCTACGCGCTCGCGACTTCTCAAGCGTACGCGCTGCGGACTTGGCCCGATTAACACACAGATCTCACATTTTAGCCATCTCCGCTCATGACTTGTTCAAGTGCGCCTTGCTCAGACACGGGGGCGGGCGACTTGTGGTTTTCATGCACTTTTGGACTTCTTTTTCTATTTGCAATTTGGATTCCTTTGCCTCACTTTGTATGCCGTCCAATCATTTGGACACAAAAATTTACAACATTTAAAATCATGTATCAAAACAACATGCAAAGCATGCAAATGATGATGAAATATGGCTAAACACAACTTGTAATTCGTATTCCATGCAATGGTGAAATGATGTTGAGAGATGGATGTATGAATTGTATGAATTCATGTATTGTATTCTCTTTTCAACTTGTATGTCTTCAATTCATTTTAAAGCAAAAAGAACAACATGAACACATGTATAAACACAAAAATGCAAGCATGCAAATGCGTATGAACACTAACATGTACAAAGTTTCCCGCTTTGCGAGGGCTATCAAGCATTACAGGTTAAGCAGTAAATTTTTCTGAAATGATTGAAGCCAGCTAATTTATATGACACAAAGCTATGCAAAATTATGACACAGTACCTATGGCAATTTGTTTTATCTATTGACATACCAACATTATCTCCATTCGAGGTTAGGTAGAAAACCATGTAGATAAGGCTTATGTCGCGACAGATAGAAATAGCAGATCTAGATACAGTCCATCGCACAAGCTACCACTACCAATCGTTCTCCTCGTGTTTAGTTCTTGAAATATACAATGAGTCGGGCAAAAAGTTAGTTTGCAATTAAGCGCTTTTGTGATTAAGCTAATGGATAACAGATTAATAGGGAATCTAGGGACATGAAGAACAAAGGAGAGTTTAATATTGGAAGTACAGTCAATAGGACCTGTGCTAGCAATCGGTACTAAGGAGCCATCGGCAATGTGAATTTTTTTTGTGCTTTGATACTTAGAATATGTGAGTAAATGTTTTATAGAGCTTGTTGTATGTTTATATATGTTTCTTCATTTTCATTGTGATATTTTCACTGGTTTAATCAAAGTTGCAGAGTTCATACACATAAAGAACATCAGGTAAAGATTAATGATAGTATCATGTTAGATATATGCATTAGAAGTAAGGACATACAGCATAAGAATAGCAAGTAAGACAATGAAAATCGTATACTGTTATGTATTCTTTACATTGTTTATTGATTTTTCATTCATACAACATAATGAAACAGCAGGGTAAGATTCATGATAGTATCATGATAGGTTGTTGATTAAAAAGTTCATGTTAAATGGAGTTATGAGATAATTTTGAACTAAATTATTTATTGTTGTGCATTTAGAAGTATATTCTTCACTATAAATGTTTATTGATTTCATTCACTACAACATAATGCAACAGCAGCGTAAAATCATTGATATATCATGATAGGTGTTGATTAAAAGTTCATGCTAAAAGGAGTTATGAGATAATTTTGAACTAAATTATTTTATACTGTTTGCATTAGAAGTATATTTCTTCACTATAAAGATACATTTTGTTGAAATTTTTAGATGATTCTAAGAAATTATTCAATGATTTTATGAAATGTGCTAGTTTAAAGTTAAGTTGTCATCACATTTTGTTAAGTATGTTTGGATTATGAGCACTACTGAGTTTTATACTCAGCGCCGTCGATTAATCACGCTAGGTTGAAGATCGTGATTGCCTACTTGAAAGACTTGAAGTAGTTACTATCAAAGCAGATAGTGATTAACTTTGGTCATAGTTAGATTGAGATGTGTATAAATTAAAAGAATTAATGGCATGTATTAGATTATATGGCATGTATAATTATTACATTTGTTAGCAGCTTATGTGATTGTAAATATAATTGAAGCATGTAATTATTGTTTGGTGTAAGTATTTGGAGGAAATGATTGAAAATAAGTTACTATTAAGTTTTGGTATGATTAGGTCATGAAAAAACTTTGGTTTTATAGAATTCTGATTGAAATTTAATGCGCCTAGATATTTAAATGCTATTAGGAATTTATACAATTATGAAAAGATATAATAAAGTGTTATTGTGTTAATTGATGATTCTTTTGAGACGTTTGGAAGTTTAGAGTGTGAAATGGGAGTAGTTTATATTCATATTTTTTTTACAGTATGATATCCGCATGACAGAACATAAGTTTCAACCAGATTGTAGCGTCTCGGCTCGGTTCATTCGGTTTAACGGGTGGGACCGGTGAAGCGGATGTTAACAGCGAGCACATTAATTTTCCTCTCGCTCACCACCAAAGGATCCTGTGGTGAGTTTCCAATTACCGCCACCCCGTGATGATGGTGATAGCCTTTCCTGTCCAGTACACTCACAGACAACGATTCAACCGTAAGATCGGGGAATTATGTCGCAACATTTTTAAGTGTTTTAATGTGCACCCGACACTTGTCTTTATACAGATATCACCGATTCCCATCACTTGCGAAACACTATTATTTCCCATTAATAGCTGCCAAAGTTCTCCTGCTTATAAGTGGAAAATTATTCCCTTTTCTGGAACACAGTGCGTATGAAGGCAACCGGAGTCTACTATCCACTCGGTATCTGGCAATCTCCAACATGACAACAATCTGCATCATGAGTGACTAAAGTCACCTCACCATCTTCTCCTGAGGACTGTAGCAGATGTATTTCTGTCATTCTCCTGTCTTCGGTCTGCATTTATCTTGTTTGAGTTTAATACGACAATTTCTTTTTGAGATGACCCTCCCTTACACAATGGTAACATTTTTCTCATCTCTCTGGACTTAGGTCTTACCCACCTGACTTTACATGCCTTAGACCTTTTTCTTACCTTTTTTCTTTTGGCTCCGGGGGGGGGGGCCCCCTTATCTTCTCTTGTGACAAGGGCTTGTGTAACTGGTATTTTGGCAAAAAATCTCTTCTTCGTAATTTCTTCATTTTAAGTAGTCTATTTCTTTACCATAGACATCAGTTCCACCACCATTTGGAGCTGAGTTACTCAACATTTGGAGCTGAGTTACTCAATGATACCACAAGAGTATCCCAGCTATCCGGTAGAGATCCCAACAGTAGGCATGCTTGTATCTCGTCTTCTAAGGGCATACTGCTAACTGCTAATTCAGTTACGAGTCCTTCAAAATCGTTCAGGTGTTGTAATTGATCGTCCCTCTGACAGCTTCAAGTTCATGACTTTACGCATCATGAAGACTTTTCCTTGAGCATTCGTAGCCTCATACATATTCTGTAATTTCTTCCAGAGAACTTGGAGATCTTTTTCATTTCTCACATGATTGTATAGGCTAGCATCTATCCATTAGCGTATTGTACCCAATGTCTGCCTTTTTAAATTTCTTCCCAAACACTGCCTTTCTTTCATTATCTTCCGGTTTGCACTGTCACCTTCAAGTGCGGATCGTTACAGATCTTTGCAATGAGTAGTTTTTCCATTCGGATTTCCACATTTGACTAATTCGAATTCGCTTAATTTGATCATGGCCCCGTCCGTTAGCCATGCTTGAATTCTGATATGACAAAATTTACACTATTTCACGAAATTCACTATTCACGTGAATATAACTTTGAACAAAAATTTACCAACCAAAAGCTCTGCGATACCAGTTGTTGCGATTCTAACACCCGGAGTGGGCCCGCGAAACAATACCGGTGGTAAAAAATTAAAAAAAATTACAACCAAAACCCCAAATAAATATTAGAAAGACGACTAACCACCATAAATTAATAACCACGATAAAAATTAAATAATTTATCGTAAATGCCCAGGATGAAAAAATAAAAACACCGGAGATTTAGTTTGCACCTTCAACTTGTTATTGGGCTACCGGTCCATGGTTATAAAAAAAAACTCCGGAATAATTCTTCTGACTAAAAATAGTAGGCGTACAAAAAGATCATTACAAAAAAAAGTGGCACACAAAGTGTTTCCAAAAAAAAACACCCCAAAAATTACAATTTCCTCACTAATTTTCTCTTCTTTCCTAATTTTTAGACCTTCTTTCCGTAAAATATATTCTCTCCAACAGATTTATTAATTCTGTGAGCTCTCTCTACTTCTTCCCTTAATAAAACTTGCAAGGCAAAACACCTCAATTTATAGGAAAAATTGAACGCTCTTTGCCTATAATCTCGGTGCCGTCAATTGCACACGTTATTCAATAAATGGTGGTTCAACAACCTTCTACTTCTTCTTATATAAAACTGAAGCAAAACACCTCAATTTATAGGAAAAATTGAACGCATCTTTGCCTATAATCTCGGTGCAATTTGCACATTATTCAATAATGGTGGTTCAACAACCTTCACTTTTTCTTTGTTTAATAGGCGGTCTCTCTTTGACTGCCAAAAAAAAAAAAACGTGTTATTATTTTTTTCTTTTCAAACTTGTGCAGATCCCACATGTAGGAGGGACCCCACAACATTAATGATCCCTCGTGTCAATCAGAACCAAATGGGGGATAATTACAGTTAAACAAACAAAACACTAAAATTTACTGCAGGTCATTTAAGTATTTACACATTCAAGTTAAAAGGTGGAAAAATTCAAGCCAGAGTTGTTCTGTAAGAAAGAAAAATAAATGCACAAAACTGGATTTCATCAACCACAGCTTTTTTCATTTACTTGCTCCAGTCTGCTAAAAGAGCAGCAAGCTAAACCATGTCCACGTGTTCCAATCAAGTCCATTAGCAACAGTAATAATTACCACCTGTTTAAGTCACACCTTGGTATTCTTCCTTCCCATGTATCTGTCTCTTTACTACCTACGGTATGTTTTTGAAATATGTGACGTTCGCCTCTTCCCGAAAAATAAAATTCCTCAAGGCTGATGTTTGGGAGTTGCAGATACACGTGGTAAGTGTAAGAGGCTCTATGGAAAAAACCAGGCCTTGATGAAGATTGCAAGGGCTAATTGCAGAAAGAATGCTGCAACCAACACGATTGTAAGATCATTCCCATCAATACAAGACTTGAGATTCATGGCAACAAAACATGCCGAGTCAATACCAGCAGCAAGAATAATAATCCACCTTAGCACCTCAACTGGAATAACCAGCAGAAACTGAAAATATGACATATAGTACGGATGAGAAAAAAATTCTTCAGAAAAGCTTAAAAATATAGGATGAAATAGACATATGAATCACAATGGTGATGGCGTGTGCTTACAGAGCTCAGAATAAAGATGACGAGAGAATAGCCCCACATGCACCAGTACCGTATGAGGCTAGCATTTGTTCCCAGATACTGAAGTAAGAAATAAAATGCCAATGGTACCAAAATAGCATATCCATAGATTGCAGCAGCCGCCACATTTACATATCCGACATCAAAGCTCCAAGAAGCACTACTATCAGTGTGTTTCTGCATGAGGTAGGTGGCACAGTTTCCAAGAGAAGCTAGCACAAATACCAATGTAGTTGAAACCCATATAAGCCCATATCTACAACATAAAAATTATTGCAAGTAAGCCCATCAGATGCTCAGGTGAAATAAGCTGCTTATTGTGTTGTCTTCTAATAATTAGATTGTAAACAAACCCAGACACTTAGATGCATTGTTCTTCCACACATTATAGTGATGAACCTAATTGTCTCTTAATTTTCAATCATCCATGAGGTAGAATACAGAGTTGACTTGTATACTGAGAATGCAACGAAGGAAAGGACTTTGGGATTGCAAAAGGAAAGTTTTAGAGCACAGTCGGGGAACATCGTATAGAATTCCAGCATCGGAAGGCAGCAGTGGTTGCATTTAAAAGGAAGAAAGTGGGAGGAAAATAAGACAACCATGTAACTTGCAGCTCAATTCTTTGAGTACTCATTTCCTAACAACTGCAATTTGAGAAAGAAGATCCATTTCTCAATTCTCAGATTATCATATAAACCATAGAATGGATACCATAGGCAATGGATATCTATCACATAAATCATTCTTTCCCAGCTTGTGGCTGGCGACTTCTATAGGTATCACATTTCAAATTGGAAGAATTGAAAAAAGGTATTGGATCTTTGGTGAAAAAGACAGACAGACAGTAAAATGGAATCTGATAATGCACACTAGCAAAAATAAGTTTTCCACCTCACTTTTCTTTGACTCTGTCTGTTATGTTGTTGTTTTTTCTTACAGAAGATCCACTTGTCTCAGAAAATGGTCAGTCATACTAACCATGTTGATCAGAATATTTATTTCAGATTTCAAATAATTATGTTTCATACTTTCCAGTCGATGGAAAGACAGAATATATAACTTCATTTCAATTGTACTCCTATGTTTATGGTATTGATAATCACACCTAAAATCTCCATCCTCAAGTACAAACATATTTTCCCACTCAATGTAGTTCATGTGGGTTTGCATTAAAATCTCTCTTGAAACAAAATGATTGTCTAATGCATGAAAAATTTTATCTCAATCCTCATGATATGGGTAGCATTAAAAAAGAGGGTAAATGCCATACTCACAGATCAGGGTTAGCATCAATCTTGCTGAAAAAATCTCCACCAATAGGATAAAAGGAGCTCATCATTCTGTTTATGACAATATCTGTATCCACATTGAAATACTGTGTGTATGATGAGACACTGAATACTCCCTTCCAATTGTTTGGTGATTGTTGCTCAAATGCTTCTGCAAGGACAATGAGACATGTTAAATAGGAATGAACATCAGTGCTGTGCCAATAAATGCAGAAAAAAGTGTAATACCAATAACTTAATGTGAAATGGCACCAATACAAACATCAAATGACAAAAGATTATGCATTACCACGCTCCTTCAAAGCCCTTCAGAGGTCACAATATTAATCAAAGTGTCATATGTCATTCGTTTCACTACATAATAGAATATTTCACTTGATTCTGGCTTAAAATGGACATATATTCCCACTCCATACATGTAATCACTACATAATAGAATATCAAAGAATAAGCTATCAAGCACGATAAGGTTTTGGGTTTATGAAAGCAGAAAGTGTCATATGTCATTAGTTTCATCTTCCTCTTGAGTAATAATCTATTTCACTTTACCTTTCTTTTTGTTTTCTTTAGAACGTTATTGTAAAGGGGGAAAAAACACAAAGGAAACTTATTCAATTCACTTGCAAAACATTCCCCCACCTTTAAAATATTTCAGAATATCTAACACCTACCTGAGAATTTATTGTTTGCATTATGAATCTATACTCCATGCTTTTTAGTCTCATCAATCCCATGACATGTTAGGTGGAAGACAACAACAGAAACCTAGGATGGATATGTGTTTGTAATAATGTAAATCATACTAGTTGACCTTACCTGACAAGCAAAAATAATTGAATGCCGTTGCTCATTTATAGCCACGATATCTATAAGCACACGGTTATCCAAGTGAAAAGTAATTACAGTAATTCCTCAAATAGCTTTAGCAAATATTACCAAAACATTTAGGTGAATTGTTTCAATTTTCCATTGCAAATGCTTAACTGGTTTTATATTTTAACTACAAAAAATAATCAAGGCACCTAAAAAGGGCAAAGGTTCTGTATGCATTTGTTTATGTAAATACTAGCTATAATTTACATATGCCAGAGTTCATTTAAAGTCTACTTCAATAAACATAATGAAAAACATCATGAAGAAACATTCCGTGTTCCCTCAAGCTAAAATGTTATGTGGACAGAAAATTATAAGATTAATAAATTGCACCTCAAAACGGTAACTAAAAAGCAAAGAATAGAAAGAATACCCAGAGTAAAGACAGCAATGCAGTTAAGCTTAATAATCTTCACAACATAACCAAAATCAAGGAAATTAAATATTTAAACACTATACCAGGTGGACTTCCAAGAGTTTGATAACCCCGATTGCTACCTCCTCCACCATTATTCGGAGGGAATGTTTGCATATTTGCTTCAGGGACTGGGACTGCATATAAGTTCATAGATAATAACAACTTTTCAAACATTAGAATTTTATCCAGGTTCAAGCATCAGGCTAATACTACAACAACAACAAATTTCAAAATGTCAAAAAGAAAAGAAAAGAGAATTCATACCTTCATAGTTGGCGGTACTTTTTTCTTCAGTCACCACAGCCTATAAAGAAAGGGAAAAAAATCATAAAAACATTACCCAAAAGAAGAGCGAGAAAATAACCAAATGATCTAATTACTTCAAATCAAGAACCTTTCCGCATATAATCCATTTGAAAACGTAAAATGTAACTCTTTAACCCACTTCCAGATTATGCATTTAAAATCAACCGTGTCTTACATTCACTATCTCACATTTAAACGCCAATTGTTTAAAAAGCTAAACTGCATTGACTTCTCTACCAATCTACAATCAAGATTATGCAATTAATACAAAACTAAAACCCCAAATCCCAAATTAATATTAGACATACATGCACATACATACAATAAATTGTGATAATAAAAATTAAGTACTTACAGGTACTGAGCCAAGTAAATGGCTAGTAGGGAGGTTGTTGTAAGACTCATCCATTGAAGAAGACATGTAGTAAAAGATCCAGAACAGAGAAGAGAGAAAGAACAGTTCTTTAAAAAAAAATCGATGTTAGACAGCCATTATTAAAACTAAAGTATAAATCGAGGGAAATTTTAGGTTTTCTGACAGTGGGAAAATTTAGGGATTGGAAAATCGAAGACCTTAAACCGTTAGATTTTCGTAATTTAGAAGCAAACTGAACCAGATGAGAAGACGAGAGAGGACTAACAGAGGGACCGGTGTGTCAGCTTCAGCTGAGAACTTTTAGAGGAGTTGGTATACACGCGCCATTAAACGGTTCATAAACGTTTTTGCCGTTTTGATGGTCCCGTATCAGATTTTTTTATGTTTCAGGTGTTGCACATGTTAGTGGATAACAAATTAATAATGGGCTGAAATTTGGGCTCGTAGTTGAATTATCACTAGACATTAGAGCTTAAAGCCCGTCCAGGTTGGTGTGGTTTCGGAACTGCCAATTCCGTTCTCAAAACCAACGGTTCCGGTTTCAAAGAATATAGAACTAGAGCTCAATCAAAAACTGACGGTTCCAGTTTCGATTTAGAATTGGCTAGTTACAGTTTTAGTTCCTTAACGGTTCCAAAATTGACGGTTCCAACTCTTTAGTTAGTTTTCCAAGCGGTTCACATAATTTTAAAATCAAAAAAATAACTTATATAAATACTCTTAGAACTAGATGTTATGTAGTCATTTATAATTGTTAGGAGGGTTAATTTGGTGATTTTGATAAAAAAATTTTGAAAAAATGAAAAAATATGTTATCAAAACTTTCGGTCCGATTGGTTAGAACCGTTGTCTCACAATTCTAAAAAACTTAAAACAAGAATCAAATCGCAACCCTCCATTTATGGTTACGATTCTGGCCCCAAATTGTACAAGCTTCTTCCAAAGCATACGGCTTTTTGGGTGTAGGTGATTCTATACGGTTCTAGTTTTTAATTTTGGCCGCCACTGTATCTAGCGCTAACACTGATTTATAAGTGATTTGGTACAAAGTATACAGAATTTTTTTAAACTTTTTTTTTTTTTTTTTAAATAAAGAAGATAATAAGAACTAACGGATGTCAGTTATACCAATTTATATATATATGAAAGCTGACACAAAGAGAAAGTTTTAAACCATTCTCTTTGTTCCACGTTCTATTTTTCTTTTTTTAGAAAATTTTAAATTTTTCTTTATTTTTTTAATATATAATATTGAATTAATAATTAATACTTTTTTAAACCTAATCTAATCTAATCATCTAACCTAGCTACCTAAACAAACTAAAACACGTTGAAGGGTGGAGAAGTTGAAGAGGATTCACTACACTATAAGGAATGGAGATCAGACTGACAACGCAAGTTGGAACTGAAGGGAGGGGAAGACATTAACACTAAAAATGTAATTCGCAACATCGAATCTTCCCCTGAGGGATTCAATATGTATAGGCGGTTCATGAGCCATCTCTGAATGCGAGAACGGTGGCTGGAAACACTGGAGCATCCATCTGCAGTTCTTCTAGACGCAATAACAATGTTATAAAAAAAAAACTTCATCACTCTCTTCCTTGATTAATTAATTTCGGTATATAAATGTAAATGTTGTTTTAGTTAAGGGTTTTACATTTTGCAGGATATAAGATAAGTCTTTATTCAAATAGGCTTTTAGGTACTACACCTTCATCAACCTTTAATCTTTTTTCTATAATAATATTAGACATAGTAGAGAATTGTTTTCTTAGATATCTTCCTTCATAATTAGGTTTTTTATTCAAAATATTAAATATTTTGAATTAACATGTTATTATCAAAAGTGGATAAAATAGTTTAGCATGTTTAAGCCAAATCATTTGCTATTTACACTTTTTTAAATCATTTGTGAAAGTGATCCTCGGGCAAAAGAAACTTCAAATTTGCAAGACCAATGAGCGATAAGCCACCACTAATTGAAAATGCTGGTTTTAGTTTTGCCAAAGCATTCACATAAAATTTTTTTTAAAATAACACTGCAGACTATATGGTAGAGTAAGCCCTCCATTATCCCTTGACTCGTCAAATTAGCGAAATATTTGTGACCGAAAGAATTCGAATTCAAAGCCTTCCATTCTTCTCATAAATGAGAAGAGCAACAAATTCACATGTGATTGGCCGCATTCAGATCATATTATCACTCGCAAATCATATTATTTTTATACTAAATTTGCTCAAAAGAACATATATGGAAATGCATAATGTAAAAAAAAAATTAAGTTATTTATTTCAAAGAAATTAAAGTGTGAAAAAAAGGGCATATTCCTTGATTCTTTGAAAATAAGAAAACAAAATAGCACGCTCAACTATCCATTCTGTTCTATAGAATAAATTTGCCTAGATGTGGTATATGAGAACGAAAACAGAAATTTTGTTAAAGGGAGTATTTTTTTTTTACTACACATTGGACAAAAATAGCATAAAGTAAAAATAATTTGTAAAAAAATTTTTACTTTCATTACTTTAATCCATATGAGAGGTGATGCACCCCTATCTAGGGAAGATTATCCCTATTCTATTTAGCTTACATGGTCTAAAATTTAGAAAAATAGGATAGATATGTAAATAAACTCAATCTTGAATTAAAAGAAAATCAATTTAGGCCACATGTAATCGTCCAATTCCAATGCAGTCAAGCAAGCAAGATTAATATTCCTTTCCTTCATATAATTTAAGGTTTTTTTATTCAAAATATTAAAAATATTTAGAAATTAATCATGTTGAGTTATCAAAAGTGGATATATATAGTTTTGTACGTGTTTGACAAATCAATTTGCTGAGTACCACTTTGTCTTTTTATAAATCTATTTGTGAAAGTAATGAATTCTCTCGCCAGCATAAAGTAAAACATCAATATTTTGCTCAAGACCAATGAGCGAATAAGCCCCACTATTTTATGAAAATGTCCTGGTTTTTTAGCTTTGCTCTAAATGCATTCACATAATATCACTTATTTTTATATATACTAACATCTGCAAGACTCTTGGTAGATAGTTTAAGCCCTCACTCATTTTATCACCTTGAACCATTCGTCAAAATAAGTGAAAAAATATTTGTGTCCGATTCATTGACTGACAGAATTCGATAAATCTCCACAAGAAGCCTTCCGCATTCTCTCAATAAAGAGGTATGTAGAGTAAGCAACACAATTATTCACATATGTGTATGGTTCAGCTATTCAGAATACAATATTATCACTTCGCTAAGAGAGGATTAATATATTATCAAAAATTGTGCGCGCAAAGACACATAATATGCGCGAAAGCAATAATGTAAAAAAAAAAAGAATTAAGTTTATTGCTATTATCATAAGAAATTTAAGTGTGAAAAAAAGGGCATATTCCTTGATTTTCTTTGATAAAATAAGAAACAAATCACGCTACGCTCAACTATTGTCTCATTTCTGTTCTATAGAATAATTTGCCTAGAGTGGTGGTATTATGTTGTTGAGTTGAGTGATAGAAAACAGTAATATTATTTGTTAAAGGGAGTTATTTTTTTGCATTTTACGGAAATTTGGGAGATAAAAATAGCCATAAAAGTAAATTAATTTAATCTAGTCAAAAAAAAGTTTGTGTACTTTACCCAATACTAATATTAAATCATATCGAGAGGATTGATAGCCAAACCAACCTCACTATCTAATGGGAAGAATTATCTCACTATTCTATTTATGAGGGATATACATGTGTTCTAAAAATTAATAGAGAAGAAGATAACAGGAATAAAATGATAATATAGATCTCAGAGGTTTGAAGTAAAAAAGAAATAATTTAGGCACCACATGTATATCGTCACAATTCACAGATGATCAGAGTACAAGCAATGCAAGATTGAAATAATCTAATATAATATATAAAAGTATTAATAAAATAATATTAGAATTAGTATATATTAATAATATTTTTAAAAATTCCCAATGTAGCCATATGTAATACTATAATTTACCATGTAGGGAAATCAATATTCTACAATCTCGCACACGTCACAGATCAGTTACAAAATATATCAATATTCACCCATTAATAATTATAATATTTACAAATTATATCAAATGATAATTTATATTTAGGAATCAACATATTTGAGCTCATTATACATACTGATAACATCTGGCTCTTCTTTTATCAAAACCTTATATACATTGGATTCGTTATACCAATATAGCAGCAGTTCAAAAAATCTCTCTATTTCCTCTTACAGACCATTCTAGAAAATTACTTAATCATGTGTGCCGAAGATAAAATTTTGACTATAATCTTAATTTTCTTTAAGGTCTCGTTATTATATATAATAATATTTTTAAAATTCCAATGTAGCCATATGATACTATATACAAGGAATATTCTACAATCTGCACCGTCACAGCAGTTACAATATTATCAAATCCCATTATATATGTATTACAATTATCAAATGAATTTATTTGGATCTCAAATTGGCTCATTTCATTTCTGAACTCTCTGGTTTTCTTTATCAGCCTATACATGGATATGAATACCAATTCTGCAGCAGTTCAAAAATCTCTATTTCCTTTAAGCCATTCTAAAATTCTTCATCTGGTTAATTTTGATCTATCTAATCTATTTCTTTTAATCTCTTTTTAATCATTTTGGTGTTTCTAATTAATTTGTTAATTAATTAATTCTCTGTCCAGGTCAGGCATGCTCAAGGAGATCACAACGTTGCAGGAGAGAAGGATCATGATGCACTTTTATCTCCAGAATTCTTTGATGCTCATCTCTCTCCTTTGGGCTTGCAGCAGGTAAATAAATTCCAGGTTTATCTTTTATATACATATATATTAATTTGTTTGATCTGTGGGATTTATTAATTTGTGAACGAGATAATCAAATTAAACATTTACATTAATTAGTAGTTTTATTATAACTAACAGGTTAGCAATCTCAGAAACCATGTTCATGAATCCAGATTGTTAAGGCGAATTAAGTTAGTTATAACTTCTCCTTTGTTCAGGTACATGAAAGTCTAGTTCCTTTTCTGACATTTCATTTTATATTATTTAGGTTCGCCTAAGAATACAGTTCACTTCAACTGATCCAGTTGGTAGTTAAAATTTATTATCATAAATCTTGTAGGGCTATGCAAACAGCAGTTGGTGTTTTTGGTGAAGGAACATCAGATTTTCAGTGCCCTCCAATTTTAGCAGTTGAATATTGTCGAGAGCGAACTGTATGTATAAATTTTAATGTGAACAAAAATTCTGAAAATGCTTTTCTTTATTGTGTCTAATGTTTTCACATTGCAGGGAGTTCATCCATGTGATAAGAGGAGACCTATTAGCGAGTCTCGGTCTCATTTTCCTCAAATTGATTTTTCATTGGTAAGTATTCGAACGTTGAATCAGTACTGCATAAATGAGGATCTTAAGATTATAGTTTTAACTGGTCATTTCATTAACTGCAGTTTTTTTATTTTTTTTAGATAGAAAGTGATGATGACATTTTGTGGAAAGCAGATCATAGGGAAACTGATGAAGAAGTTGCTGCTAGGGGCATGAAATTCAGTAACTGGTGATTTCATTGTTTTAAGGCTATGTTCAGAATAAATGAATTCCACGAAATTTTATAACATTCATTCAAAATCTCATGTTTTCATGTTCGTTGTAATTCAAAAATAATTTGTATATGTGTATCGATCAGGTTGAATACTCGCCAAGAGACGGAAATTGCAATTGTTACTCACAATAGGTTCTTACAGCAAACGTTAAGTGCTTTAACAACTGATTGTAATTCATCAGTCAGAACTGAAATATGCAAAGAGTAAGTACAGATATTTACATTAATACAATCTATATCATATACATACAGCTTTAACAAATACGCGAGCGGCACTAGCACTTGCCTGCCCAAGCTCTTTTTAACTTTATTATTCTCTTTTGGTTTTGCTAATTTCTGTGACTAATGAAAATGATTACTGTTATCTGTGTATTTAGATTTGGAAACTGTGAACTTCGTTCGATGGTCTTGGTTGATAAAAGATACTAATGTTGGAAGAAAGAGAGTTCTTGAGGCGTGATCTCTCAGGAAATGCTGCACAGAAGCTTCGAATCGAGTAGTTCATGCGATTTCAGATTTTTTAACATTATTGATACTTTGTGACATTTCTTACACTTCAAATAAGAGAACTCAGATGCTCATGTAAGGGATTAGTAGTATACTAAAATGTTAATTGCAATGTAATTCTGATTTAGTATGCATTTCAATTTTGCCTGTATTTATCCAGCTTATTCATTATAGCAACTTGCATTACCAAGAAGCAAAAGTCCAATTTGATGACAGTCGGACAAAGTCCAAATTGATGAATTAAAAATTCAAACTTATTACAATTAGATGCAAAGTTGTTTACAACTTCATACTTGGCAATTCACTGCCATTAGTTGGTTCATTGCAAGGTGCTAAAAGTACAGTCCAAGTGGAGACATATCACACTTGTCCTGGCGGCACAGGACACAATGCAATAACTGGATCCTCCAGGATGAAGTGTTAAGAGAGTGAATGTTCATCGACATGGGGCGGCGGCAAGTGTAAAGGAGCCCATGTACAGGCATACACAACTCACAAACATGCCTTGTTTTGTGATGGTTCATTGGGGTTAGCTCATGTTTGTGCTTGTGGGTAAAGCTTGGAGGGACGAAATGTGCAAACTTTTGAAGGTAAATATTGCATATTTGGTCTCTTTAAATCCAATTTCATTGAAACCGTTAAATTTGTATGGGTATTCTTGACTCTTGAGGTATGTTCATTTCATGGAGTGAATGGGTTGGATACGATTTGACTCGATGATAATAGAGTTTAAATTAATAAACACCAAATTTAGAACACTAATCAGAATCTAAATGGAACAAACTTTAAATTGAAAATCAGCTTTGACTCATTTCAATTTTAATCAATTTTGCCAAATTAATTAATTTTATCTTTATTGAAAACCAATCGACCTCAATTTTCATCGGTAATCAACTCAACTCAAGCCAAGTAGAGATTGTCGAGTTTGAAGTTTAAACATAGAAAGTAGAACTCTGCAGTCAGTTTCGAATGTAAGTTCATTTGTTCTAAAGAATCTCAGAGTTTTCTTTTCCGTTTGAGTTAAATCCACAGTAATATACTAGATTAACTCGACTAGAACACCTCTCTAATTGTTACAATCACTCCAGCATCACTATCACCGGTAACCACATCTGACTTCACAGTATGCTTTGAAGACCCATCACAGCAATACCATCAATTGTCTTAAACTTGATGGATGATCTAATAAAAAAATTCTAACAAGCTACTCAATCAAATACATCTATGGCCGACGGGCAGTATGTACAAAGGGCAGGAACATAATGAACGTGACTGATGACTCGTGCTTACTAGGAATTCCTTGTTGAAGACCAACAATTGCAATGATCTATCCCCATCACGATGAAATTTCAAAGATTACCCGGGTCTTTCGGCCAAGGCTATAGACTAGTTGAATACATCAGTGTAGCACGCGTGCGGACTAGGAATTTCCTTGTTGGTAAGCGACAACACCAATGCAGATGTAGCTAGACATCCCCATACACAGAGAATGAACACTGATTGTCAAAAGATTATGACCTTGTCGGGCTCTTGGCATCGTCCAAGGCTATAGACCTAAGTTGAATACATAGTGTAGCAACGCGTGCGGCTCACAGAACATCTAAGGGCATTCATCAAAGACCTGATTACTTAAGTCGCCAATCTAAACTTCCTTATGGACGAATGAAGGCCATATGTGATTACGGAACAAATTCCGTAACCGTGTATGAGCACAGCAAACAGATATCAGCGTACCAAAGGCGCTAGGCAGTACACAACCTGCGATAGGGTTTGAGGCGGTCTTATAGCGATTACACACGTGCGTTCTGCCTTTGATATGTTTTCACATTACCGTCCCCAATGCAAAGATCTGCATGCAGGCGGGGCACGTGGGTGACCGACTGTGGTGCAGAGACAGTTGCACACTGGGGTGCCGGCTTCTCACGTGATGCCTGATGAGCCCCCATAGGCACGGACCGATAATTCCAGTGTGGTACGGTAATAATGAGTGATGGACCGAGCCGTCGACTACATATGCGGAAGGGCTTAGGCCCCATTGAGAAGTCTCCGCCGCACCACCTTGATGAGCCCATGGCAGGGCGAAACCAGTGTGGTACGGTATGGCGAGGCTTGCCTCGGAGCTATGCGGGAGGGCTCCCGGGGCGCCGCACGAGCGCAGTGCTGCGCGAGACTCTATGCCCGTGACAATAGTCCCTCTAAGAAGCTAGCCGCGGAGAGTCACCTCCGCATAGCTAGTTAGCAAGCTGAGGTCTCATTCGTTAATGGAATTAACCAGACAAATCGCTCCACCAACTAAGAACAGCCATGCACCACCACCCATAGAATCAAGAAAGAGGTCTCAGTCTGTCAATCCTTACTATATCTGGACCTGGTAAGTTTCCCTGTATTGAGTCAAATTAAGCCACAGGCTCCACTCTTGGTGGTGCCCTTCTGTCAATTTCTTTAAGTTTCAACCTTGCGACCATACTCCCCCCGGAACCCAAAGACTTTGATTTCTCATAAGGTGCTGGCGGAGTCCTACAAGCAACATCCGCCGATCCCTGGTTGGCATCGTTTATGGTTGAGACTAAGACGGTATCTAATCGTCTTCGAGCCCTCAACTTTCATTCTTGATTAATAAAAACATCCTTGGCAAATACTTTCGCAATTGTTCGTCTTTCATAAATTCAAGAATTTCACCTCTGACTATGAAATACGAATGCCCCCAACTGTCCCTAAACAACGAGAAATTTCGCAGTTGTTCGTCTTTCATAAATCCTTTCATAAGAATTTCACCTCTGACTATGAAATACGAATGCCCCCAACTGTCCCTAAACAACGAGAAATTTCGCAGTTGTTCGTCTTTCATAAATCCAAAAATTTCACCTCTGACTATGAAATACGAATACCCCCGACTGTCCCTAAACAACGAGAAATACGAGAAAGTCATAAGGTGGAAGGGTTCTATTTCACTTTGAATTCCAGTTAAATCTCAAAAAAGGTAAAAGAAACTTGAAAGAAAGATGTAATCCAGAAATTGGAAGCTCAACAACCAAGCAAGCAGGGTTGAGAATGGGAGAAAAATAAAAATACAAAAATGGATTATAATGCAGAAATTTACAGTTCTTCAGTATTCTCCATTAAAATGACCGACCTACTTGTTTACATTTTACAAAGAATACTTGCAGCTTAATTGAAATTTAAGGTGCAGGTCAGGATTTCCATACGTCCTGATCTCCTTCAAAGCTCACTATAATTGCGCCACACTGCACGAAATTCTTCACGGAATGTATTTAGGCGTGCCTTCAGATTAGGTGTCCTAACACTTGCATGAATAATAGTAACTGCAGGCAACAATATGTTAACTTGTTAAACTGAATGTTTTAGAGAAACATTTAATAGTTATAGGAGATGAAATTACCAAGGAGGCCGATACCAAATGCCCATAACACGTACAATAGACTCCCAGAAGTGAACCACAGAATAATACTGGCTGGAAAAAGAAATTTGAAAAATGATTGATCAGGAATCATTCAATACAAGTTTTCTAACCAGTTAAGCTCAGTACTGCTTAAAAAGAGAGTTTTAAGAGATCTAATTACCTGCTGAGAATAAAAACACACACACCCCACGAGGTTGGCCACAGATGTATACAGATTTTTTAGCTGATCGACCACGAATAACAGGCCTTCATATGACAAGAAATTGTAAGTATAAACTCTATCCAGTTCAGAAACAAAAATAGAAAGGCTAACTAAGGACAAACTCACATGTGAGGAGGCCTCATCTTTGCTGCCAAATGTGGAGAGAACTTTCTTACAGTTCTTGTCACCTTCTCACTGAAAGTAGCTGCAAAACTGCAAAATAAGTAATTAGCACCAAGTAATGAAGGAGTAAAAGTTTAATTTGCTTGGCACATATCTTAGCCAAGTTTGGAAAAGTGGGCAATAAGAGATAATAGGAAAACTAAGAAATGAAAGAAATTTCCGTATTCTCTATTTTGGATGATGGAAAGTAAGAGGGGAAAGAAAATAATTATAGGATCCATTTTCTCTAAAATTTGGGAAGCAAGTGAAAGGAGAATCGCTAAAATTATATTTCGGTCCTTATACCTATTTACTCAAAAAATAGTGAGTTCACTATTTATAAAATAATTTTCCTTTGCCTGTTTCCTTCCTAGCATCCAAACAAGGGGAAGAAAATAAAATTTATTCTCAATCAAAACTTTAACCCTTTATTTTCCTCCATTTCCTCCTACCCTTCCAATGAAATTTTAAGAACTAACGCATACGGATATACCAGCAGGCCAGCACCGGGCAAAAGGTAGGGGTTAAGATTGGAAATTTAGAAGTAGCATGGCATAAAAAAAAAAAAAAAAAAAAAAAATATCTACAAATGCAAAACTTGTAACCCTTTTATTCTTCCTCCTATGTCCTCCCCTACCCTTCCAAGAACTATTTAAAAGAAACTAACGCATACGGATATACAAGCGGCCAGCACGGGCAAAAGGTAGGGGTTAAAGATTGGAAATTTAGAAGTAGCATGGCATAAAAAAAAAAAAAAAAAAAAAAAAAAAAAAAAAAACACAGTTGGCAGTGTCTCAGACACATGCACTTAGCAAAAAATAAACTTATCTTTGTTAAAGGAAGAAACATCATGAAACAAGACATCAGAATACTTGAATGCATACTTCCTGACAATTTATTCATTCTTGTATTCCCCATCATCATTATAACTAACTCTTTTCCACAGATCCCCCACTCTAACTGAAAATATAATTTCTTGACCGCAAGTGATACAGGCTATATTTGTCCCACAGTTAGAATACAATACAGCCAATATGAAACTAAGCTAACAAACCCAGCACTTATGAAGTCATCGCCTTTTTTAGCAACTGGTACAAGAAATATGCTAAGCTTCTACCTCAACTTTGTTCTAAACAAGGTCCTCCAATGATTTGATCCTTGGGGAATTTATAAGCATAAATGTTCTAAAAGATACAAGACTTTGAGGCAATGCTTCTGGTCCTTTTGGTAAACAACCACGAAATAAATGGGAATTAGATAGCATAAAGTTATACGCAAATTCAATCAACTTTCAAAGAAAATCCAAGTTATCAACATCTGATTAACATAAATGATATTATCTTTTCATGTAAATCCATGAAAATCTTAGTCGTAAGAACTACTTAATTCATCACAAGTTATTTACCAGCCAACCACACGAAAAAACCAAGCAGAAAGAGATGTATGAGTGTGTTGGCTGCTCGGTCATTTTGAAACTTGTAAGATAAAAGACTATGCCAATGCAATTAAAGCACTAGCTGGAATACAAACTATTAAAAACAGAAGATTCACACGGCGACATTAGCATACCTATCATTAAGAAACGCAATGCTAAGAGCTGTCAAAGCAGCAGCAGTAATAGCTATCGGCCTCGTGAGACATGCAACCCCTGAAACAATAATACATGAAAATTAATCGTAATTATCATTAATAACAAATAAACTCCTACCCAAAATTTAAAATTAAAAATTAAAAATAATTCACTAATAGCTAGCGGGTACTTCGTTTTGCTTACCGAGAGCCAACACAATCACAATGAAGTAGTTGGTCCTATAGCTGCCAAAAAAAAAAAAAAAAAAAAAATTCTTTTAAAATAATCACTAATAGCTAGCGGGTACTCTTTGTTTTGCTTACGAGAGCCAACACAATCACAATGAAGTAGTATTGAGTCCTAATGAGCTGCCAAAAAAAACAAAGAAAGACAGAAATTCTTTTAAAAAAAAAAAAAAACCCTCAAACCCAGCAAATTAAAAACACAAAAAGGTGAATGCATATGTGTCCTTGCACTGAAAAACGCAAAATAAGTCGATCTATAATAACACGAATCGTAATCTCAAATAGAGTTACAGGAAATAAAACGGTAAATATAGCATAGGAAAGAGGAATTTATATCTAAGTAAGAATGCACTTTGAAGCGTGGCTGTTCCACGTTGGGATAAGATCGAGCGCGCACGGGTGAATTTTAAAAAAAAAAAAAAACCCTCAAACCCAGAAAATTAATAAAAAAAGGTACTCAATTTCTTCACTGAAAAGTAAAAATCCTTATAATAAAAGAATGATCAATAGATTAAGGATATAAAAGTAAATATAGAAGGAAAGAGGAATTACTAGTAAAGATTGCACTTGAAGCGGCTGTTCCACTTGGGATAAGATCGAGGGATGGTGAATCTAGAGAAGAATTCATGGAGAGGGCGAGGTGGAGTAGACCAATCTACTTCCCTTAAAGCACCCATTAGATCTTCAGCCGTCACAGTTCCCCAATCCATCTCTCTTTTTTTCGATCGCTGAATAGGCTATTCAGGCAAGACGAGAAATGAAAAGAAAAAATCACAAATTTTTGAGCTTTTAACACACAGGAGAAATGGAGACCGGTTTTTCTGTGTGGGGAAAACTTTGCTATTGCAACCCGACGACGATAAAGAAGCTTCTGGATTTTCTGTCGCGTTAAGAAAACAAGCCGATAGATATCATATTATATTTCATTTAGGCAGCTGTTTAATTAGAAAAAAAAAAATAGAAGAAATTAAAAATAAATAAATTATTTACATAATAATGTCTGAGCCCGGGTTCGAACCGGGGACCTCTAGTGTGTGAGACTAGCGTGATAACCAACTACACCACCCAGACAGTTGTTAACGGGTAAATTATACACTATATAACTTAATCACAAATAATTGATTGCCTTTTCCAACGTTGACTATGTGAATTGTTTTGGGTTATATTATCCTTTTGCAATCTTATCCCTCACCCAGAAAAGTTGTTAATTTTCTAGTTTAGCTCGATTAATAATGTCTAGCAAGTTGATTTCCCATTCATCTTATCTATCTTCACTTAATTTCATGCATTTTTAATTCATACAATCATTAAACTCCAAGGGTACTTCTTCCACCACAATACAACTTTATTTTGATGAAGAAGCAAATGGATAATGGATAATGGATTGAAAGTGAAGGTTATGCGTTCAAATGTTGATAAGACAATTATCATTCAAGGAGAAAAGTAAAAAATTTCTATATGATTAATTTAAATTTCAGAGTAGAATGTAGTATAGGATTAGTTTAAAGTGACGAACATTAAACTCATTTAGTGCGAAAACAGTTTCTGTGGTCAGAAAGAAAACTGAGAATGTCACACTTATGCCATCGGACGTTTTGGCCTCGAGAGGTATATATATATATATATATAGAGTGCCAAAGAGATCCAGCGGAAGATCTTGGCATATAATTCATGGGGTACGTGAGAGGCGTGTTCTTGTAGTCGTTGGATAGAAAGAAAACTGCGGAGCAAAGGAAGATGGAATGCTCAAGCTCTCTACAGCATTTTCCATCCTTTTCTTCTCTGCTTTTAGCATCAAGTTCTCTTCCTGCAACTCCAACTTTTCTTCCTGCATCCATTGTTTTTTTTCCATCAGTAACAGAAGCAACTGATGATCATTAATTTTTCTACAATTTTGACTGTTCCTTTTTAAAATAGTTAATGGGGAAAGGGATTGTCAAAGTTTGAACCCTTGAACTCTTGCATTATGAGACTTCTATTTGACTACTAAGGTACAAGCAATCTTTACATACATTGTTGATATATAAGATTAGATGGAATATATGCCATAATTCTTCTAAATGCATATAAAGGACTTGTGAGTAGATATATATAGGCTGGAGTTGAGTGAAATGCAAAAGCAAAAAGCAAAATAATGAATAGGTTACTTTAAGGTTTTCAATCGTTTCCTGGAGAAACTTGTTTTTGTCCTTAAGTTCCTTTGCTTCAATGCGTAGATGGTTCAGAAGATGAGCTGCATATCTCAAGATGGCAACTTTATTGGAGTTCTGAAAGTTCCCAGGCTCTAAAATGGAATACAAGTCCATAAACCTGAAAAAAAATGCTAGTTTGAACAAGAAACACACATATAGACATCTAATAACAATGTAGACAAGACATGCAAAGATCATGCCTCTCATTCAGCCTATCTCGCCGCATCTTCTCACGGCAAGCCTTGGTCCTCGATCTAGCAGAAGAATCTAAGCAAGCTCTGTAAAACAACAACACGATGGATGGTTAAGGCAAGCTCTGTAAAACAACAACACGATGGATGGTTAAGGTAATAGTAAATGATGAATTTCAACTATTATGAACAGAATGTAGCCAAAATAATGAACCCTTGTAATTCTGAAGGCAGATTGCCTGATCCATGAACAGAAAACTTGTCAGCTACACAAGATACTATGTACAAGATATCAATTACAAGCTGCATATAGCCAGAGGATTAACAATTAACAACCATAGAAATTACAAATACTCAAATAATCCATACTACCCATCATTAATATCTCAGATTTGATCAGCATTCTTTAGTTAGTAATTGTAAACCTATTTGACGTCTAAAGACTCTGTATTAAGTAACATATTCTATAAAGAGAGTTAAATTTTATAATCTAACTGCAAATTGCACCATATCTGACTCACAGCTAAAGAGTCTAGTGAAAGTGAAACACCAAGAAGCATGCACTCTTACCTTTTATCCTTGGCACTATTAGAGTACTTGCTATTTGGCATAACATTAACATCACGATACTGTTTGCACCTGGAAGAAAATATCCCACAAGGTAATTATACAGTTCTATGGAAAATAAAAAGAAAAAGTAAATTCACCAATTAAATTACGCCCAGAACTCATAATTTGGAGGAACAATGATATTTCATCGTGAATGTTAATTAATGAAATAAATTACCAGGTAGTCTCTTTCTTATCATTTACGGTGTGAGGAGACCAACAGAAACCACTTGGTTGAACCTCTTCCATTGAAATATACACTCAAAGCATTTCTTACATTTTATAATCCTTCAGCTTTTGAAGAGAAAAAAAAAAAAATCAGATCAAAAACTGTCTTCAGACAGAAAAAACCTGCGGCAAGGGACGACACCGAGTAACGCTTCCACGTGAGCCGCACACTTGTCACACCAAAATTGTCCACGTGTCATCAATATAATCCATCTTTCTTCTACTTAAATCCAACTGGCGTGAGTGTTGGGACCGGCTTAAAACCGGCGCGTAGGATATGGCATGTGGATGTAACGTTTTTCTTGTCCAAGAACGGAATCTACTTTTGTTGTTGAGCCCTTTGAGCTCTGCTTTTGACCTTGGGATTGGGAGAAGCTATTCGTCTTCTTCAAAATTCAACCTCAAATCAAAATCATAATTAAAGCACAGAACTTTCTTCAGCAAGGGCTATAGGGTTTTTGATTCTGTGTTAAAATGTTCATGACTCGCTTTTCTTTCTTCCTTTGCTTCTCTTTCTTCACATTACTCTTTCTTCACTCTCAATCCGCCATTGGTTCTGTTTCAGTGTACCTCTCACCCAACATACTATTCCCCAATTATCAAAATATGCTGAAATCTTTCAGAATTTACATTTATACCCCCGCAAGACCCTTGTCTTTCGCCTCTCCAGTTGAATCTCTGTTCTTCTCTTCTCTTCAAAACAGTCCCTTTGTAGCCCAAAACCCAGAAGAAGCTCATCTCTTCTTCGTGCCCTTCGCTTCTGGTATCTCCACGCGCTCGATTGCTCATGTAATTAGAGATCTTCGGATGGATTTCCCCTATTGGAATCGTACTCTCGGTGCCGATCATTTCTATGTTTCATGTTCTGGTCTCGGCTACGAATCGGACCGAAATCTTGTGGAGTTGAAGAAAAACTCGGTTCAGATTTCCTGCTTTCCGGCACCGGAAGGTAAGTTTGTTCCCCACAAGGACATAACATTGCCTCCGCCGGTATATTCTCTTTCTGCGCACCCGCCCAGAAACAAAACTGCGAGATATCGAGGTTTTGTGAAACACAATGGGGTCAAAGAGTCAGCTTTAATCAACGACTTGAGGAATGCTTCAGATTTTCTAGTTGAAGCTGAGCCGTCGGATGAGAAGACTTTGGCGGACAGACTTGCGAGTAGCGAGTTTTGTTTGTTTGAATATGGAGCCGATATTTCGGGGATAGGAAAAGCTTTGCATTTCGGGTGCATACCGGTGGTAATTACTGATCATCCGATGCAGGACTTGCCGTTGATGGACGTGTTGAGGTGGCAAGAGATTGCTGTTTTTGTGGGGTCCAATAGTCTGAATATCAGTGGTCTGAAACGTGTTATGGATCGCACGTGCGAAGGTGATACATCCGAGGGAATGAGGAAATTGGGTGCGGCAGCGAGTATGCATTTAGTATGGAATGAAATGCCTGAGCCGTACGATTCGTTTCATATGGTGATGTATCAGCTTTGGCTTAGACGGCACGCAATTAGATACGCACGAAGAGAATGGCTGTAGGCCACTTGTTATGATGCAAAATTTACCGATGTAATATGCCTTCGAGCTATAAAAAAAAAAAAAAAAAAATGCAAAATTTACCGATGTAAATATGCTTTCGAGCTAATAAAAAAAAAAAAAAAAAAATAGGTATGTCAACATTTTATTTATTTTAAAAAATTATTTATTTTAAAATATTTATCATGTTTTGGTCAATTTTAAAAGAAATAAATAAATATTTTTTTCTATTTACTGCCTTTATATATGTCGCAATGAATTATATTTTATTTTTATTGGTTTTTTTTAGATAATTATTATTAAAAAAAAAAAAAAAAAAAAAATAGTATGTCACATTTATTTTATATTTAAAAAATTATTTATTTTAAAATATTTATCATGTTTGCAATTTTAAGAAATAATAAATATTTTTTTCTATTTACTCTTTATATATGTCCAATGATTATTATTTTAATTTATTGGTTTTTTTAGATAATTATTATTAAATTAAAAGTAATATAGTCAATTTATTCAATAATTTATTATAATTTAGATAAATTTAATAATTTTTTCAAAGGACCTAAAATTCCAAATGCGAAAAGCATGACAATTATTATGGAACAAAATTTGTATGGAACAAAAATAGTATCAGCAAAGAATATAAGCTTTCCTAATCTAAGGATTTTTTTTTTTTCTCTCTCTTTTGTTGCTTTGATTTCAAGTTAAGCATAGAACATTGCTAGTCATCGAAGAAAAGTGAATATGACATTAATGATCAACGTGATTCTAATTCCTTAAAAATACATTTTTTTTTCTTAAATATCTAAAATTATAATAGTAATCCAATTTATGTTTAAAATTAAAACTTTACCATGAAATTGAATTTTTTTTTTTTTATAGTATTACCAAATGTGTATTCCATCTCCTCGTGAATTGAGTTTTTTTAATTAAACTTCAACTTTAAATTTTATTGATTGGATTAAGCTTAATTAATACCTCACTTATATGTACTACCTCTGTTCCATAATACTTATTACATTTGGAATTTTACGTCTTTTAAAAAAATCATTAAATTTTTCTAAGTTACAATAGATTATCGAGTAAATTGAGTATATTACCTTAATTTAATACTAATTCTCTAAAAAAACCATTAAATTTAGATAATAATTATTATCATATATAAATGATAAAACATGTAAAAAATATTTATTACTCTTTGAAACCACAAATGTGACAAGTATTTTGGAACAAAGTATTTTTTCAAATGTGACAAATATTATGAAATGGAGGTAAAACGTCAACATGATCAATTGTTAGAATGGAGTAGGGGTGGCCACGGTTCTAAAACCAAACCAAAAATTAACGGTTTCGGTTATGGTTTGGAATCGAACGGTTCCGGCTGATTTTAAATAATTCTGGCCGTTTTCGACCGGAATTAGAACCGTCTGTTTCGAGCGAAATTGGAACCGCAGGTTCACGGTTCCAAAACTGATGGAATTGAAACCAAACCGATTCGCACCGATTCCAGTTTCGGTTTCGGTTCCCACCGGTTTGGAACTGACGTTTCTGGTTCCGAAACCGGATTTTGGCCATCCTTGGAATGGAGGCATTAATAATAATGTCAGTTTTAGAATTTTATGAAATTTCTTTAAAAGGGGAGTAATAATTTAGGGCTATAAATGATCATAATCAAGTCAAATTTGAGTTCAAACACAATGCAATAAAAGATATATATTTAAATTTCAAAATTAGATTAAGCTCAACTCATTATTTCTTTTTAATACGGTCTTGAGCAATTAAAGAACAACATATTTCATTTATAGTCCAATCATTGAAATAGACAAGGGAAAAGGAAAGACAAAATAGAAAATATAAATTTGCAAATCAAGGGACTTAATTGCAAAGTAATCAAATAAAATTTTGAAATCAGAACTAAGGTCAGCATTCGTTTGATCAAATTGAACAAAACTGAATCATCTTGGTTTCAGTTGAGCTAAATATATTTTTATACTAACTGAATTCGAAGCCAAACGATATAAAAATTGATTCAAACCGAATTACTTTGATTTATAGTAACCAAATGAAATAAAAATCAATTCAAATCGAATTCAATAAATTTAGTTTCAATTTTAGAGTCAATTATTTCAAATTAAATTAATTATTTTAGATTTAAAAATAAATTTTATTAGTAATTTGTAATAATTGAACCAAAATAAAAAATAGGGTAATCAAATTTCTAAAACAAACCATTAATTCGCTTTGATTCGACTTTGGGTAAGTACCCGGTATCAGTCGCCCCTAGTCGGAACATCTCAATTGGAACAAACATGCTGATGTTGGCTTTCGTCACTTGAATGTAACGCGTATCAAATTACCTGTCGTTTTGAGCGCTAAAAGCTGAACCTTCCAACCAACTTCAATCCTATCGACGTCTTCCCTCCACCACCAAATTCACCAGCTCACTTCTCCACTATCCACTGTATACCCAAACGCGGCATCACCGTAGCTCCAATTCCCCTTCTACGTTCTTGAGGTATATCTTTTGCTCCTTAAATATATATACGTTTTTTCTTTTTAAATTTAAACTTTTTCAACTGAATCCAGTTCTTTTAGCGCCCAATAGATATGGCAGAAGTTGAAAGTGGATCGCCGAAGCGTACAGCGACTACACCATATGAAGAGGCTATGGATGCTTTATCATCTTTGATAACGAAACGCACTCGTGCTGATAAGAGCAACAAAGGAGATCGGTTCGATTTGCTTTTCGATTATCTAAAGGTGATTTCTTGCAATTAGAAGTTCTAGATTTTTTCACGTTGAAATTTTGGTGTGTTTGAGCTGATATTTTATGTTTTATTATGGATTTAGATGCTCGACTTGGACCAAGCAATTGCAGAGATGAAGATCATCCATGTGGCTGGAACCAAAGGAAAGGTACAAAAAAGTTCTGCTTCTTACTTAATTTATCTTAGTATATGTGTTTTTTTTTTACCGCCAATTATACTTAATTGTGTTTTAAAAAGGATATTTTCTTCAACTGCTTCCTTCAACTCTAAAGTTCCTTGCTTCATGTGATTTTCACTTGTATTTGGATGATGGATTGATTGGTAGTTTTGTTATTGCATTTGAATGAAAAAAGAATTTTTTTTTAACATACATGGAAAATTGATACTTCCATTTGTCTTTCATGAAGTTTGGTATAACTACTTTATGTGATCTCGTCCCTTGCTTTCTCTGTCCTTGTTCATTATTAATGCAGGATGAAAGAAATAAATGCTTCTGTTAGCTTTTCTATTTGTATGACACAATGTTTTTTAATTCTGCATTTACTCCTGCTATAGCGAGTGTTATTAAACAAATCTTATAGTTGTGATTATCTAGAGAATTGTTTTGTTGGATTTTCTTTTCTTTTTTTTTTTTTTACTCTATTTATTTGGGGCTCTAATCTTTCTTTGCCTTTGTGCAAAGGGATCCACTTGCACCTTCACAGAATCTATACTGCGTAACTGTGGCTTTCACACTGGGCTTTTCACATCTCCTCACCTGATAGATATTCGTGAAAGATTTCGTTTGGATGGGTGAGTTGTCAAATATGTGAATGAGTGTTATGTCCTTAATTGTACATAAATTAATTGATGAAGATGCATGCTATTTCTTTTATTCCCTAGAATTAGGTAGCTGTTTATGAAATATTATAATTTTTTATTAATATTTTAATAGTGAAGTTACTGTTCATATCATTCAATGTGATTCCCTGAACAAATCAGTATGATTTATTATTTCAACTCTGTTTCATTTCTTAAATGATAGTATCTGCTTCATTTGAAGTAATTAAACATTATTTGCTTCATAACCATCGATATTCTTATTTCTTGTTGGCTGTTGCAGTGGGGACATTTGTGAAGAGAAATTTTTGGCATATTTCTGGTGGTGTTATGATAGACTAAAAGTAATTTCTCTCTCTCACACACATTTGAAATCTACCTAGTTTTTACTGAATTTCCCTGTTGAAACATTCTGCTTACAGGAAAAGACTACTGAAGATATACCTATGCCTACTTACTTCCGCTTCCTTGCCTTGCTAGCGTTCAAGATATTTGCAGCAGAGCAGGTTAGACGTGCATAATTTTCAGCTTTCATAATATGCTTTCTTTCTATGTGGACAAGGTGCTTGTGCATCTAGGATGGGTAGGATTCTGATTTACTAAAATTGTCTATGTAGGTAGATGTTGCTATTCTGGAGGTCGGGTTAGGTGGAAGGTTTGATGCAACTAATGTGGTATGCACACTGCTTATTTGAGGAAGAATTTTATTAATTTAACATGTTCAATAGTAATATACAACTGTTGGCTTTTCCTGCTAGAGTTCTTTTTCCATGTCCATCTGACATGACTTGGATCTCATCTTTTTTCAGGTTCAAACACCTATTGTGTGTGGTATAGCTTCCCTTGGGTACGACCACATGGAGATTCTTGGTTAGTGTTTTATCTATATAAGTTAGGTTAATGTCTGCAATAGTTTGACATGTAGTTTCTTATTTAGTTACTGGTATAAAAAAGAATTTGGTAGATGTTAATTTGTGAATGGAACATATCTTAAATCTAGAGTCTTTCACATATTCTACCAGGATCTCATTTGCTAAGCATTGTTAATGTCTTGATAGATGCCTGCTTAATTGATGTCATATTAACATGCAAACTTTGATTGTGTGGAAATTGATGCAAATAAAACTCTTATTGGATTTTGGTCTCATGTTTTTCCAAAATTTTTTGGATCGAATATGTCAATATATCCTTGCTGGAGTATTAACAGGAAATACTCTTGGTGAAATTGCTGGGGAGAAGGCTGGTATCTTTAAGGTATTCATCTTAGCTACTTCTTCTTCAGGGATATATTTGATGACAATAAATTTGCTTGTTAACTGAATCCAGTTTGAGTATAATTTACTAGGAACTTGTTTTATTGAAGTTACTGGTTTTGAGTGCAGCATGGGATTCCAGCCTTTACAGTGCCTCAACCTGATGAAGCAATGCGTGTACTTGAGGAGAAGGCTTCTAAGTTAGATGTAAGTTGCTTAGTGCATTCACCACTTAGATCTGTTATATACAAAACTAGAAATGCGTGCCTGAAGTTTTGCTTCAAATGATACGCAGTAACTTGTGCAAGTCAACATGCATGATGCTCAAAGCTCATCTTGTAGGAAGTTGGTGTATGTTTTAGTAGATAGATCACATAATAATTCTGTGTTGATGCTTGGGCTCTTCTAAGTTGTTAGACAACAAGGTTGAAGTGATAAGACTTTATCAACCTGTCTCATTACTGAATCTATGGATGCATTTAGTTCAGTCTTAAGATTCTTTGGATAATTAAGGGTATGCAAGATATGACCATACTCGTGTGGTAGAGTTGGAGGCTTCTCTAACAATAGCTTGCATGTGTAATTTCTATTTGTTCCAACAAGTCATTCGTCATGCCCATTTTCTGAAGAATAATGCCACATTACTCCCATTAACAGAAGTTCATTATGCACATAAATAACTGCTGTAACAGTTTCCATTATGGGATAAGGCAATTTCCTTTTATGTTAGATTATGGAAGGATCAGGTTACAACCTTCTATTATGACTGAGAAAATCATATTGATTACAGGTACCTCTTCAAGTGGCACCACCATTAGATTCCAACTTGCTAAACGGTTTACAACTTGGGCTTGAAGGTGAGCACCAATATATAAATGCCGGCCTTGCCATTGCACTAGCTTCTAAATGGCTTCAAAGAACTGGCCATCTTGAAGTCACCTACTTTGAACAAAATGTAAGATCTATATGCTTAATGTGTTCTTTTGCAAGCTTGGTTTTACTTGGCAACATCTTCTCAAAGTTATATGCATGGAACAGAATTCACTGCCTGAGCAATTTATTAAGGGTCTAACAACAGCCTGCCTGCAAGGGCGTGCCCAAATTGTTCCTGATCGATATATCAACACAGAGTGTGATGGAGATCTTGTGTTTTATTTGGATGGAGCCCATAGTCCTGAAAGCATGGAAGCATGTGCGAGATGGTTTTCTATTGCCATTAAGGATAGCAACCAGCAAAGCACCTTCAATTGTCCTTCACAGAACAATTATCAACCTGCGACTGAATTGGTTGAGAAGCACCATGATGGACGACCCAAGAGCAATTTCATGCAGGTACATATTAATTACACCTTGTTTATGCCTCCTGCTTGTGGAGATCTATTAAATCAACATGCTAAATAGAAGTTGAAAATTCATAGTTTTGCACAAGGAACCATTTAAGTGGGCAGTTTGGACAAGGTAAAATCAATTACCTAGAATCGGTCTGGCAGAGCATATGAGGTTACCGTAGAATGCCTTTAGATGGTAGTTTCCAGCTTCCCTGCAAGTCAGAGAGTGGAATGGCATTTTCTATACTAGCTAAGAGATTCCTCATAGGATAGGGACCGTTTCTCAAGACTGAGGAAGCTATATTCATTTAAAGTTTAAACACACTGCAGACGTACACGAAGCAAAGTGCCGAAAATGCAGAAATGATATAGGTACTTTGTACCTAATGTTCTTTAAATTGAGTCATTTGGATGGATGATCACATGCAAAAATTGTGTTGTTACAACCACAATATGTGGTTCGTGGATTCCTTAATAGTGGCGAATGCTGCGAAATAACAATGATGCAACTTTTGTTTTAAATATCATCTGCTTGATTGATGAAACTACATTATCATATTAATTTGAATATTTTAAATATTACTATATGCTTTCGGATTTGCATTCTGATTTTTTGAATTTGGTTTTATTGTAAAACACTTGGGAGCTATATTGAGGTAATGTTTTGCATGTGCCAAGCAGATACTGTTGTTCAATTGTATGTCTGTGCGGGATCCTCAGCTTCTTCTCCCACGACTGATGAAAACATGTGCTAGTCATGGTAAGTACTTGAGCTTGAAGCATCTTTATACCTAATATGTTGAACTGTTTAGGAAATAGCTGCCATTTAATGGAAAATTATTTGTGAAATTGAAGTGTGCATTGAATTCTGAATCTTTAGGCTTCAAAATAATCGCTTCCTGCAACTTAGATCGGTAGTATTTATCTAAAGCTTGTTCTCATAAAGATGGAATTGATATTTAGGTGTCAGCTTCAAGAAGGCGCTCTTTGTACCAAATGTATCGGTGTATTACAAGGTTGGATCTCAATCTTTGCCCCAAACAGATGTTGATTTGTCGTGGCAGTTTACTTCGCAAAAATTATGGGAAAACCTTGTCCGGGGTGATAAAGGTATCAGTTAAATGTGCTTTATTTTAGTATGTTTTGTAATATAAGATAAAAAATACATGCTAGCTTACTTTATTGGACTTATTTACCATGATGGTTTTATTTTCATTGCACATAAATTTTTGGTGTAAATTCTTTTGCCAAGAATTATGTTGGCATATGTCTAGATATTCAAAAAATGACAGCATGAGCTTAGTAAATCAACTTTTATTTTGATTGTTTTTATTATGCATGCAATCCTGTGTTATAGAAATCACAAGTGCATCAAGGAGATTTTTCCTGATTTTGGGCTATAAATAAATATATTTTGAATTTTTTAGGTGGGGAGGCCAATAATGCAGGACCTGTTTGTGAAGAAGTTAAAGATGATACAGGAACTAGTGTTAGGACTTGCGAAAACAGCGCGGTCTTTCCTTCTCTACCATTGGCTATTAAATGGCTTAGGGACAACATCCACCAGAATCGCTCTGTTCGGATCCAGGTAATGCTGATTAATACATTCTGCTTTATATTATATATCCTGCATAGTCAAATTTATTTCCTTTTTCTAAAAATATGGTCACAGTAAAGTTTTGTGCAGCATAACGTATTTGGAACTTGAAAATTTTTTGGAATGGAATAATTGTATTGTTCTCAAGGAACTTTTACTATATTAGTGGAATTCCATGACATGAATAATTAAGAATCATTGCAATTCTGTATTCTTATAAAAATTGTTCCTAGCAGACGCCAACAACATCCAAGCCTTAGACATGATTAGGCAACGGGAAATGGGTAGATATCCTGTTCATATTATCTCATGTTTAAATAAAAATGTATTTCTAGGAAATTCAGGTGCACGAAAATAAAGATTTTGCTAGTCCTATTCTTAGCTAATTAACCTAGTCCTAACGACGGAATTCAAATTTGAGATGCTTTTAGACCGATAAGGTGTTGGCATGCAGGAAACAGCTAATATATTATTTTACCGTATTCAACTTTAATTTTTCTCTCCGAATTGTCAGGTCCTTGTTACCGGCTCATTACACCTTGTGGGTGATGTGTTGAGATTAATCAAGTAGAGCATATTCCAAGGTGTCTTGTTGCAGAAGCTCCCGCTGGAGATATGTGATGGTGTAGATGTAAGGCTGAGTGGAAGCTCCAAGTGAGTTCTCCAGTAGTTATTTAATTTTGACAATTGCACTCCCCCAGCAAGCATTATTGTTGAAGCTGTTGACTGTTCATGTCAATGTACTTGGGGAGTTTGAGAGATGTATAATGTTCAGTGAATTTGCAGAAATTTCATCTTTTTTTATTATTTTTTAACGAGGGATGCATGAAAAATTCTCGGAATTACCTGGAGGGAGAGTCACTGTTCTTCCCTTTCTGTGCGATCCCAAAAACCAGAAAAACAAGTTTTCACGACGTATCACAAAAATGCAGTTTTTGCGACCCCTTTCTTTTTGTAAAATCTTTTGATCCAAAAAAAAAAAAAAAATTCTTTTGATCCAAAAAAAAAAAAAAAAAAGGAGTTTATTAGGAAGATTTATATGGAATTGCACGGTGTCTCTATATTCATTACGAGTCTGAGCTAATAAGGCTCAACAGGAACGGTCATAACTCGTAGGATTGTGCACAATCTTAGTTTCTTGGGTTCTATCACTACCTGTTAACAAAATTAAAGTTAGAAACAGTGGAAAAACTGATGGTGGGCGTAGTGATTTGTATCTTTTCTAATAGTTCTTGCTTATTTAACATACATATTTTTGAATGACTTTTTGAGAATTGTCTGGCATGAGTTGTAAACAAAAAATAAGATTGTTGAGGTGGTAGTTACAAGTTCCAATTTGATGTTATATATTATAGTTTTTTTGGAAATTGGTTTGGATGGGATTCTTCTCATTCTATTGTTACAAAAAAAAAAAAAAAAGAAGTTTATTAGAAGATTCTATATGGAATCACGGTTTCACTATATTATTAGAGTCTGAGCTAAATAAGGCTCCACACAGGAAAGAAAATTGTAGGGATTCACCAATCAGTTCTTGGATACACATACCCTGAAAAAAAAATTAAAGTAGAAACAAGAAACTGGGGACAGTATTTGTATCTTTTTTAATAATTTTCTTGTATTACATCACTTGGAATAAATTGGTCTGGCATGAAGAAAACAAAATAGAATCGGATTAATTACAAGTTCCAATTTGATATAAATTTATATTTTTTGGGAATTGGTTGGAATGGGATCTTCCTCTTCTAAAACAAAAAGGACGAAGATTGGATTTTCTCCTCCAAGGAAAATGGAGAAGGAAAAGTGAGTTATTTTCCATTACTTCAAGCCAGGAAGAGGAACCTAATGCTTTTCAACTTATTTTGAACTCTGGTTCGCTTTGCTCTAAAGCCAATTAACTTGCTCTACTTCCTAGCAAGAACCAGTAAAGTTTAAAGGAGATGTTAATTAAAGGAAATGTACCAAATACAATATCTGAGGGTTTCGATTCCTTGCGCAAAAATGGAACTTACCCAAAACTATCTAAACCAGCCATCACCTCTTTCGTTTTCTATCTACGCTGCAAGAAAAATAAAATGGTTGAGGCTATTGTTTCCTTTGCCATTGAAAGAATTGCAGATACACTTGATCGCGAAGCAAGTTGAGCAATTGCAAATCGAAATGAAGCCGATCCAATGCTTCTTCAAAGATGCAGACAACAGGCAAGATCCAGACGAGCGGGTTCGCAATTTGGCATCCGAAATAAGAGACGTCGCATATGAGTCTGAGGATGTGATTGATACCTTTCTTCTTCTCCCAGCTAGAACAGGCACAAGAGAAAGTGTATCCAGATTCATCAACAGGCTTGCTTTCATCTTCACCGAAGTTAATTATCTACATGAAATTGGAACCCGGATCAAATCCATTCAAGCTAAGATTGGGAGTATCTCTGCAAGTGTGCAGACTTATGGCATCCGAGGTAATCGAAATCCTTTTTTTTTTTTTTTTTTTTAAATTAGAATTAATGTTAGCTGTAAAGTAAAATATGAGAAAGAGAAGAAAAAAAATGCTACAAAAACAAATGGTAGCGTAAAAATTTTTTCGTTTTTATTTTTTTTTAATGTTTTTTCATGTAAATGACGCTATATGTTAAATAAATTAATAGATAGATTTTAAATTCATGTATCATGAGAAAATATGATTTTTTTTTAAAATGAAATATTTTATATTTACTATCACTTTAATATTTTTGATAATTGCGAGTGAGCTCTTATAAAAATAAAAATTAGGTGACTAAAAAATGACAAATTAAAGTCAGGTGACCATTAATATCTATAAAGTACATAAAATTGAATAGTAAAATGAACTTTAAAATCGTAATTTTACAAATACTATAATATTTTTATTCAACATAATTTTATGGAAAAACACTTCAATGAAACATTAATTTGATAATTAATTTATCTAAGCTTCATATATTTCCAAGTTTAATTTCAATTTTAAATATCTATAAATAATAATAAGGTAAAAAGCAATATATACTTTAACAATTTCATAATTACATATATACCAAAACATAATGATAATTATTGATACTATTTGAGTATAATTAAATAAATATTTTTTAGATAAAATAATTATGTAAAATTTAATTTTATTAGGGTTTAATGTGTATAATGGGTTCAAAATAAATAATGATAATAATTTTCATAATACTTAAAAAAATAATATTATAACTTGCAAACGTTAAAATATATAAATTGTAAAATCATAAGATTGCATCACAAATTTGTAAAAATCGTATTGATTTTATTTATTGTTTTTAAAACAGACCAGCCGATCAAATCGTTAACCCATGAATAGGCCGTTGGTCTGGTTCAATAATTTAATCTTGCTAATTTAAAATAAATTATAATCAGGAAAATTGGTTGAAGCATAGGAAATTTTTGAAATTTTTTAATTTTTCTTGAAAAATCTACTTTAATATCCTGTCCTGCCCAATTTTAAAATAAATAATCTAACTTTTATTGAAAATTCTACTTTAACATATGTGCTCAATTTGTTTAAAAAAATTATACTATAATTAATAATTAATTATTTACTTATTTAATTAATTAATAAAATTATGTAAAAATTGTAATTTAATTCTAAAAGTACTACATTATAGTATATAAATGTTTTTATATTTAGTATAAATGATGAATGATTTGAAAATTGTTATAATATTTAAATTGTTACTAGCTTATGTTTAGATATTATATTGATGGATAATATTTAATGTGGGGATGAATAATTTAAAAATTAGTAATTATAGATTGAAATTTCATGATGAACGATTTGCAGTATGTGGCACCTGAGAATCTTATCAGGAAAAATGCAAGCAACCATTTGACTAATCTTCGGAAATTGGCAATAGTTTTCAACATAAAAGGGGAAATGAAAGGCAAATATGAAATCTCCCATTTTCTCTACAGGTCGTCCAGTTTCCTTGCATAAAGAGGCAAGAGGAGAAAGTTCATTTCCAAAACTGGAACCTCTTTCTCACTGTCAACATTTAACAAACCTGGAGTTACATGGAGAGATATAAGAAGGCTAGGAATTTCTACCAACAAGTCTTGCCAAGTTAATTTTGAAGAATTTTAAGTTCAAGAAAGATCCAATGTGTGTTTTAGAGAAGCTGCTTCATCTAAGATTTTTATACTTGCTCTCTGGATCATACGTTGGATAAAAATGGTTTGCTCTGAGAACGGGTTTCCACAACTTAATACTCTTAGACTCGAATCTTTAGAGATAGTTGGGAAATAAAAGAAAGTGCAATGCCATGTCTGAAGCATTTATATTTACATGGGCTGTCGAAATTGAAGATGGTTCCAAAAGGGATTGCATTTGTAACTTCCCTCCAAGAATTGAAAGCCAGTTACATGACAGAAGAATTTACATTTAGAAGTCGATTCATAATCTTCAAGCGACATACACCCTCTATTTCAGTATCTGCGGGAAAGGTATAAGTTAAAGCAAGGTAATAACGCCTTCTTCTTTTAGCAAGAATTACCATTTGTCTAGATTGGATCTATGAGTCCCCTTATGAATTATTGTAATAGTTTAAGAATTTCTTTATTCTACCACTGATGTTTTTGTATTCTGTAAAATTCTTCTTCCTTTATGAATAGCCATTCTTTTTTTTATTGGAATATTCTATTGAACTATATGATCTATTCCTCTCTTTCTTTGTTAAGATACCAACTAAAGGGAAAGAATTTGCAGCTCCAAGGACTGTGGCTCAAGGAGAGATGGTTGCTTTCTATTGGAGTTGTGGGAGTTGTTTTGCTGTATATATGTGTTATATTTTACTCAGTGTTTTCGGAATAAATAAAAAATTTATTTTAAATTTATAGCAATTTAAAATTTATTAGTTTGTATACTTTTTCCACATATTGTTTTGAAAGTCAATTATTCGAAGTCTTTTGGAGTTTCTTGGCTTTTTATGTATCATGAATTTTTCAATACTTGTGTTTTAAAAAATTTTGAACTAATTAATAATTATGTAAAGAATTCAATTACTGTAGAATACGTTATTAATCACAGATACACAGATTAAAATTGTCCATTCAAGGAATAACTTTCCTCGTGAATACTTAATTATTTTTTAATTTGTTAAATGAAATTTTATAAGTTTAAAAAATGAATATAACAGATATATTTTTTTAAAAAATGAAAACGTTATTGTTTCAACATTTTTTAATTTGCTCCTTCCAACTCTAAACACGTTAAATGTTTGTGACGGACATAGTGATTTAATAACCTATTCTCAATAATAAAGTCCTAAAAATTAGAAAACAAATAACAAAATATCATTACTACAATATTCTAATATTATTAAATTATTTTATGGAAAATATGAATCATTATAAAAAATAAAATAATACTAATGAGTGTTGGATGGGCTGTGAAATAGAAGATTATCTAATGAATGAAGCAAATACTTATTGACCGAGCTGCACATGCGTTGAAGATCTCACTATTACAATATTAATTTGGTGAAATTTCTTTTGTTTTTGTCTATCTTCTAAAATTTTGGTTTCCTCAAAAATTGTATATATCTTTCAGTTTGAAAGAAATTCTTGAAAATATTCAAAAAAAAACCTTTTTAATCAAATTTGAACTTTGAATGCAACTGAAAAGTCAGCTCCGGTTGTGAATTGTAACTTTGTATTTTATGCAATTATATCTACTTGAACCTACTAAATAAAAAAATTTAATGGGCTCCATTTATTCTAATAAATTATTAATTTAAAAACTTTAGCTTTCAGGTTGAATCAAGTTCGAGTAGAACCACATATCAATACTCTTATAAGATTTGAACTATTTTTTCTCATAATGTTTTTTTGGTCAATGTTGGATGCCAATTTGATAAGAAATGAAACTGAACAAAAGCCAAAATTAATATTTTCATTGACTAAGTTGCTAGAAGGATCTTTTTATTTAAAAACCTAGAAATCCATGAATCAGTCTGCAACATATGGTGCAGCAGTTAGAGTATCTAGAAGAACTGAGGCCCAAATTCTACTTTGCTAATCAGCAGAGTTCATTTGTCATATTTTTTTTATTCCTTCTGCCTATGTTGCTTCGTTCTGGACAAGATTAGTGGAAATCTTGTCCAAGATAGGACAAGATTAAGATCTTTTACAAGAACAGAACATACAAGAATAATATGGTAGAGGCTCTTCTTTCTTTAGCTATTGAAAGAATTGCTGATTTGCTTATTGATCAAGGAGTTTTTCTGCATGGTGTAAGAGAGAAGGTTACTCGCCTACAAGATGAACTGAAACGGATGCAATGCTTCTTGAAAGATGCCGACAGAAGACAAGAACAAGATGAACGTGTACGCAACTGGGTAGCTGAAATAAGAGATGTTGCTTATGAAGTTGAAGATATCATTGATATCTACATTCTTAATTCTGCAACAAGTAGCAGAAAAGGGATAACCTCATTTTTTACCAAAGGCCCTAAACTCCATCATATTGGGACTAAGATCAGATGCATAAGGGCTAAAATTTGGGAGATTTCTACTGGTATGCAGACTTATGGCATCAAATTTGCTGGTGAAGAAAAGGGATTTAGTTCAGCAAGTGAAATGCAACAGCGATTAAGAAGATCAGATCCATATGATGAGGAAGAGCATGTTATTAGCTTGGAAAGTTGCACAAGAGATCTTATGGCTCAATTGATGATAGAGAAGAATCAACTCCGTGTCATTTCAATAGTAGGCATGGGAGGACTGGGGAAAACCACTCTTGCCAAGAAATTGTATAATCATATTGAAATTAAGCGACACTTTGACTGTTGTTCTTGGGCTTTTGTGTCTCAACAATTTTCTCCAAGGGATGTTCTGTTTGGAATTTTGATAGAAGTTGCTCCTGAAGAAGATAAAAGGACATTGGTAAGCATGAAAGAGGAAGAGTTAGTTAAAGCACTAAAAAATGTGTTGAAGGGGAAAAGATACTTGGTGGTTCTTGATGATATGTGGGAAGAGAAGGCGTGGGATAGTCTCAAACGTGCTTTCCCAAGAGGAAAGAAGGGAAGCAAAGTTTTGTTCACCACTCGAATCAAGGAGGTTGCTTTATATGCTGATCCATGGAGCTCAGTGGTAGAACCTGTTGGTTTAGAAGAGCAGAAAATTAAGGAAGAGAAGGAAATTCTGCAGAAAAAGAAAAAGCTGCAGATTTTGTGAGTGTGAAGAAACAATTAATTTAGAACTGTTTAGGAGAGGCAGAAAATTAGGAATGAGAAGGGAAATTCTGCAGAAAAGAAAGACTGCAGATTTTGTGATGGAAGAATCATTATTTTCTTATTATTGCCATTACAAGCATAATTAAAGACACTCTTTATAGTAGAGCTAGTCTTAAAGTTTGTTCCACCAACCTTCCATAAGTCAGGAAGGTTGTTCACCAAACCTTTACCTAAAAGCAGGTAGTTCACCTACCTTTTGATTTCAACAAAATACAACAAAACTCTAAAGTGACTTTAACAAATACCTCCAAAATTGTCAACACACTTGCATCCAATGCTTGTAGCTGTAACTTTAACTCCTCCTTGATTGCTAAGAGTTGAGACAACACCACGTCTATTCCTAGAAATTCAATCTTGGCTTTTTGCAAGCCTGGTGAAAATATCTGCTTTTTGGTCTTCGCAGATTGCAAGGAATAATCTTGAAATTTCTTTTCCTTTTCAGCTTCGAATCTGGCCTTATACTTGATTTTGATATGCTTGGTTTTTTCCATGGAAGATGGATTTTTTAACCATGCAAAGCTGATTTGTTGTCACATAGTATTTTTGAGTGGGATTTTTCTTTGTGGAAAATTCAGATTAAACTTATACCTTTGCTCAAGCTTCTTATAGCTTGGTTTTACTGAGCATAGCAGATGCTGCAGCATACTTGCTTTGCAGTCTGACTTGAGCAACTGAAGTTTGCTTTCTTTGTATCCCCAGCAATGACAGCAGTGACAAGTGAAAAACAAACGAGTGTGCTCTTCTCATTATCGTCAATGAACAGCCCAATCACTGTCTGAGAAACACCATAAACAATCTTTTCACCCATTTAATCTTCTATAAAAACAAACCAAATTCAGTGCAGTTCTCGCACATGTCTCAGCTAACTCGGTGTGGGCATGCTGTAAAGCTGGTTTTTCGTATGGGTCATTCATTTGAATCTCGACAGTTAAATTGTTGCACATCCTGATATCTGGTCTTGTTACAGATAAATACAGCAAAGAACACCATGCTTCCTATAAGTTGAGCACCTATAGATGAGAACTCATCCTTTTGCAATTTTATTATTGGGCTGTAGTGTACTCACTGGTTTGCATTTGCTACTGTTCAAACCTTTTTAAGCAGCTCCAAGCCAAATTTTTTTGTGAAAATAGCAATCCCGTTGCTCATCTTGAGCCATTTTCAATCCCAAAGGAATAGCAATTACAGCCAAGAATCATTCTTCTCAAAAACCTGCTTTGCATCTTCAATCTGAATTCTTGAATTTATTGTAAGATTGTTACTGAAATAGATCGTTCAAAACATTACACAGAACGATATAGCACATCATATCCTTGCTCTCTCGAGTTACGTTAAAGTGTTGCCCTCATCAAGCTTCTCGTTTAAAAACCCAATTCCGCAAAGTATGATTACATCTTGCCATTCCACAATATCGGAGATATTTTTTAAACCATAGAGGTGCTTTCTTCACAAAACACACTCTATTGCTTCCATCATTAAAAACCTGTCACGGCTGCTTCAATAAACAACTTCTTCCTTAAAGACCATTAGGAAAGGCTGATTTCAACATCCTCAATTGAAAGACTGCCAACCGTTCACCTGCTTGCTAGTGCACAAATCATATTCTGAGTAGTGTCAAATCTTTGAACCTGGTGCAAAGGTTTCTTGTGTAAATTTCACCCCTTGCTTTAGAGCGTAGCCATTTACAACATATTCTTGCATTTGTGCTTATTGTGGAGCCATCAGAATTTAATTATCAATTTGAATACCATTTAGGTTCCAAATAATCTGCTTATTCAATGGTCTTGAGGAGATAAATCATGTTTCGTTCTTCATACATCATTCTTAATCCTCCTCCCATGCAGATCTTCCTACTCAGGCCAATTTTGGCTTATTACCTGAGTTTGGGTTTCAAGTGCCGGACACGTTACTCTGCTGTAAATTTCCTCTAGGGATCTAGTTTCTCTAATTGCATTTTAATCATTCTCTCATATGATTCTTCTTCATTGTCAAACTGGAAAGTTTCTTGCTCTTGCTGCGAAAATCAAGGATTGAGTTTAGAATTTTCTGGTTCCTTTTTATTCCAATTCCCATTACCTTTCTTCATCCGAATTTTGACATCCTGCTGGCCAAACCCTGTTTTAGTACATGACTTCAAAATTCTTGTTGTGAGGCCTTTGGTTCACTGCTGCTCAGCCTACTTAAATTCCTTTTTTAAGGCTCGTTGATTCAATTTCCCTCTTGGCAATATTGGAATTAATGGTATGTGCATTATGCTCCAAAAGATTGAGATGACTCAACTCTCGGCATGTGTAATACTCCAATACCAGTTTTCTGAAAGTAGTTTTCATCCGCCCAATAGCTTTCGGTTGGTAAGCCGATTTGAAGATAATCTACAGCAGTCCTGTTTACAGCTCAGCCCAAAGAAAAAACTTTGGAGATTTTTCTTCAACAATGTAGGAATCTTCCGACCATAATTTCATACACAGATCGATTCTTTTCTTTCACTTACACATTTTGTTTGACGGTGTGAAGTCTGTTTAATTGATGTGAATGCCAGGCTTCTTGCGAATTTGGCTTGGATATTTGATGTGGATGTATTCCGAGCCCCCTTATCAAGACTCTTAAAATCTTGTTGGGAGCCAGGCTTGAGATTCCTTCTTTACCATTGATTTAAATTGTCTGGAAACCATTTTGAAAAACTTCAATTGAATTGGTAGAGAGAGATCATACCAGCGGAATCTGGTGTAGTCATCAATAACAATAGAATACTTGTTGCCATTGTAAGATGAGGGCAACTCATAGGGCCACACACATTCAGTGTGTGATTTAATTCAAGTTTTCATAGGAAGCTCTCTGCTGATCAGATGAAAAATGGTGTTTGGTTCATGAGTTTTGCCCTAACTTTGACATATTTACATTTCTCTTTACTGTGCTCTCTCCTTCAAAACTTATAGGATGGCAAATTCAGCAGTACCTAAAACCTTCTTGGATTGTTAGTCAATTTTCTCATTGAGATTGGGTAACCAAGTCTCTGGTATGCCACCAAATTCAAGATTTCTTCTTTTCTGAACTCAAGCCAAGTATCTCTCTTTGAAGTCTTAATTTAGAGGAAAGCTTCTCGTTTCATTTTGACAGCAAATATAACTTGAGCCGGAAGGATCACTTATTTCAACAAGGTTTATCTATTTAAAATAGCAAAACTGTATTCTTATCCAGCAATTGATCAACCTGACAACAAGCTTTGATTGCCCGTCCGGTACGTAAAAGAAAACAATCGGAAAAGCTTCTGTTTACCTGAAGGAGTTGTTGTTAACAAATCCACATCTCCTTTGCCTTTGACTCAACAAGCCTGACTTTTTAAAGGATAGGTTATATCCAAGCTATCGAAATCACCAAGTTTGGTGTTCAGTGGTTTAGTGCAAGCCACTAATCAAAAGCCATGCTTTTTTAGCTTCTAATTTAGACACACATTTTTCAATTTTCATTTTTACTGCAATAGTTGTTCTTCATTACTTTTTCAGATTTTCGGTGGCTTGTTTGCATGATGATGGGCTTGTGTTTGCTGATTCTGGTTTGTAAGAACAAAACTTTCTCGGTGTGACAAAATTGCTTACCACCTTACCGACTGAGCTCAGGTCTGAACCAGCAGTAGTTCTCAGTGGGTGTTGTTTTTTTGCAATGTGGACAAGGTCGGAAATCTTTCTTCCTCCAATTTTTCGTGATTTCTTTCTTCATTTTTGGTTTTCTGTCAGTTTTGCTGGCTCTTGGAACCTCCTTCTTTGCATTTTGGTTTTGGTGTTCACACAAGAAGGCCTTCTACTCCATGGTTTCTTTTCCTTATAGAGGCTTTTCTTTGTTTTAGCTTGTAGGCATTTGATAAGACACATTCAAGGATATTTGTGACATGTCCCAAGTTTCATCTAGAAGAAGAAACTTCTTTGGACTTCAGATTGTATTCCAGGAAAAGTCAGCCATACATTTTCTCACCAATTCTCTTTCTCTTCTATAACGTCTATTCTCCCATATACAATCGAATTTTTGGATTTATCTCATTTTATAACTCTATCAAACATCAATCTATCTCACCTTTTCATTTTCCTTCATTTTCACATTTCAAATTCTTTTTCTTAAATTTGAATCTGCAACTGTCTAGTTTTTTCAGATCCTGATACTCATTTTAACTTCTCCCAAGTTCCATGTGCGTCTCCAGTCATAATTGGTGAAGATAGGATCTGCAAACGTTGCAGTGGATTAATAGGACAGGCTTTTGAGCCTTGCAACCTCTTCTTGATTTGGTCAAAAATCTGTGAAGGGTTGGATGTTTGATTAAGAGGTGAGGTAGCTCTGTTTTCCTCCACACTTTAACTTCCATAATGCAAGCCCTTGAAATAAATGCTCTCGATCTTCAAGCCCAAATCAATTGATAGTTTTCCCCATTAAAAATGAGGTAGGTGAAATGAAACATGCTGTGGAGCCCATTTTTGAGGGAAAGTCAAATAAACAGGAAAACTCACTTAATTCTGGTTTATTTTGGTGGCTTTCTCTATGACTTTCACTCAAACAACACCGCCTCCTTGAGATATCAAGGTTTGCTCTGATACACTTGTTGGTTTAGAAGAGGCAAGATTAAATTAGAGGAGAGAGGAATTCTGCAAAAAAGAACCGCTGCAAGGATTTGTTGAAGTGGTGAGGAAACAATTAATTTCTATTATTCCATATACAATGGTCATATGTATAAACATTCTATGTAGAGCTAGTATAAAGTTTGTTCACATACTTATCCCATAAGTCAAGAGGTTGTTCACCCAAAACTACCTAAAAGCAAGTAGTTCCTTACTCTTGATTTCAACAAAATACAACAAAATCTAATGACTTTAACAAATACCTCCAAAAATTGTCAACAACACTTGCATCATAGCTGGTAGCTGTCAAACTTTAACCAACAAAATACAACAAAATCTAAATGACTTTAACAAAATACCTCCAAAAATTGTCAACAACACTTGCATCAATAGCTGTAGCTGTAACTTTAACAGAACCGCCATATTTGACAATTGAAGAAGCTTCTTATTAGCAATGCATTTCCTAAAGATATTGTACGGAAGAGTAGTTATCCATTAGAATATGAGAAGTTGGGGAAGGAGATGGTGAGAAAATGTGGAGGACTACCTCTTGCAATTGCTGTACTTGGAGGTTTGTTGGCTAATAAGTCATTAAAGGAGTGGGAGCTGGTGCAAAAAGATATTAATTCTCAATTCATCAAATTGCAGCAGTCTTATCAATATGCAGGAGTAAATTGGATACTAGCTTTGAGCTATGATGATTTGCCGAGTCGCTTAAAACCATGTTTCCTCTATCTTTCCCAATTTTCAGAAGATTCAGAGGTTCAAAAGAAAACGTTGATTAGAATGTGGATTGCTGAAGGCTTTATATCATCTCCGCTAGGAGGAGGAGATGATACGATGGAAGATGCAGCTGAAAAATATTTAGAAGACCTTGCCAGTAGGTGTATGGTTCAAGTGAGCCAAAGAGACCATACTGGAACAAGAATTAAAAAAATTCGCATTCATGATCTTATGCGACACATGTGTTTGTCTAAAGCAAGAGAAGAGAATTTCCTCAAGATTGCTGAACATCGAGAGGACACCACAACAAAGAGTTCTTCCAATACTCTGGGCATAACAACAAAATCACGCAGAATTGCTATTCATCCTCGCATACACCAACATGATGTTAATAAGAAATTTCGTACACCCTTGGTCAAAGGGGATGCACACCTTCGTTCTCTTTTCTACTTTGCTGAAAGGTCCAGGTATGGCATGACAAGGCAACAAGCAGTATTTCTTTTTAAGAATTTCAGACTTCTTAGAGTCTTGAATCTTCAAGGTGTATATCTATATGATGGATATAGTTCTAAAGAAATTTGTAACTTGATTCACTTAAGATATCTTGGATTGAGAAATACTAGATTAGGCAGAAAGAATAGTTACATGTATTCTATGTCCACTTCATTGCCAGCATCAATAGGTAATCTGAAGAGTTTATATACTCTTGATTTAAGGGACAATTATTGGTTAAGGTTGGCTGATGTACTGTTCAAATTAGACTATCTGAGACACTTGTTAATAGATAGAGATGATGTCGGGCATTTGCGGTTGGATACACTAAGAAATCTTGAAACTTTGACATGGATAGAAGCTAAGAATGTAATTAGAAGAGATGCAGTGTCCAAATTGACTAATCTTCGAAATTTAGGAATATATTTTGAGACAAGGGAGGAAGCTGAGGTGGTTCTACAATCTCCAATTTTTGGATTAGGCCATCTGCGATCCTTGAATATGCGAATGAGATGGAAAAATTTTCCAAATCTGGAACCACTTTCTCATTGTCATCATCTGACAAAACTGCAGCTAGATGGAAGGATTGATGATAATGTACACTCTTCATTTCATAACCTGCAATTTCTGCCAGCAAGTCTTACAAAGTTAAGTTTGTGTCATTCTCATTTAAAACAAGATCCAATGGCTACTCTAGAGAAGCTGCCTAATTTGAGGTTTCTGTCTTTGGATGGAGATTCATATGAAGGGTCTGTAATGGTCAGCTCTGCTTATGGTTTTCCTCAACTTGAGGTTCTTAAACTTCGATGCTTAGATAATTTGGAAGAATGGATAATAGAAGAAGGTGCAATGCTGAATTTAAAGACTTTAGATATAGATAGCTTGAGGCAATTAATAAAGGTTCCTGAAGGTTTGAAGTTCGCAAGTGCTCTTCAGGAAATGAACATACGTTGGATGCCAGAAGCATTTGAAAAGAGGATTCGAGTTATAAATAAAGAAGGTGGCGAGGATTTTGACAAGGTGAAGCATATACCTTCCCTCATGTTCTATCCTTGAAGAAGCTGACACAGGAAGACAAAGTGAGCATTTTCATTGGCATCTGCAGCAATGAAAAGTCTTGTGCATGTTCCAATTACAGTTTTCTTAGGAATCTTTTCACTTGGTTCTTCCTTTAGTATTATTGAATCCTCAAATTTGGTACTCTGTTTCAGGTAGTACTTGAAAAAAAAATAGTACTTGGATACACAGTCTGAAAAAAATTACAGTAATAACAAGAAACCAGGCTTATTTTGTATATGGATTGAAATATGGAATTTTATACTACATTTCCATTCCCCCATATTTCATATGCCAATATTTAAAAACACATTCCATTTTAAATTTCATATTCTGAAATTAAATTGCAAATTAGGATTTGATTTGGGTTTGGTGGCTTGAATATTATATGCCCTTCTATTTCCACAAGCACTCTAAGACTATTGAAGCTCTAATAGCATGACCATATTTGGTAAACTTAACTGCTTTAATAATTATTAGTTGTTTTAATAGCGGTTAATTTTTTTTCTAATATAATATTTCATCAAACGTTAAAGAGAATAATGTTACATTATTCATTCTCTCAAATTCTAAATATTAATATAAACGTTTTATCACCAAACACTATAAATAATAGAGATGACATTTTGATAAAGTTCAAAACACTAAACGTTATATGAAAAGCTATTGCCGAATAGATTTCATATTAATATTCAAAATTAAATCCGATTTGAAACCAGCTAAACCCGAACAAAGTAGACCATTTTCTGGTTTTAGCTAAATTTGAATTGAGAACTGACTGGTTTATAGTTCAACCGATTAAACCGAATAGTACGACCTGGGTTTGAAAATACTGGACTAAAGCTTTCACTTACATATCTAGTGCTTGGGGCATTTATGGGCCTACGGAGTTGGAGCGACAAAATGGAGATAAAGAAGATTATATCCCTTTCTATTTTTCTTCTTTAGGTGATGTAGATTCCACATTCACACTCAGGCTTTCCAAGACTATTAAAGATCCAATGTCATATTAGTAAAATGGAGATAAAGAAGAGAAAGTCAAAACCATAGACACAAAAACAACTAACCGAAGGCAGAGTTTACATTAATGAACAAAGATTCCTTTTTTTTTTTTTCATTTTCTGCATAAAACAACTCTCCACTCTTCCTTGAAAGATGGGTTGTCAGATTTTCTCCTCCAAAGAAATTGGAGAAAGAAAGTTTGTTATTTCATTACTTGAAGCAAAGAAGAGGAACCTAATGCTTTTCAACTTTAGTTTGCTCTGCACCAAAGCCACTTCACTTGTTCTATTTCCTAGCAAGGGATCAATAAAGTTCAATGAAGATGTTAATTAAAGAAAATATATGAAATAGAAAATTATTTGAGAATTTCAATTCCTTAGGCAAAATGGTACTTGATACAAACTATCTAAACAAGCCATCCTTGAAGATAATTTTCACCTCTTTCATTTTCTATCTACACTGCAAGAAAATTTAAATGGTTGAGGCTGTTGTTTCCTTTGCCATTGAAAGAATTGCTGATGTACTAGTTCGTGAAGCAAGTTCCCTTTCTGATGTGAGGGATAAAGTTGAGCAGCTACGAACTGAATTAAAGCGAATTCACTGCTTCTTGAAAGATGCAGACAATAGGCAAGATAAAGACGAGCGCGTCCGAAAATGGGTAGCTGAAATAAGAGAGATTGCATATGAAGCTGAGGATGTCACTGATACCTTTCTTTATGCCAAAGCTCTAACAGGTACAAGAAAAGGCATATGCAGATTCATCAAGAGGCCTTTTTCCATCTTCATTAAAGTTTCTTATTTACATGAAACTGAAACCTGGATCAAATCCATTCAAGAAAAGATTAGGAGTATCTCTAGAAGTATGCAGACTTATGGCATCAAACTCATTTTTGAAGGAGAGGCGTCTAGACGTGCAAGTGAAATGCGGCGATTTAGAAGATCATATCCACATGAGGAAGATGATGTTATTGGCTTGGAGGTAAGCATGAGGAGCATTAAATCTGTTAAAGGTTACAGCTACAACTCCATTGAAGTAAAATTGATGCACATGTTGCCGACAGATTTTGGATGTATTTTGCTGATGAAGATAGTGTAGCTGATTGGAGGCTATCTCAAACTCATTTTATGAAGGAGTAAGGGTTCTAGACTTGTCAGTGAAAAATCGCGCGGCGAATTTAGAATCGATCACATCACATGAGGAAGATTGATGATATTTGGATTGGGGTAAAGGGATGAGTGCATTTATATCTGTTAAGTCTTACAGCTTACAACTCCATTGATGAAGTAAATTGAAGCACATGTTGCCGACCAGATTTTGGATTGTATTTTGCTGATGAGATGTGTAGCGGATGGAGATTATTTTTGCTGATCGTCATGTGTAGATTTATGTTGTACTTTGTTTTCGAGATTATTTTGCTGAAGTCATTTAGATTTTGTTGTACTTTGTTATCTTGTAATCTCCATCTCTTGTATTAGTTGAAGTCAAGTAGCAGTAGTTGAAAAATCTGTGACGTACCTTGCTTTAAGCTTTAGTTTGGAAGACAAACTTCCTTGATTTTATGGAGATTTGGTGAATAAATTTTAGAATAGCTCTTGTATAAATATTTTCACTATGCTATAACGGAGATAAATCTTTTCTCTCCACACTTACATCATTCTCTGCAGACTTTTCCTTCTCTTTCTTAATTCTCTGTTCTTCTAAACCAACAAAATCTCAGTTGATGTTGGAGGAAGAGCAACAGCGAGTTGTTTCTATAGTGGGCATGGGAGGACTAGGTAAAACCTCTCTTGCCAAGAGAATATATAATGACATTCAAGTGAAACAACAATATTTTCATTGTCATTCTTGGTCCTTCATATCTCAACAGTTCTCCACAAGGCAAGTTTTGGTTGGAATCTTGATGGAAGTTGCATCTAAACAAGATAAATTTGAGTTGGTAAAGATGGAAGAGGAAAAGCTTCTTCAATTGAGATTGGAGAGGATGGAGGATGAATTGGATAGGATGAAGGAGAAAAGATTATTTAAATTGATGTTGGAAAACATGAAAGTGGAAGACATGTTCATTTCCATGTTAGAAAAGATGGGAGAGGGAAAACTAGTTGAAGAAGTTTCTAATGTGTTAAAGAAGAAGCGATATTTCGTGGTCCTCGATGATATTTGGAGAAGTGAAGATTGGGATAGTTCCGTGAAGATCGGGATAGTTCCAAACGTGCTTTTCCAAAGGGAAAGGGAGGGAGCAATGTTTTACTGACCACTTGAAATAAAGATATCGTTCCCACGAGGATTATAATCCAAATACCAAAATTATGTTATCTTGTTATTATTTAACCGATAATTGAGAGAATTGTTTTTATAAATATAAAAAAAACAAGAGTCAAGTAAACAAAAATTGATTAAAAGAAATCAAGGAATTGAAACTACGGGGTTTTGGATTCAACTTAATTCTCCTATCTAATTTATTTCATTAGTTCATTAATCAATTTAACTTATTCAAGTAGGGGGAAACCCACTATGAATTCGCTAACAAGCCTTCCGATGTATTTGCTAGCTTTTTAATTCCATTTAATTACTTATCTTCCCAAGTGCAATCAAGTATGTAATTAAATCATTAAAGTTATGTAGTTTGTTTTATGCATTTTACAATTTAAGGTTGATAAATTCAAAAACCCCCCATGGAGTCAAACCATATAGCTTCCGCATCCAAAGTTTATTATGTCTCATGTGTTTTATTAACCTTTTCTTATCAAGATCTTTCTTGCCGATAGTGATAATTGAAATAAATCAATATAGGGGATTCTGCTAGAGCATTAAGTTCGTTATTAAATCAATATACTTGCAATAAGGAAAAATAAATCTAATTGCATTAAATGGAAAAGAGATTAAGTTAACATCAAACACCTAGTAATAAGGCATTTAGTTACACAATAGTACTTAAATAAAACTCAACAAATACTTGATAAATATTCCATAATCAATAAGAATAAAAACAACGATTTAAGATTTTAGAATAAACAGTAATAATTGCTTGGATGGCTTCCTTGAAAACTTTGCAACACTCTTGAATACCGTAAACTTCTAAAGAGAAACAAAACATAATACAAGCTATTGAAATGAGAGAATGGGAGAGAGATGTAGAGTTAATGGAAATGGGATCCCTGAATGGCTTCATTTCCCGGAGAAGAGATGTAGAGTATGGGATGGGATCCCCTTGGAATGGCTCATTCCCCTCCTTATATAGACTTCTTGGGGGAACAAGCCTTATGCTTTAATGATTAAAGTCAAACTTTTGTGAGGTGGAAAAGTTCTAAATCAAGCCATAAATTGCTCTCAATTATGGCTTTCCAAATGCACATGGTTGAACTTTTGACTGGCATGTGAAGAGAGTATCCAAAGTATCTTGTGAAAATGGTAGGAATTAGTTGGCAACTTTTGACTCAAATTCAGATTTTCTTGCTTGGCACGGGCGTGCGACCTGGCACGGTCTGGGGCGTGCCAGGCTCTGGAAGTCTAGAGGCTTCAGCACAGGCCGTGTTGTTTAGCACAGTTAGGACAGCTTCAGTGCACGGGAGTGCGGTTTGACACGGCCAGAGGTGTGCGCGCCTCTGGAAGTCTGAGGCAATTATGGCACGGGCGTGCTTCAGCGGCACAGGCCAGAGCTTCATCTCCAGCGCGGGCACGGGCGTGTGCCAAGGCACGGGCTTGGGCGTGCGTGCCTCTGAAAGTCTGGAAGTTGTGTAGCAAAGGCGTGTTTAAGCTGCACGGGCCAAGTCTCTATCTCCGGTGCGCGCACAGGCGTGCTCCTCGGCATGGCCTGGGGCGTGCATCTCTCTGGCTCTATACTTTGATTTGCCTTTGTATTTGGCACGGTCGTGCGCCTTAGCACGGGCTGAAGCGTGCTAACTATGTTATGCCTTTTTTTTGTCCTTTTCTTGCAAAATCCTACATTTTTCCTCAAAATCAAGTGAGTTGTGTTTCAAGGAAGCTTTTAAGTAAAAACACAACAATATTACATAAAAACAAATTTAGATAAATTAAAAACACTATAATTCTTAGTAAAAATTATAATAAAAATACTATAAAATTAACACTATCATTGCTTCTTATGCTGATCCAAGGAGCTCTCCGGTTGAACCAGATTTTTTAACAGACGATGAGGCTTGGCAACTTCTCAGTAGAAAAGCATTCATAGAAGAAATTGTTGCAGAGTACGATTACCTGTCACAATTTGAAAAGCTGGGAAAGGAGATGGTGAGCAAATGTGGAGGATTGCCATTAGCAATTGTTGTGCTTGGAGGCGTATTGGCCACAAAGAAGTCATTGCTGGAGTGGAAGGTAGTCCAAGAAATATTAATGCACAATTCATCAAGTGGGAAGAACATCATCGATATGGAGGAGTTTATGGGATACTAGCTTTGAGTTATCATGATTTGCCTTTCTATTTGAAACCATTCTTTCTCTATCTTTCCCAGTTTCCAGAAGACTGGGAAATTCACAAGAGGGAATTAATTCGCATGTGGATTGCTGAAGGCTTTGTTTCCAAAGGATTGATAAGGGAAGAAGATGAGACAATGGAGGACTTATGCGAAGAATATTTGGAAGAGCTTGTGAGTCGGAGCATGGTTCAGGTAAGCCAGAAGGGTTGCATTGGAATGGGCATCAAAACATGTCGTATTCATGATCTAATGCGCGACATGTGTGCATTGATGGCAAGAGAGGAGGATTTTCTTGGGATTTCTGAGCACTATAAACAGAACAACACAGCCCGTAGAATTGCTGTTCATCCTCAAGTAAGCCCAGAATTTGTTGCAAGGTATTTTGTACCTTTATTGGAAGGTCATCCACGTCTTCGTTCTCTTTTCTGCTTCTTCAAACAGGAAAGGTCTACCATTATCTTTGAGCACAAAAAATCTTATGTTTAAAGACTGCTTAGAGTATTGAATCTTTGGTCTGTGAATCTTGAATTTATACCTCATGAAATCGGTGGTTTGATTCATTTGAGGTATATTGGGTTAAGAGGTACTAAATTATCCAGGAGCTCAAGGTTGCCAGTGTCCATAGGTAACTTCAGAAGCTTATGCACCCTCGATGTTCGAGACATGAATTTGCAAAACGTGCCTGATGTGTTGTGGAAGTTAAAATATTTGAGACATTTGTTGGCAGACTGGTCATCTCTCCATTTCTGTCAATTGCATACACTGAGAAAGCTAGAAACTTTAAAGTCAGTGCCATCTGAGAATCTTAACTGGAAAGATGCAAGCAACCGCCTGACTAATTTTGGAAATTTAGCAATAGTTTTCAGAAGAACAGAGGAAATGAATGCAATTATAGGATCTCCCATTTTCTCAACAGGACGTCTAGTTTCGTTGAATATACAGGCAAGAGGAGAAAGTTCATTTCCAAGTTTGGAACCACTTTCTCATTGTCAATATTTAATGAAACTAGAGTTAAAATGGGGAGATAAAGAGGAGTTTGGATTTCACCAACAAATCTTGCCAAGTTAATTTTCGTGAAGTCTATGTTAAAGAAAGATCCAATGTGTGTTTTAGAGAAGCTGCCTCATCTAAAGGTTTTTATGCTTGGGTTCTGGTTCATACATTAGATCAGAAATGGTTTGCTCAGCTTGAGACTCTTAGAGTCGATAATTTAGAACTAGGTAACTGGGAAATAAAAGAAAGTGCTATGCCACGTCTCAAGCATTTACATTGACATGGGCTGTTGAAATTGAATATGGTTCCAAAAGGGATAGAATTTGTCACTTGTCTTCAAGAATTGAAACTTACTGGAATGACTAAACTTACAAAGAGGATCAGAGACAGAAATGGAGTGACAGGAGAGGATTTTCGAAAGGTGCGACACATACCCACCATAGCCAAAAATTAAAGCAAGGTAATTAAGCTTTTTTCTTCCAGCAAATACATCTTGTTTCTCAAGCTACAGTACATAAATGGTTATCAAATTTTATCTCATTTTTCCTTGGTGAACACACATTAATTTAGTTAACAATTTCTTTCTCAATGTCTATTGTATCCTGTAACCTTCTTCTTCCCCTATGAATGAATATTTTATTGCACTATTTCATTTTGATCTTTCCTCTCTTCCTGTAGGATACCTAATGAAGGAAAAGGATTTGCAGCACCAAGTGTCTCAAGGAGAGAGAATGTCTTTGTGCTGGAGTTGTGGGTATTGATTGATTTGTTATATGTTATTTTTCTTAGTGTTTTTGGAATAAATCAAAAATTCATTTTGCAAAAATGAAATTGTGCTTGGATTAAATTTATTCAAATTTGCAGCATTCTTAAATTTATTAGTTTGTATAGCTCTCCTGCATGTAAAGAATTAAAACTTGTTCACCAAATCAAAAATCATAATAGGAATTCTTTTCTAATTAGGAATTTGAGACAAAATCCTAATACCAAGTAAAATGATATTGCAGGTCACTAAATTTTTGAGGTTATTTATAATTTGATCGCCAAAAAATAAATTGGGCTAATCTCCAAAGTTTAACAAGAGGTCACTAATTTGTTTTTACCAACTTTGAACTTCTTGAGCTTATAAGGTTAAGAGAACTAAAACGATGGCAAATAGAGGAAGTTTGTCAATACCCTCTAAGCATAACAATATTAAATAATAATAATAATAATAATAATAATAATAATAATAATAATAACAATAATAATCACAAGGTAAACATTTCTTCCTCTTTTTACTAGCTAATGTCATTAGGTAAGTCTCATGAATCTTATGTTTGAAGTATTGGAAGTATTTGAAATAATGAAGGTTTTAAGTCATAAAATTCAAATGCATAAAAATCTAAACAACAGATTTGTTCAAATCCATGGAATTGTGTTATAACAGGTTATTTTACAGGTAAAAAAAAAAAAAAAAGAAAATTAAAAACAATAAATAAATAAATGCTTTGCAGCTTTACGAAATATTGTAGCAACCCATTTATATTCAGAAAGTGGATTTTCCAGGCCCTAAAATTGGCATATTCTATAACATTCAAGTGATTCCAATATCCAGACCAGCTACTTCAAATAAAAAGTATATATATGTGGGCTCTGGGGAGGTTGACTTCAAAAAAAAAAAAAGTATAAAATTAATGTTTAGCAATTCATCCTGAACCAACTGAAATTAAATGATTTCATTTCATAAGTTAAAAAGGCATCTATGTACATGCTCAAGGGATAAGAATCCTACTCTAATAACATGTTGACTTTTGGTCCTTCTCTATAATGTTTATCCCTTTTCTGCACTTCAACACTACCATTGAATACTTGCCTATATAACAGGAAGACACCCATGAAGTGTAAAATCATGCAAATCTAAAACAGATTCCAAAATCGATCATTAGTAAAATAGCAATGCGATCTTCATAAATTCTCAAAGCAATTGGCGAAGCTCCTGGTTTTCTTTCCGAAGAGACTTTATTTCTTTCATTAGTTCAGCTTGATTTTCCAGAACTGAACTCATCACAATAGAAAATTCCATCTGTAAATGAATCCACAATGGTTAGACTGAAAATAAATAACAAATGGATAAGTTGTTATTATCAGAATGACTTGTATACCTCCTGCATATGGAACTGTCTTAGAATTTCAATGTGAAGGTTCCTCATATCATCATGGATGGATTTCTGGAATGAATCTAGAGTTTCTTCAAGAGTACGTTGAAAAAGCTGAAGTGAGAAGGAACTTCCCTGCTGTGGATCCAGCTGAAGGGCCTTGTTTGGTTGTGAGATTCCTCCCTATCAAAATAAAAGTGAAATAATCAGCCATGATAATGTGATTAAATAGTATAATGCACAGTATCACTTTGTACAGAGTTTCATAAGTTTCATTGCCATTATCACTTTGCATTTAAATAACATCACACAATCAGCCCCAGCTACATCAGGTGAGACCTACGTGTGGCCTCTGATAAACTCAATGCATGGTTCTGTGATGATAAAGCACAAAGTATAGAACCTAGGAATTCAGATGCAAAGATAAGTAAATGTTCATCAAACCAATCTAGTATCCATACATTCATTGATGGAAGAATCCCAGGTTCTGTGTCAGATCTTGACAACAAACTACTCAAAAGCTCTTCCCTGGTTTCAGCTCCTGTTTTCTTCAGTTTTGGTGAATTCACTGAGAGTGAAGTCCCATCAATAAAGGAAGAAGCTGTGCTTATTCTCTCAGCATAAGTTGAAAACCTGCGAGGAAGTGCCAAAGACCCGGGTCCCGTTGCATCAAGGTTGGCTGGTCCTGTGATGCTTTTTGTACCCAAAGACTGGGACATGGAACTAGAGGAAAAATGTTCTGAAAATCCAGTTGGATTCTCCTGATTTGAAGAAATATCTCTGGCGCGCAGATTTGGAAAACTCAAGGTCGAATTCATCAAAGAGCTCATAATTGTCTGATTTGATGAAGAGGACACATCTTGCAAACCAGTTAACATTGACCCTGATGTCAAACCCCCAGAGTTCAACATCACTAAACGAGAAGGTAAATTTAGTGGCTGGCGTAAGTGCGCAAACTTATCAGACAATCTCTCACCACCCCATGCCTCTGGAGGAGTGATGGAGGATTCTTCACTCTTTGAAGATGGAGTAGGAGAAGATCCCTCCAAAAATGACAAAGAAGATCGGGAATCATCCTGCACAAAATGGACAAAAGAAATATCAATTCCATACGTGTGAATATATTAAATATCTCCCTAGGAAAATTGAATTTAGCTCAACTTTATACAAGAAACCCAAGAAATGACCAGCAAAACCACACATATCACAAAAAATACCCATTACAGTTATTTTGATGAAAACATAACATGGCAAGCCACCTTCAATAATCAAAAAGATATTTCTCAGAAATTTTAGGACCTGTAGTTTCACATGTTGCTGAAAAAACAGTATCACACTGTGAATTACTTCATAATATCTTCAAATGTACAGTGAAAAATAGATGCTGAGTTGTACTAGTATCATATGAAACTCATTACCATATTCATGATGAACTGCAATTGTGGCCATAAAATAAAAGCACACGAAAAAAACAGCTATATTTCCTCAAGTTCAGATATCATTCCTTGATCCATTTTTCACTAATTTACATATTGTAAATATCATTTGGAATAAAAAATAAATGTCGGACCTGTCTAGGAGTTGAACTGGTTTTCCAATCGAATATTGGATGATCAGTTGTCCCATCCTCTGCAAAAGGAAATCTTCTACTGGATGAAGGAAAAAGGGATGAGGGCTTCTTGTCAACTGTATCTTTTTTCAATCCCTCGTGATCATCCCACAACTTATCAAGTGAAGGCGTGATAGGCTGGACATCAACAAGTGGGGAAAATACGTCCATGTCATCCTTAAAATTATAACTAGAACGTGGAGCATGTAATCTTGCCAATGTTCCACTTGGCCACAGATGGCTTCGGTTTGGTGTTTCCTCTGCTAAAGATAGATTAGGTGTAATTGATGCAGAGGCATTACTAGTTGATGTAAGAGATGATGCTTCTATAGAAAGGCGTGAACGACCAATATTATGAGAACTTGACACTGTTGTGGATAGTGAAACACTTGATGATGTCACAGAGGGAAGTGGGTCAGGCATAAGAATGGAATCTTCACCAGCACCTCCCAGAAGAGCTGTCTCAGCAGTGCAGTTGCTCTCATTGACAACAACTGGTTTTGATCTCTGCCAGCATAAACTTGTAACAGCCTGATAAGAACCACAAGTATTCACTATCAGGTAAATCTTTGAGTTCAAACATATGATGTTAATCAACGGCTGTCATTTATTTTTTAAGTGCATAAGTGAAAGAATTGACAAAGTTAAGTGATGCAGTATTCAGTAAGAAAAACAGTGAAGCTGTGGTCAGAATAATGCATCAGATAAAAGCAATCTACCTCTGAACTGCTATAAGCACGAAGAACTGTAAAAGGTTGTGGTTTTCCACGAACATCATAGAAAACTACCCGGCCATTGCTGGTTCCAGCTGCTAGAATCCAGCCATCCTCTCTGAATGCTAATGAAGAGAAAGGTGCCTCATAAGATATGCAAGATGATGGTCTTCGAGATCCTGAATCATAAGTGTATAACTTTTTATCCAGTCCAACACTAGCTATAATCTGTACGAGGAAAAATATTTGAAACAGCAGAATAGTTAGCTAATTTACCACAACTTATATCTTCAAATAAATATCCCCCTAGGATCAGAAAGGGGGAGGGGGGAACATTGCAACTCAATAAATAAGCATGAGACCTTGTCATTTGATGGTGAGAAGCCTATACCAGCAGTTGGGGCAGAATGTTGCTTCAACCAAGAAACCTGTAAAAAGTAAATGATATTGTTATGTGCCTAAAAGGTTAATGTTAAAGCCTAAGAAGAACATAGGAAAAGAGGAAACAAATGCACATAAATTTAATGTATAAGTGGTGATATAAAAAAGTACTCAAAACATGATATTCACAATATCCATACTTTAGTAAACCATATAATCAGTGAGAACTTCAAATATGAGAAGGGCAATCCAGAACACGGTTAAAAGTTTCCTGCTAATTTATCTGATACATCAATAATATTCAGAATTGTACATAGAAGTGGATGGTAAATATTAGGTAACGATTCCTTTTCTTTTCCTGCTATCTTTATACACTTGCAATCTTCCACTCATTTCTAACTATGCAGCACCCTAATAACAATGACAACACAACAGTTAAGTAACTTTCCAGCAGAATATTTAGGATCTAGGTCCAGTGATCAAAGTATCCTTAATATGATGTAAGTTCATCACAAAGGAAGTTTCACACAAGCATCCAACTTATTCAAAAATTCAACTATATTAGATGTCAGTGACTTCCAAATGTATCAGCATTACAGTATAAGAACCTTTGGGCTGCGACCAGTTGTATCCCACAAATGTGCGGACCCATCGTCCCCTGCTGTCACCAAAAGGTGCCGGCTAACTCGTGAATAATCAAGCACCCGCAGTACCTGGTCTTAAATCCATCAAATGAACAGTTAGCTTGGATCCGGAAACTCTAAGCCGCAAACACCAGATCCACAGCATGGAAATACAAGAAACTAAACAACCTGTTCATTAGGGTCCTTGAGTTCTGCTGCTCTTGCACCAGATGCAAGGTTGTGAAGAATAAGATCCCCACTTAGACTTATGGAAGCCAAATGCTCATCTTTGCAATTGTATAAAGCACCAGTTATTGTATTGGTGTGACCCTTCAACCATTTAATACAGCGCTTCCTCTGCAGATCCCATATTCTAACAACTTGACCACTTCCCCCGGTGCATATGTATCTGGATCCCTTGCTACTAAAGCTAATAGCTAATATAGATTCCTGCAAATTGAAAACCAGCAATAATTTAATGATTTGATGAGAAAAGCCCTGCTCTCTTAACATCATGAAACAAGGATGAGAGTCGGGCAAACCAATAACACTTTTTGGAAACACAACAATAACGTCACTATGCAAGAAAGATTTCAAGAGAGCTCAACAAAAAAAGAAGTGCAGTAAGTGATATGGAGAGCAATTTGTGTATAGCATGAAACATCAATGAATTGAAGGCGCCTAGGTTTCTGATTGATCCAAGCTTACCCTGTTGCTTATTCAAGTCCAAGCAAGAGAAACCTCTAATACTTGAAGCACACAACAGCAATCTTACATTAATAACTGCTTTTTTGTTTTTATCATCGATGGTTTTCAAGAAATCATAGTAAAGTTCTTACCTAAGTCTTCATTCCACCACGTCTAGGATTGTCACTAACAAAGTTCCTTACATGGAACTTAGGGGTTACAAATCTGGTACTATAAGGTGGCTCAAACACAAGCTTTATTGCTTTTATAAAATATTATTGGTTTTAATTGTGAACCAGGTTTAATTCATGCCGAATTGAGTTTAGGAGCATCTCATCAGTTTTGGAAAATATATCCAATCCAGCCCCTAATTTATTTCTAAGATCAATCTCTAGAGAATTACCTCAATGTTGTCTCCACCATTTGTCCCAGTAACCGGAATGGTCCCCATGCTCTGCCCATTTTTCCTCCAGAGAGAGATCTTCTTATCTTCTCCAGCACTGGCCACAACCAAATCTGCAAAAGATGAAACTCCAAATTGAAACTAGCCTCTGATAAGCAAAATTCCAAAAAAAAAAAAAAAAAAAAAAAAAAAAAAAAAAAAAAAAAAAAAAAAAAAAAAAAATGCTCTGGCCCATTTTTCCATCCCAGAAGGAGAGAGATCTTTCTTATCTCCTCCAGCAACTGGCCACAACCAAATCTGGCCAAAAGATGAAACTCCAAATTGGAAAACTAGCCTCTGATAAGCAAAATTCCAAAAAAAAAAAAAAAAAAAAAAAAAAAAAAAAAAAAAAAAAAAAAAAAAAAAAAAAAAAAAAAAAAAAAAAAAAAAAAAAAAAAAAAAAAAAAAAAAAAAAAAAACAATCTTAAAGAGTAAAGGGTAATTTGCAAAATTTAAAACTTTCAATTACCGGAGCTCAATTAATTAACTAAAAAATAAACTTTTATCGTATTCCTCCACTTTTATGCCAACCAAACAAACCCTAAATAATTCGAAAACAAGAAAATGCAGATTCACACCAAAGCAAATGATAAACCTACAGCATTAACCAAAATCAAGCAATTAAGAAAACAAAATAATAAATTGCAAAAAAAGATTAAGAAAGAAAATATAGCAACTCACTAGTGTGGTTCCACTTGACTGAGTTGACCAGGAAACCAGGAGATGGTGTGTAACTCAAGATGCAAGGATCACCGGCCTCCCCCGATACATCGAAAAGCTTTACTGTGTCGCCGCCGCTCGCTGCCAGCAGGCTCATTGATGGATCCGCCAAGTTCATCATTCAGGATGCACCTGCTCCAATTCTTTTTCCGAGAAAATCGAGCAAATTTTCCCGGGAAATTAAATTTGTAGCGTTGCAAATTACAATGCTACAGAGAATTTGGAGAAATGGAAGATTTTTCTTTGCTTTATAGTTGATTTTGATTTTTTGGGATTTAATTTTAAAATAATAAATATAATAATAAACCCTACCAGAGAAAAAATTGAATTGGTGTTAAAATTTGAATGGGTGGAGAGGGACTACAAGTGGGCGCCTTAGTTTGCTTCAATAGTTTGTTTGTGTCCATCGTGGCATTTCTGTGATTTTTCTTTGAAAATATTGCAACATTTCTCTTAAATTTTACGCTCCTAAAATAATTTACCTCGAAAATACCTTTCGGATTCATAAAAGTTAGCAACAAAAATATTTTTCTAGTAAAATATATAAATATATATATATATATATATAATTTTTTCTTAAAATTCTAAAAATTGTTAAATTATTATCATGTTATAAACACATATTTATTATACTAATCACTAATAGCAATTATCACTCGTCACTGATCACCAACAAATTTTTATTTATATTTAATAATAATTTTTATTTTAAAATGTAAAATTTTGACAATTATAAATATTATTGTAGTATTATAAATTAACTTTTTTAATATTTGTAACAATTTCTAATATTATAATTAAACAATAAAAAAATGAACTCTTTCCGTTAAACATGTTTTGGAAAATGAGTAATTTTTTCATTGGTAAATAAAAAATAACAATTTTATGATGATATGAGTTATGAGTGAAGTTCGAATTTCCTTTTCTTTTTTTTTTTTTTTTTTTTTTTATTTCATTGGCAAAATTTTGACAAATCAAATTCTTTTTTTTTTTTTTTTTTTTTGTTAAATATTGCATTTCATTTGGCAAAATTTTGACAAATCAAATTCCAAATGATAAGAATGATTTCATAAAATTGTTTATAACATTTCACTAATTAGAGAAGAATTCAACATAATTACTTTTTTCGTTTAACTCAAAAGTAAAATTCAACTTAATTACTTTGGTGGTTATCATTCTGATCAGTTGTAATAATCATTTGAAATTTTACAAGACAGCCAACAACCATGGATGATGAAATTAACCCTAGCTTTTGTCAACTTAGACTGTTATTAGATCAAAGTAATATCTTCTTACCAAAATTGCCCCATCATTCTAGTGATGAGTTGTCACCCAACATGACCTCATATCAAGTGAAAATACTTATCTCAAGTTCATAACCATTAAGATATAAATAAAAATGAAAATAACATCTTTTCAACATGGGAATATGCCTAATCCAAAGTAGATATACCTCAATGAAAAGGCAATTTTGGGTGATGGAATGCAGGCACTATTTATAGTGCCTGAACCCAAAAACACAATTTGAATTACCAGGCTGAATTTTATGTACAGATGGACCACAAGTTAAAAACTGCAGGAAAAGGCATAAAAAGAAACTCGAAAAAACTCTTCTTTAATCTCTACTTTGGTGCACCACACACAGCATCAGCCTCCAGACTGAACATCTAAAGATTTCACCACATCAACCAGTGAATTAAGCATAATGAACCATCCTCGCATCTCCTACAGTTAGAAGATTCATAATCATAGCTGACTCTTCAGCATTAACCGGTTTCCCTGCAAAAAGTTGAAACAGCCTGCATAATGGAATAAAACAGAAAATGACGCAGGAAGTGCAAAAGCAATCATGAAAACACCACTTAAATGACAACAATTGAATTTCCATGCAGGTTAGCTCAATCCATCAGCAATTTTAGGCACCGACATATCAAAAATATACAGAAGGCATAAGCAATCAGATGTTTGAAATCTTTGATGCGCAGACACTAAATGCAACCTTCTGAATTAACATAAACAATAAAAGAAGAAAGGATAGCCTGCTATTGAGGCTCTGCAGGGAAACTAGATGAAACTAAAGACTGCCGTGCTTCTGGTGTGTGCAACACATGGACCAAAGACTAAATCAGAAAGGTTATGGTCTGTTATGAATCAGAACCGAGCCAATGAAATGAACCAAACTTTGAAAAGAGAAATTAAAAATTATTACCAGAACTGCCTAATAGAATATTCATAGGAAGAGACATGTCACAGTTAGAGTCTCCAATATTCCTATCTTCAAATATGCCCTCTTCAACACCACAAACAATTGTAATGATTAGCAGTACAGCACATGCTGGTGGTCCAGCTGCTTTCTGGCAGAGAGCATAAAGCCCAAACCCAAGGCACCTCCTATAGAACATCTACTAATTGCTATTGTGTCTGGACAGTTAAAACTACAAATCCTACAAATATTCTATCAAAATTAAATTCAAGCCCTTCCCTGACTCGTCCTCATTCGGTGAGGCTACCGGACCCAAATCCAGCTCCACTAATTATTTTTTTCACTCACAATATAAAGGAGGCAAGATGCCAGGAAGATGCTTCCTGTCATCACTGTCTAAGTTAGATTTTTATAAAGAAGACCACCTGTAAAATTGATTTTTAAGAATAATCAAAGGTCTTGTCAACCCCTTTGACAACCTCATGAATAAAACCCACTTAATATTGAGGAAAAAAGTATCTGTTGTGACATGTCCAGAAGTACTGTTGCAATGTACAGTATATGGTATGAGCAGACATCCACATATAACCGCAAAATGTTTAGTTAGATTACCACAAAACAAGTATACAATTGATACTTTGAAGTGACAGGATTGATAATTTAAACTCAGGAAAAAAAGATTATCAAGAAAATGCGGAAGTTGTGAGAACCAAGATGTATGATTTTTCCAATTAATACTATTGAAACCATAAAATAGCACATCTATCACATGTCCATGACAATGTCAGTAGATTCTTGATTCTCATTTACTTCATTAATATAGAGAATATGACTCGCATTGTATAAATGAAATTAATCCAACAACAGGATCAGGAAATGAACAAAATTAATAACGCCCAGGAACCTACCAATGCATAAAAGGCACAAACACAGCTAGGTTCACAAGCATCATCAAATTATCAACTATTCTAAAACACTAGAACATGAAACAACAATTTATCTGGCTCACCTTGGCAAAGACTAGGGATCAATTATGCTGCATCCATCACATTTTGTTTGACATCATATATTTAGCTTTTTTCTCAGCAGGCTTCAAAATCTGAAAGGAGCACATCAGATTTTCATCTACACTCATCATAGCACCAGCATTGTCAAATTCACCACAATAATTGGGAGCCGAAAAAATAGTTACAAGTTGCCTTTCCGCAAAGAATTCATACCCATCCTCCACAACCTAGACCAGGAAAAACAAAATTACATCAATTTCCAGAAAGAGAAGAATGGTACTAATAAAAAAGTGCATGAGGTAAAGTAAATAACCTGATGTGCACGACAGACAAGGTCTAAATCATGCTTTGTCAAGAACTCTGACACCTTATCAGGTCCAAAAGTATATGAAACTCCTCTGTCATTCATTCCCCATCCCTTAACATCTCTACCCGGATCTGACCAGAGCAAATCACATAGCAAACCAGTGTCTGGAACCGCAGTTGGACGAGGTAAATTTCTAATTTGATCTAAATTTGTCAAATCAGGGGACAGACCGCCATGCATGCACAATATTTTATCATCTATAAGAGCAGCAACAGGAAGGCAGTTGAAACACTCGGTAAAGGATTTCCAAAGCCTTACATTAAACCGCCGCTTGCATTCGTCATAAAATCCATATATCCGATTTATAGAAGCACATTCATGGTTTCCTCTCAAAAGGAAAAAGTTCTCTGGATATTTAATCTTATACGCAAGCAATAGGCAAATAGTTTCCAAACTCTGTTTGCCACGATCAACATAATCCCCCAAAAACAAGTAATTAGCTTCAGGTGGAAAACCTCCATACTCAAAAAGCCTTAATAGATCACTATATTGCCCATGAATGTCGCCTGAAATAGAAAGAAGGATCTTTAGGAAGTTAGAGAGAAGAAATCTAAGCAACTTTCATATTGGATTCAAGTATGTAACCAAGGCATAGATCTTCCACATAAGCTATAAAGCTCAAATTAAAAACTCATCCCAAGTGTATCATTGTAATGATTACTTAGAATGTCGTTTAATTAAACTTATCCCTAGAATGCCTTTGGTTGTAAACTTCAAAATTTAAAGCAGTAATTATATTGATTATTGCCTTCTCAAAAACCAAACAAGCTTGTTAGGTACATGTTCTGTACTTTCCTGTCATATACTATAGCAAAACTCGCAATGCAGCAGAAACCAAACAAGCAGTATTTACGCCAAGTTGTTCAGTTTTCCATGCCTAGATTGCCAGCAATGGAACAGTAAACAGAACCATAAAATCAAGTTTTGGTATAATAAAAAATCAACCTAATAGCACACCACTTTAATCACTTGCATTTCAACCTATAGCTTAATTCCATTCAAAAACCTTATGCCCTCAAAACATACATTACATTCCACAGGAATGTAGAATAACAAGTCAAAAACTTTGTAACAAATACAACAAATGCGCAAAAGGCACCATGGATATGCCAATCATAAACACCTTCAAAAGCCGTTAATATAAATTATCTCAACAATTTATCTTGCCAAAGAGAAACTCCCAACAAAATCCCATAAAGCCCTATCCATACAAGAAAGACTACATATAGATAAGAAAGTTGGTGCCTTTGTACGTAGAGCATACCGCAAATCTTAATGGGGGCTTCAAGCTCAAGCAAATTAGGCTGTTGCATGAAGATATCTCGTGAAGCCACGCAAAGTTGCTTGATCTCCGCCTCTGAGAGTTGCACTTGCTTGCCTGGCCTCGCTAATCGGACCTCCGTTAGCCGTTTGATTATATCATCCAGTACGGCAGGGTCCATCAATGCCTGCCCTTGTGTTGCCATCGGATGTTTTTCTTCGTCTCTTCTTCTCCTTCCTTTTAAAGACCCTGATTTCTCCAAACAAAGAAAAAACCCTAGAAATCAGAATGGGTAGAGAGTTTTGAAGATTATTTGGTCTCCTAGTCGTTGTGGGTTTCTCCTTTTCAGTTTCGTGGTTTTGCGCTAGGTTAGTTCAAATTTAGCCTGCTTGGTGGGGCAGAAAAAATTATTTTCTTGGAAAAAAAGAGTGGGAAAGAGAAGGAAAACAATACTCCAATAAGGTAAAGATTTGTTTATAGGGGAAAAAAAAGGAGAAAGTGTCAATAAAGAAGAAGGAGACGGCTGCAATTTCAATGCGGCGGAGGTGCCCATAAATATATCATAGGGTGGAAAAAAAAGGATAAAGTGTTCAATAAAGAAGAAAGGAGGACGGCTGCAATTTCAATGCGGCGAGGTGCCATAAATATATATATATATATATATATATAATATATATATAAAGTATCTTTTTTTTCCAACGGTGTCGGTCTAAAGTTCCTTCACCAAACGACATCGTGGATGCTTCCCCCACAAATTAATTTAGTTTTTTTTTCTTTAATTAGCATAATCTAAGGGTTCTAGCAAAAATAATTTTTATTTTAATTTCATTGAATTTGACTTTTTGACGTCAACATCATATTAAATCCAAATAGCAAATATATATAAAGTATCTTTTTTCCAACGGTGTCGTCTAAAGTCCTTCACCAAACGACATCGTGGATGCTTCCCACAATATTAGTTTTTTTTTTTCTTTAATTAGCATAATTAAGGGTTCTAGAAAATAATTTTTTATTTTAATTTCATTGAATTTTGACTTTTGAGTCAACATAAATCCAAATTAGCATATATGTTTAACATTGAATTGCATCCAACCCAATGTTGAATTACTAATTAAGCCAAAAATAATAAAATCAACCTTGTCAATCAACTTGAATTTGACCATTTAATCAATCTCCTAAATTAAAAAGAAATCCATTAAAATTCGATGAATCGACTATAATTTAAGGTATTTTTAGTAGTTTGTTTAAAAATTGTGTCTATATTATCACAATTAAAACAAGCTCATCACTCTTCTTTACAGATGCATTTAATGGAAATTGAACTTGAAAACTCTTCCTAGGTATCCAACCTGTATTACTAACTGAACCATAACTCGCAGACATCATAATTTCAATATTAACATGCTTATTGTCCAAGAAATCTAATTTAAAAAGAATATTTTTGCATAAAAATACTAAATCACCAAATGCCTCTTTGGGACATGACAAGTTACAAATTTAAACCCAATTTCACGAGAAAGTGAAAGAAAAAAATGAGTTTTGAATATTATATTTGGTGAATCGTAATAAAATAACGTAGTGTAATCAAGAACTGAAAAATATACAAGAACGCGATTAAGACATTTTGTTCACTGAAATGAAATCTACCCATTCCATCTCTATCAAAATGCCAACAAAGAGTTTGGTACACATACCAAAGAAGAGAGCTAAATTATTGTCGGTGCACTCTCACTTGTTTCATAATAATTGAAGAAAATGAGCTTTGAAAGTTGATGGAAAGAGCTAAGAAACTTCAACGAGACAGAAAAAAAAGGAAAAACATATTTTTGGCAAATTTACATTCTTATTGGTGAATTTTGCTAAAATTATATGCTTTACCTTAAATTAAGACAGCTTTTTTACATAAGAGGGGTTGTTCTCCTCTTAACTTATCAAATTGGTGAAAACAACTGTGATCGAGATAATTCAAATTCGAAACTTTTTATTTATCAGATAAGTGAAAAAAGTAACGAGACTATTACATGGTTTTGCGATTCTTTCAAGTGTATGAAATGGTGACTAAAATTCCTATATTTTTGGAATTTTTTTTTCTTACAATTGGGAATCTTTTATATGGTTTGGTGTGATTTTGAATCAAGTAGTTTTCTTTACCATAAAATATTAAATTTGTAGTATGTAACTCTTGTTTGTGACTTTGGTTAACCTCCTTGAATTGGACATTGAGTTGCCCACAAGATATTTTTTTTTTTTCTTAAAAGTAGAAGCATTATGCTAAAGCTATCTAAAATAAATCAATTTGGATTAAGGTTATCTAAAATTTTAGTAAATTGTTAAATTTTATGAAATTAGAATTTGGGGTTTGGATTACATACATTGGAACAATCTCTATTATCAACATTTTACAAATTTGAAGGAAATTCATAAAATAAAGAGATTTTAAAAAGAAAATTCCTTATTGTTGGGGATTTTCCTGAATAATGACTATTTCAAATTATACATGAATTTTAATATTGGATTGAAAAATATTACAAAACTTACAAATATAACAATTTCACGTTGACTGAAATTCAAATATAATAATTTCATATTAGACTCGAATATGCTCTGTGTATATGTTATTAATTTATTGAATTTAACCATAGGAAGTGTTCAAATGGTAAGACACACTTGAATTTAGTAGACGATTTATGCAAGATTAAAAGTTCGATATATGAAAAAATATTTACAGGGAAAGCAACCACACTTATGGAGAGGAAAAAACACCTAATGAATTTGACTTTGTAAGTAGATAAATATTGAAATATATTTCGCATAAATTATATTGAGCTTAAAATTTATTTATTTATTATAATTACTAGTTAATTTGGATTCTCTTCCTAACACAAAACTACATGATTTTTCTAATTACTAATAAAAATAAAAATAAAACCACTAAAAAATTTTTTTAAATTAAATAAGTAGTTAAAATTGTAATTTCATATTTGATTTTGAATAATTAAAAAATTGACTTTTCATATTTAATTGAAAATTAAAAATTAAATAATAGATAAAAAAGTTCCAACTAAATTATTTTTAAAAATTTTTTATAGATTGTTGGAATCAGACCGTACAGTCAATTATAACCCGCAGCTGATTTAAGTCTATTTCTCTCTCACTTGAACCTGAACTGGTCCTGAACCATTGATTACGATTTGGTTCTTAAAACCGATGGTTTCAAGCTGGTTTGATCATAAAAAACATGGCTGGTTCTGATTCAAACCGAACCAATAGCCATCCCCAGTACAAGTTGAAGTTGTTGTAAAGTTGAAAGCTCAAGCCAAGGCCTGTGCGGTTAGGCCTACCAAACTGACGACATGCGGAGTGAGATAGGCCTTCAATTGATTTTAAGGACATCCTTTAGGCCTTAAATGAGATATATAGTGTCGAGGTTGCAGGCTTGCAGCATTTTGAAGCTTAACAAATTTTAACTCCAAGTTTGAAAATTTGTATAGCTGAAAAATATAAGAAATTCAAAACTTGAAAACCCCATTTTATATTTTCAGAATGAAATCTAATTTTCTTTTATTAATTAGCATATTAGAAGCATAAAAAGTAATTAAATTCATTGCAGGGCTTTACTATTGTACACAATAATTATTTTTACACTTTCTGAAAAATCATCAGCAATCTATACATGTTAAGGAAACATATTACAGTAAATTTTTTCGATCCAATAATATTTTTTATACTATAGTTGGATTGATTATTCTCCCGTACTCTCATTATTCCAAAATTTTAAGTCGTTTAGAATTTTTACACGGGAATTAAGGAAACGAATAAATATCTTAAATTATAACAAAACTAAGGTATCTTTTATCTCAAAATAAAAAATCACGTGTGAAGGTAGTCATTGTATCTAATGTATACAAGAGTAACATTAGAAAAAAAATATTTATTGTAATACTCAAAATGACTTTTATTTTAGGCAAAATAATCACTAAAAAATACTTATATTTCAGGACTATTGTCTTAATTTGATGAGTAAAAGAACTACTAATCATGTTGTGTAGCTGACAATGTTCTTACGGTTGTTGAGCCTTCCAATAAATAAATAAAAATCCTAAAATCGAAAAAACTTAGTAGAAACACAGAATATTTGCTATTTTCACTATTATAATTCAAAATTTGACATACCATTTTCACGAAAGATGTAATTGTTTAAAGTATTTAGCCGTTGCATGGTCTTAGAAGTTTGGCATCACAAACATCAACATATGCCTTTATCAAATTCTCCCTGAAAAGAAGGTATAAAATCAGATAACCACCGATAATGTTTCAGATACTATATATGTTCATCACACTTCCTCAGAGTCAGAAAGAATTTTCTTGGCGGCAAAAGCAAACTCCATATGTACAATATGTAAATTGTGTAATACTAATATTAATACAGATAGATAGAATCTTTGTTGACCTTGTTCTTCAAGCTAATGCCATTAAGGTGCTTAATGATTTTTCTTCTGTGGTGGGTTACTTTAATTGCTTTGTTATACATAAAATAAAAATGAACACAATAATAATAGTTACATGTGTTATTAAAGATATGTCAATAGTAAAAAAATAGCGTGATTTTTAATTATTAAAGTAAAAAATTAATAGATAAACAAGAATATAGATTAAAAATATTGAAATTTATAGAGATAAATAAAAAAAAAAAAGTAAGATGAAAGGTAGTAAAATTCATTAATTTGATTTATTTTAAAATTAATGTAAAAAAAATTAACTCGCTATCTCATTAAAATCCATGAATAAATAATTTATTTTAAATAACTAAAAGTTATATAAATCTTCAACTTGTCATGTTATTAATATTATAATTAATCAATTATATTTAACGTAAGTTAATTTAATAAAGATTTTTAATTTTTTAATATAAAAAATAATTGCCCATATCCTTAAAATTTATAAATTATGTGATTTATTTATATCATTAAAAGTTATATAAATTGTTACTTAACGCACTATTAATTTTCTAATATTGTATTAATCAATTACATTTGAGAACAAAAAAAATGAGACAAAAAAAAGTTTGAGTAAGAGCTATTAACCCCATTAGTGGATTAGTGAAAATAGTTGAAATGTAAAAATTTTTGAACTTTTAAGAAAAAATGAATAATATATCTAAAAGCAGGAACCAATACACTTTTGCCAAGAGCACAGAAAAACATAGTAATACAACTTATATATATATATATAGTATTTTTAAGAAAGCTAAAGTGTTTTTTTGGGTAAAAAATTTAAAATTTTAAAAATGCATTACTACACCATTTAAAAAAAAAAAAAGAAAGAAAACATTTAGATAAAAGACATTAATGATACATTACAGTTGTTAGAGGAAACATTTGTTACTTCAAAAATTTGAGAGAACATTTGCTATAAAGCACATTAATTGAATAATTCATTGTTATTAAACTTTATCATTTTTTAAAAACTAATAATTAATAATAATTACCTAAAGCATCAATATATGGCATAACAAAATCAAACCAAACCAAGAACACCAATACAAAAAAAAAAAAAAAAAAATAACTTGAATAATTTCATTGTAATAAACTTTATCATTTTTTTAAAAACTAATAATAATAATAATTACCACTAATAACATCAATATATTGCCATAACAAAATCAAACCAAACCTAAGGAACACCAACAAAAAAAAAAAAAAAAAAAATCAAACTAAACTAATAAAATTACATTAAAAAAAAAAACAAATGAAAACACTAACTCAAAATAAATCTAAACCAAACGAAGTAATATATAAATTATTAAATCATAACCAAATACAATAATATTAATTTCTAAATAAATCAAAACCAAACTAATACAAAAAGCAAGTGGAAACTTAATAATGAAGAATATGTCACATGTCCAATTTTTTTAGAAAAAATTGCCTTATTATATATATATTTAATATAATTATATATATATATATATATATATAATTATTATTTATGTATATGCTATTATCTATAACAAACCGTGAACTGTTTATTAACATTTTATCCCCTTTTTTCTTAAACATTCTTAATGCTAATATATATTTATGTATATGCTATTATCTATAACAACCGTGAACTGTTTTATTAACATTTTATCCCCTTTTTCTTACATTCTTAATGCTAGTATTAATATTATGTATGTCATTAAATATTATAAATATTAAAAATAGTGTTTTGATTCGAAACTCTGCGTGAAAAGCTGTAGATAAATTAAAAACTATTTATTATTATTTTAACATGAACTATGATATAGACAAGCCCTCACAATCATGAACTATGGAGGAGAGCACTTTCTTGCAAAGCAATCAACTGCCGGCAGATTTGGATACGTGTCCCCATATTAGCGTGTGAGAATTTGTCCTCATCAAGTCCTACAAACCAATGCACAAAAGCAAATAATTCCTTATAAATTACACCATTACATAATAGAGTTATCTTCCTTTCAATTCTACTTTATTTATAGATTCGTATTCAATTACAAATAACTTTAAAACACATGCGAAATAGTCCACGTAATTTTAAAATATTTTATTATATATTTAACTTGTTTTTGGTACAATGTTGAAATTGAAAAAAAAAAAAAATAAAAGAGTATATAAAGAGTTAGTCTATTGTCACTTCATAAGAAATGATAATACTATCTTTTTGAGGAATTCAGGGAGAGCATGAAATATGAAAAGTGAAATTTTTTCGAGAATAGATTAATTATTTATTTGGAATAAATGAATTCTATAAAATTTTATAAATTTATTTATAAATCTAAATTTTTGTGTTTAGTATAAAAAAATAAAAATTTTAATTTTATGAATTCAATTATATGTATCTGAATATAACCAAAATAAATTTTATTCAAAAAGATAGAATTTTCAAATGAATTCTACAAATTTAAGTAATCCAGACCTTTATAACAAAATTATACATCATCATATCCTTCTAAAATTATTATGTCGAGTATTTTTGAAAATAAAAATAAATAAATTTTCAATTTTTAATTTATTCCAAACATGAAAATTTTATTTATGAATAGATATATTTTACATTTTACATTCAGTTATATCAAAGAAAGGCTAAAGATTATAAGCAAGTTATTCCTAAATCAGATTGCTGATTACACTTGTTGCTGAAAGTGATTTTAGGGCCGCAAAAATGCAGTTTATACAGAGAAAGATAGATTCTTGTTGACCTTGCTCTTGAAGCTTGTATATACCCGCTTGCTTACTTGCCCTGTGTGAACTATGTAATGGGTTACTGCTGACTAAATCTACAAGGAACACCCCAACGGTTAAGATTTGAAGTTTTCATCAGAAGATTTCAGGTTTCAATATTAAATGAAGCATATATAGAAAATTGAACTCATTTCAATTTCCACGTTAAAAAAAAAAGGTTTATCACTGTTATCAACGAGACATCTGCATACCATCGTTTTGTCGGGACTTTCCATTTCTCAAATTTTGATAAAAGGTCTGTTTGGTAAAATTAGTTATTTTGATAACTGTTAGCTGTTTTAATAACATTTAGTCGTCAATTATTTGAGTAGTTATTTAACTGTTTAGCTGTTTTAGTAGCGTTTAGTTGTCAATTGTTTGAGTAGTTATTTAACTGTTTAGCTGTTTTAGTAGCGTTTAGTTGTCAATTGTTTGAGTAGTTATTTAACTGTTTAGCTGTTTTAGTAGCGTTTAGTTGTCAATTGTTTGAGTAGTTATTTAACTGTTTAGCTGTTTTAGTAGCGTTTAGTTGTCAATTGTTTGAGTAGTTATTTAACTGTTTAGCTGTTTTAGTAGCGTTTAGTTGTCAATTGTTTGAGTAGTTATTTAACTGTTTAGCTGTTTTAGTAGCGTTTAGTTGTCAATTGTTTGAGTAGTTATTTAACTGTTTAGCTGTTTATTATATTTTCTAAAAGTTAGTCCAAACGCTATGTTATTAACAACTTTTTAAGTAGTGTTTAGCGTTTTAACTGCTTAAAATGTTGTTGCCGAACACACTAAAAAGTAAAAAGATTAATCAAATCATACAATCAACTAATCAAATTGTAATTATAGTTTGTAACGTAAATGGAGTCTTTAACAATTATTAAACAAAATCTATCATTTATTGTATAGCCCAATGCAATGGTCTATTTGGTTTCTTCATAAGAACAAGAAAATTAACTATGTACTAAAATTGTATTTCTTTTCTTAATTTCTTTAAAGCAAATTTTTATTTTTATATTTGTTGAAACAATTATTTAAAAAATCCATTCGATCTATTTATTCCAAAATATTTATAAAAAATTTTGAAATCTTTTTATAATTCGCCAATCCTTTTAATTTTGATATCTAGATTCTAAGGTTGAACCTATATTTTTAATATAATTAAAAAAAGAGACTATTTTTTATTTATTTGAATAAATTATCACATCTTATTTTCCAAAAAGCTAGTTTATTTCAAAAAATATTTCTTTATTTTCATATTTTTTCTTACAAAATTTCAATTATTAGAATTGGAATTAAACAAGAATAAAAACCTTAGACAATCTAGATATACCATATTATGATTGACTTACAAAACAAAGGCCCACCAAAGACTTTTACAATGGTACTATGGTAATTTAAAGGAATGATATGGGCATTTCAAACCCTCAATCGCTTTAGTTTACCCGGCAAAAAATTCTTTTAAAAGAAAAGCCAAAGCCAAAGCCAAAACATAACAGAAGGGAAAAAATTCTCCTCCAGCTCCTATCCACCCCATTCGTGCTCAAAAGGGAAAAGATTTCTCTACGATTCTGAACCGTCCACCGTCACTTCAATATTCTCCGCCTCAGCAAATTCCTTCTCTTCCCCACCATTTTTATCTTTTCGCGATCACTCTTAAAGCTATTTTATTTTTTTTCCTTTTTCTTTTCTTTTCTTTCTCAAGCCAAGAATCTCTTTCTCTTCACTTCCTTTCTCTCTTTCAGATTCTTTTGTTTCCTCACTTTTTAATCAACCATGCCCCTATTGCGTTGTTCCCTCCCTCTTCTCTCTTACCCACTTCACTTTTTTTCATTCTCTTCCTTTCTTCTTTCTCTACCTCTCTCTTTCTGTCGTTTTCATTTCTTCGCGTTTCCTTTGCTTTCATATTCCGGCCAAAATCTATACATACAAATAGCTTCCTTCCATTCTCATGGCTCCTCCATCCTCTTCTTCTTCAGGTGTCAGTCATATCTCTAATCCTTGCATTTATGGTATGATCATTTGCTTTTATTTTGTTTCTTTGTTTTTGTCTCCAACTCGTTTGATAAAATGCTTTTAGAATTTGACTTTTCAATTTGGATAATGGTTTTTTCTTTATTTCTTTATTTGCTTCTTGTTTATTTCTTGTTTTGTTTTTGATATTACAAAGATATGATTTTTAAAATAAGGTCTTTTTGCTATTTTTCTTTTTTTCAAAATCTCTATTTTAGTTATTTATTTGCTTGTTTATTGAGCATTGCTACTATTTGTATTTTGTTTGGGTTGGATTGAGTTGTGGCTTTGTATTTGTACTTTTATGTTAAGCAGGGGACTTTGTTTCTTCCTACGCAGAGAGAAAATCTCGGTTTATGAAATGGCTCAGCAAGCTTTTTAGGGGTGGGCCTAGTAGGGGCGGTGGGGGCGGGGGCCGTCATCCACAGCTTCTTGGGGAGGAAAGCATGGTCAGCTGGCGTCAACCAGCTAGATCTTTGGTAACTTTTTTTTTTTTGGTTTACGTGTTACCTTTTTCTTTGTTACTTTACTGTAAAGTGTTTGTTATCTCATCCTACCCTTGATCTTGATGATATATTCATTTGGTATTTAAGCATTGAAAAAAGTTTTCAGATTCCTCTACAACTTGTCAAATTGAATGGCAAATCTTTTTGTACCAATTGTTTATGATATATTCACAGATATTTGTTCTCTAATTTTAATAATTCTTTATATGCTAGTAGATTTTTTAGTCCCTTTTTTCACCCTCTCTTTTGAAGGGCATGTTATGGTTGCATGAACAAGCTAAGGCCTTTGCTTATATGTTATTGTACAATAGATTCTTTACCAAACCGGAATGCCTATGTATTTGTGCCACGCCAAAAGTTTACTTCATGTGCAAGCCACTTGGTTAATACAAGTCTTTCCTTTATTTACAATATATACACTTTAGGTTAACCATGTAAAAAGTTAGACTGTTGGTTGTCACCTCCACATGCTGAGGAGCCTCGAAAATAGTTTTGTGGCATTTCTAGACTCTTAATTGATAAAGATTATACTCTTTTAACCAAAAAAAAAAAAAAAAGCGAAAATTAGTTTGTGGCATTTCTAGACTTTAATGATAAAAGATTTATACTCTTTTAACCAAAAAAAAAAAAAAAGTATTGATAATGAGCCAATTTGAAGCTTGCTATGTTTTTAACCAAAAAAAAAAAAAAAAGTATGATAATGAGCAATTGAAGCTTGCTATGTCTAATTTTAGCTGATATTCAATGACATTGTTCTGGAATGTCATTGCAATTTATAAAATGTGTTTTAGAGGATAATGCTCTACTCATTGTGCTTAAATAGTATACCAAAAAATTGGATATATTTATGGCACTCTCATGGAGTACATGGTTTATTTATCTGACACAAATTAATCATCTTTTGTTTAGATTTTTATTTTTTGTGGAGTGAAGGGTAATAAAAGAGCTGAGCCAAGAGCTTAAGGTTAGCTCGACAAAGGTATACTTGAGTTTGAACTCGATTTGAGTTTGAAAACTAAGTTGGAGCTTTGGTTTGTATATAATTTATAATTAAGAAAGAACTTTTTTGCCCCTTTGTAGACTCAAACTCGGCTAGTTTATTAAAATGAGCCCAAGCCTGTTTTATCGAATGATCTTTCTTTAGCCTACATACCGGGGGGGTGGCTCGAGTGCCTGACTGTGTAAATAGAGCAGAAACATGGAGAAAACGAAGAAATCTAATTCATAGTTGTCATACAATTGCACTATTGAAACCGCATATTTCTAGCTTAAAAAATATCATTAATAACCATAATTACCTCTTCCATCGTCATTAGGATGAGCACTCTAGACCTAATAAGGAGAAGGAGGAATCAGACCATCCAGTTTCGCTTTCCCTAGCAGAAGATTGGAGAAGACCACCAGGTTTTGAGTTTTTATCCCTGTCAAGCTCATATATTTTTAAACTTGCACTATGTGTTGTATTTGGACTTGTGATGAACATTTACCCTTTTCCAGGATATAGATTGCCAACAGATTATGATGATGAACTAGCTAGGGCACTTCACAGTAGCCTCAACCCATCTGGATATCCTCCTTATGCTCCTCCACAATATTATCACCGGGACTATAGGTAAGAATTTAAATCATCGCTGCATGTGTGGCTCCGATCAGGAAAAACATTTCCTTGGAATAATCTTTTTCTAGCAGGGTTGATATAGCTGAGAGGGGGGTTGGTCTCTTATAGTACCATTTATATGAGTTTGCTAGCATGTTAACGATCCTTCTCGGTCTATCAGTATTAATAGCAATGCGTGATCAAGGCTAAGTCCTTGATTCATACATATTAGTTATATGCATAAGAATTTTGCCGGAATATGAGGATTTGCTCAATGTTAGTCAATAGTTACATGCTTTGGAGTTTGGATGAAGTTTAAATTTGCAAACATGACGTAGTTGCAATTTTTTCAAGAATGATCGTTGGCAATTAACATACTATTACTAGGTAAGATATTTTAGGAAATTCCAATAAACAATATGGAACATTTTATTTCTCTGCTTGGCATGCCACTGCAAAAAAAAAAAAAAAAAAAAAAAAAAAAAAAAAAAAAAAAAAAAAAAAAAAAAAAAAAAAAAAAAAAAAAAAAAAAAAAAAAAAAAAAAGAAAAAAAATGCTTGTAAAAAGAAGATGAGAAAAACAATCACCCATCAGTGTACGATTTTTTATTATTCCAACCTTGGAATTTGTTGGTTATGAATGCTTCTGCCTGTAACTTGCAGGATATGTGGTGGCTGCCATCGTGACATTGGTTTTGGAAATTATTTGGGATGCATGGGACAATTTTTTCATCCAGAGTGCTTTCGATGTTCTTCCTGTGGTTATCCAATTACTGAGCATGAGGTAGTTTCTTCCTCTCAGTTTCGCCAGTATCTTACTTATCAATTTTATTTTATCATGTTGGTCACTCCATCAATCGACTCTATCTTTTAAAAAATTGACATCAAATTAAGCATGTCCAATTAATGATATCAGACGTTTGTTTCATCTAGTTCTTAACTCAATTTTCTTTTTCTGTTGATCCAAGTTTTCTTTGTCAGGTAGGGATCCTTATCACAAGTCCTGTTTCAAAGAGTTGACTCATCCGAAATGTGAAGTCTGCCATGAATTTGTAAGGAAAAAGATTTACTTCTGTCCATTTTCATTTTATTGTTGCTGTTGTTTCTTTTCAATTAAGACAACATGGTAGCCTTCTGATTCATATGGAACACATGAAGTCTGTTCTTTCTTGTACTAGCATGCAATCAGAAACTGAACACTGGGGCCTATCCATTAAAATTGGCTCTCTTCTACCTGATTGATACTTATGAATAGAATTTTGCCCAAAGTTCTCAACATAATTTTGAATCAAATGAAAATTTTGAATCAAGTTTCTGATTTTACATATATTTTCAACAGATTTACAGAAGTAGGATCCTCTCTGTAAGCTGATAATTAAAATGATTAATTGATTGGCTTGATATCACATAAATTGTGCAGTGTGTTTGTACTTGACCTGAAACTGGAAGCGTTTCTGCTGACGATATAATATGCCAGCTTAATAACTGGTCTTAGAAATATCTCAGTTTATAAGTAGAGAGCATGGGAATCACTTGTTCAACTTTAAGCCATTATTGTAGGCATGATTCAAATGCTACCTGTCTATAAGTAGAGAGCATGGATTTTAACTGCCTTGTATTAATGTCACTGCTTTACAAATTTTCAGATCCCAACAAATGAAGCAGGTTTGATCGAGTATAGGTGCCATCCATTTTGGTCCCAGAAATACTGTCCATCGCACGAGCATGATGACACAGCGCGATGCTGTAGTTGTGAACGCCTGGAGGTATTTCCCTTAGCTATGACAATAAATTTTCTGGTCCAATAGAGTCATCTCCTAATGTTCTTTAGAGAATCCAACACTTTCAGATGCAAATCAATTTCTTTTACTCATAGTGGTTGTTGTTGATTATTTCCTTTTCTTCTCTATTGTATTTTTCTCCTGAAGTCCTGGGATGCAAGATACTATTCTTTGGGAGACGGACGGAGCTTATGCTTGGAATGCATGCAATATGCTATTATGGACACTGGTGACTGCCAACCCCTTTATCATGCCATCAGGGACTACTATGAAGGAATGAATATGAGATTAGATCAGCAAATTCCGATGCTTCTGGTTGAAAGACAAGCACTTAATGAAGCTATCATTGGAGAGAAAAATGTAATAACTGATATCTTGCTCTATTATAGGCTAGTGCTTCATGTAACTGCTCTAATTTCAGCTATGGTTCTTTCCAGGGATTCCATCACATGCCCGAGACAAGGGGTCTATGTCTTTCAGAGGAGCAGACGGTTACCAGTGTATGATTCTGGACTCTGCTATTTGATATCGTCTTATTAACCTGATGGTTTATGATTGAGGAATCAAATTGATCACGTTTTGCTTCCGCTGTCTTTTCTCTTTGATTGCATCCAGATACAAAGGAGACCAAAAATTGGAGGTCACCGACTAGTTGGAATTAAAACACAACCACAAAAGCTGACTAGGAAAAGTTGCGAGGTTACAGCTATCCTTGTACTTTATGGTCTTCCCAGGTAACAGGCAGTGGCAATTTTCACTTCTATTCTCTTAATTTTGTTGTCTAGTGACAGGAGTCTTGCATCTGGCTGAGCCGATAGGTCACAGGTTCCTTTCTGTTAAAAAAAAATGTTGTGATTCTTGAAGAAATATCGAACACCTGTATGGTCCAGACAGAAAAAAAAAAGTCGTTTCTAAATCTGGTTATTTGAAAGATGACTGCTAATTAGAATGAAGTTACAGAAACAAATTTTCCTGTTTATTTGTTTTTATTTTATTTGTGGAATTTAGGGTGCATGAAAGAATTCCTACATTATTCTCCGATTTCAAGGAAATCAGCCAATGAGTTATACATAATTTTATCTGTCTAAATAGAAGATGCACTACCTCCTACATGTTGAACTTTTTTTCAATGTATCATTCATGTTCTTGCAGAAAATCCTGTTAATTGATGTTCTAGTTGAAGGCAGGCTACTCATGCATAATCTGATTTGTCTTTTCCTTGCTAAGATCTCAACCAATTCTCTAACATGTCGAACTCTGTTTTTCTACTTTTGGAAAATTCTATTTATTGATTTTCCTGTTGGACACAGATTATTAACAGGTGCTATTCTTGCCCACGAGTTGATGCATGGCTGGTTACGCCTCAAAGGTAGAATAGATGTCAATCTGAAAGTTCTCCTTGGAAACCTTTTATGAAGTTAACTACTTATTTTCTTCACTACCCTCCATATAATGCAGGTTACCGTAATCTTAATCCTGAGGTAGAGGAAGGTATCTGTCAAGTGTTGTCGTACATGTGGCTTGAATCAGAAGTATTGCCATCTAAAGGCATGGCATCTACATCAGCAGCATCCTCTTCATCTTTCTCTTCAAAAAAAGGAGGGAAGTCCAATGTTGAAAATAAACTCGGTGAGTTTTTCATGCATCAAATTGCCAATGATGCCTCGCCCGCTTATGGAGGAGGATTCAGGGCTGCAAATGCTGCTGTCAACAAGTACGGTTTACGTTCGACTTTGGAACATATTCGACTGACCGGCCATTTCCCATTGTAATACTAGCAAAGGTTACACGTTACTTCATCTCATTTCTTACATGTTTTTGCTCCTCCAAAGGGTTGAGCTCGTGCGGAAGTTTGGACAGGTCCCCTTTAAATTTTGTTTGGGGTCTTATATGATACATGTCCAAAAATGACTCTTCAAAGTTCAATAATGCATTGATTATGTCCTATTACTATTATTATTTAGTTATTGAGAGAAATTATTATAGTTCAGTTATGTGCATAACTTAAATATCTGTCAATAGTTAAAATATGTATTTACCAAATTCAAAATCATCTTGATGCTGAAGCTAATTCACCAATTTTTACTTCAATTTAAAAATTTTTGTGCACATTTAATTTACAGTGCTTCTTATATCATTCTGAATAATCTGATCTGATTCTTTTATATTAAGACTTGGAAGGTGGTGTCATCTCTTTCTTTCTGCTAGGCCATTGTCAAGATTATATGTAGAAATTGCTACTTACAGGATCTGCTCAAAAACTGGAAATAAAAAAGTTGGACAGCGTTTAAATCTGCAGCTGACATAGAAGCAGAACTGCCACAAATCTGAAGAATGCCCATGGTGGCTACCGCCTTTTGCAAATTTATGTTTCTTCAGTATTTGAGAGATTCTTTCAACTTAATTCTGTTTTATTTGCCCAAAACGATTGGCAGTGTTTTATAGATGGACCACGTTTCCCATTTCTGGTGAATTAAACGACAATGTCATGATGCTTAACACTAGCAATTCTTTTGATAGACGAACCATATTAACTCAAAACTGCTGGTCCTTTAGTTTTTGGTAAATGACGTAGTTTTGCAAATAAAACGGCAATTTTCATGATAAAAGTAAAACTATGCCCGTCGTTCAGTATATTTTTATTTGCTCGTCGTTCTTTTATTCTACGTCAAGACACTGGGCTATCAGAAGCCCATAAGAGACATAAATAGCCCAAGTCCTCACAAGCCCTAAAGCCATTTTAGATTAAGATTCGAGCCGATTAAATTTTTGTGAATCGTAATTTAGTTTTATCTTTCTTGTCTGCTAAATATATATTTAAAATTTGATTTCAGTAAACTAAGGTGATAAATTAATTATTATGTCAAAAGAAAGTGAGAAATTAAATAATAATTTAATAAGGAATGTGATAGATAAAATAATTGAATATAATTATTTCGAAATAATAAATAAATAAATAGTTTAATAAAATTAAAATTTTAAGATCTAGCTAACAAATAATAGAGATAAATCGTAATTAGATTTATAACCAAATTTAAAGAAATAAATAATTATTTAATCAATTTTTGTTATCCTTAAAAGAAAAAAGAAAAATAATTAATTTGTATCTAAGGTATGACCAAACTAACTAAATCATTTCTGTAGTTTGATAATATTAATTAATGGTCCCCGAAGTTTAACTCCGTTAAACAATTTAGTCCGTCCACTTTCTCTGTATCTTGCCGTTAAAACCATTGAAAAAGTAAGAGAGATGAGAGATAATTAATCTAAAATGACAGTAATTTGCCTTCAACCTAAACTATCTTTTTGCCCCTTCTTGCAAATAACAGAGCAACGGCTCCTCAGTGAGGAAGCCCACCATAGCCATTAGTTATTCAGTTGAAATTGGCTTCTTTCTCACATCTGTCAATTCTACTCTCTTTCTGGTATTGCCATTCAAAGTCAAGTTGAGTTTATGCTTAAGTTAAAAAATAGGGTGATAGGTGAAATAATGTTTTGATGGTAATGATGATGGAGATGGAATAAAAAAGATTGCTGAGTTTTATAGAAATTTTCTTGATTTTTCTTTAATCTTCGTCTTTCTTAACTTTTATTGTTTTCTCTCCCTTGATTGATTATTTTTCATCATAAGTTCTCTTAATTCTACAATTTTGCATTGTTGTTGGATCTCTACTTTTGAAGATTCAAAATACGTTTCATGGTAATATTTCATTGTGTTTATAATAATTATGTCTGAAACATTAATTAGGCATCCATCTGTAGTAAATATTTTGATTTGAATATATGAATCTTTTGATGAATTATAGTTGACACACAATATGTTTAATGAAATATCTTCTAGAGATTTAATTTCTTATAACTCTTTAAAATGTTAATAAATGACGACTAAGGAGAAAGAGATAGAGATGGAGAGAGATGATTGTTTGATTGTTTGGGAGAAAGAGATAGATAAGATTGTTTGCTATTTTGTAAAAATGGAGGAAGATATAAATACAGTTATTTTAGTATTTTCATTGCTAACTGTTAGGGTATTTTTGTCATTTCTGTAATTTTAAGGCAAATTTTGATTAATTGAAAAATCAATTAGTTTAACAGAAATAAATTTTAAAAACCATTAATTAATATTATCAAACTGTAATAATGAATTAGTTAATCTGTGAGGATTATATAATTATTTTCCCAAAGAAAAATGTGAAAAAAAAGGAATTCTTATTTCAGTCGATTCGATATTAATTTCTCCATTTCCAGTTATTTATTATTCGATGCACGTGCGCCGGGTGCTTTGTTGAATTCACCGGCGAGGGCTTTCTTGGAGAGGAAAGGAGAAAGAAGCGACGGAACGTCAGAGGTACAAGGCAGAGACAGTAATTGGTCCAAACTCCGTTCAATCATAGCCTGGCGGACCCGCCAATCTTAGCGTCACGCCGGGAACCAAGATACCGGTAATAAAAAGCCTTTGAAATCTTTTCCTGTGATCCCTTCTTCGTCGAGTCAATAACTGTTCTTTTGAGTTCGCCTAACGTTAAACATTACCTCCTCTGAAATTGCTAGAAAAGCTAAGGAACTCAGATCGGGAAGTTATTACCTGAGAAAAGTAGCCTTTTGATAGTGGTATTCTAAAGCTCAATAGTCACTCAGGAGATTGCCGGAGCAGGGAGAACTTCCGCTACTGCTCGTTCATAGCATACACGGTCCAACGAGCTGCGGTAAACTTTTCGGCTCAGCAGGTGAAGTCCTTGATTTTTTAATTGTTATTATTTTATTTTTAGATTTTTTTTTTCTCTTTATCACTGCATTACATACTCACAGCCCTCTCTGTTGGCTGGCAATAGGGTTCTTGGTCGTTTTGTCTGTAAAAAAAATGCTCGAAACAAAATATAATGACTTTCATGCTTAGTCTTATTGAATTTTGTTACAGTTATGGTCTTGTTTGAGTAGAAGGTGCTGTTGTGTTTGAATCCAATTTGTTGAAGTAAAGTTGGTCAATCTGTTATGGTATATGCCCGTAGTTTTCTGTTATTGGCGTTTTATTTTGGTCTCTTTGAGATGGGTATGTTCATGATATCCTGTCAATCTAATCAGGTCAAAAATGCCTCTTTTAGGAATCTGATAAGATACACGTGATCTCTTTTATGTGGAGATTTTATGTTAATTAATGGCCATTTCTGTTAGTTGTTTGGTTTAATGTGGAGTTTAGTTAAGAATTAACTTGAACGCCAGTTGCTTATGCTTGATGAAAGAGAAATTTGGACTTTGGAGACGCATTTATAATCTCTCTCTTGTGGCTTTGTGTTTGTATAATTTGTCAGTCTCAGTGCTTGGATTGGCGGGTTTTGCATCAGCACCATTAGAAAGAATGACACGTGTAGATAAGCGTGATAGCCAAAACCACCAGAATGCATTTAGCCAGCCTTCTGATTCAACATTTTAAAGAATTTTCTATGCTGCTATTAACCCATATTGGATGTAGCCTATCTCAATTGAATAAGTTATTCCCATCATTTAACTAACTTAATCTCCAATTATTCAATTTGCACCAAGTTGCACATAGCTTTGCACTAATATAATTAAGCCCATAAATTTTTATACTGCAATAAACCTCATCTTCTCTAAATTTATGTGAAGAAAACAAAAATTAAAGGAAAAGGAAAAGAAGCTGGTGATTGGTGATCATCGCAAGTAGCAACAAGCTCAGAGTAATTAAAGCTCAACAAGACTATTACTTGAAAAGTTCCTCCAATATAATTAGAATCAGAGTAGCAATTGAGTTGCAGAGAATCAAAATTAGATTTTGAGAGAAAGAGGGGTTTGCTGGCACGAGATTCTTCTGTTTCACTCTAGTGTTTTCATATGTGGAGAAGGGGAAATGAAGGAATGTGAAATTTTTTAACATATTGTTCTATGCTTCAACAGAAAAATAAGTTCTTATGTTGGTGGTTTGTGGAGAAAATTGCAGTGTTTTCTATGTTTGAGAAGTGAACGACACTTTGAGAGACCTAATGTGTAGAAAGGCAAGCAACTGCCTACTACATATATTTATCCTGCTTCACAACAACATTTCAATAATGTTTCTCCTGTTATAAAAGTTTTCCTTTCCCCTTTCATTTATTCATTCTTTTCATTTTTCCTCTTTCTTGTCCTTAATAATTAAAGTTGCTATTATATTCAACGGCATATTCTTAACATCTAAGAGCTCAGAAGCCAAGCTCAACCAAGGATCTTAGCAGGTCTTATTGTTGGTAAAGCCCATCCTATGGTCTGGCTCACTCCTGCCCCTTATTAGATTTATGCTGTAATATGTTCAAATGGTTAGATTTGATAGTAATTCTGTGAATGGTCGGGTGAGGGTTTTGTTTGGGTAAGAGGCTATAGGTGTTCCCAAATAAAATTGAACAGGACATTTATAAACTTACCCAACTTTCATCTCTAGGTTTGCGTTCAAGTTGTCTATGTAATCACCAAGGTCTAAATTGGTCACTTATTTCTTTGGGATTTTATGAGGTATTTTCTTTTTTCTAGAAAAGAAATTTTTTGAGTTTGAGATTAAGGTTGCTGAGTTCAATAATAAGATGACTTATTAACTGTAGTTTGCTTTAATATGGTTTTTCCTATCTTTGATGCTTTTGTTTTAGGCACTGTGGAAATGGAGTTGTTGAGACAAATGTTTGCATTGCCTCTAGCTGAGGGAATTTTGAAAAAAGACTGTTGCATATCTTGTGAAGGACTGTAGACTTCAACCCGCTGCAGTTTTTGGACGCAGGGGATCTTAATAGTTCCTCTACAGTTATGGATTCTTGTGTTGTCACAGGTGGAACAATTTTAGAACCTCGTGATGATATGGAATTTGACTCGCATGAAGCTGCTTATTCGTTTTATAAAGAATATGCCAAGTCTGTGGGGTTTGGTACTGCCAAATTGAGCAGCCGGAGGTCAAGGGCATCAAGGGAGTTTATTGATGCTAAATTCTCATGTATAAGATATGGAAATAAACAGCAGTCTGATGATGCCATTAATCCACGACCTTCTCCAAAAATTGGCTGCAAAGCAAGCATGCATGTGAAGAGAAGATCTAATGGGAAATGGTATATCTATAGTTTTGTGAAGGAACATAATCATGAGCTCCTACCAGCACAGGTGCACTTCTTTCGAAGCCACCGGAACATTGATCCCCTTAAGAATGATGCTAGAATACGAAGACGAAAGAATTTGACTGCAGTGTCCAAACTGTTTGGTGCCTATCAAAATGTAGATTGTCTGGAAGGTTATATGAGAAATCAGCATGATAAGGGGCGAAATTTGGTTCTAGAAGCAGGAGATGCTCAAATACTACTGGAGTTTTTTATGCATATGCAGGAACAGAACCCAAAGTTCTTCTATGCTGTCGATTTGAATGAAGAACATAGGTTGAGAAACTTGTTCTGGGTTGATGCAAAAGGTATGGAAGACTACAACAACTTTGGTGATGTAGTTTGTTTTGACACTACATACTTCACAAACAAGTATAAAATCCCTTTGGTTCTCTTTATTGGAGTGAACCATCATATTCAACCCACATTGCTTGGTTCTGCATTGATTGCAGATGAGACAGTTTATACTTTTGTTTGGCTAATGCAAACATGGTTTATGGCAATGGGGGAGCAAGCTCCACGAGTGATACTGACTGATCAAAACAATGCCATAAAAGCAGCTATTGCTGCTGTCTTTCCACAAACACGTCATTGTTTTTGCTTGTGGCACATATTGGAGAAGATCCCTCGACAGCTCGAGTATTTGAACCCATGGCATGATAATTTTATGGTAAAATTTAACAAGTGTATTTTCAAATCATGGACAGAGGAACAGTTTGAAAAGAGATGGTGGAAATTACTTGATAAATTTAATCTTAGAGAGGTTGAATGGGTTCAATCATTGTATGAAGATCGCAAGTATTGGGTGCCAACTTTCTTGCGAGATGTATCCTTTGCTGGTTTGTGTACTGTATTGCGGTCTGAAAGTGTGAATTCTTCGTTCGACAAATATGTTCATTGGGAAACTTCAATGAGAGACTTTATAGAGCAATACAAATTGATTCTTGAAGATAGGTATGAAGAGGAAGCCAAAGCAGATTTTGATGCGTGGCATGAAACACCTGAGCTAAAGTCTCCATCACCTTTTGAGAAACAAATGTCACTTGTGTACACACATCAAATTTTCAGGAAATTCCAATTTGAAGTGTTGGGAGCAGCAGCTTGTCATCTTAAGAAAGAAGAAAGTGAAGATGAAACTATCACAACTTATTCCGTCAAGGACTTTGAAGATAATCAAAATTATGTGGTGGAGTGGAATGAATCAAAATCTGAAATATGCTGTTTGTGCCGTTCATTTGAATACAAAGGTTACCTCTGCAGGCATGCTATTGTTGTTCTTCAAATGTCTGGTGTATTCAGAATTCCACCTAAATATGTATTGCAACGGTGGACAAATGCTGCTTTGAGCAGGCATCCCATTAGTGAAAGACTGGATGAGGTGCAAACTAAGGTCCGTCGTTACAATGATTTATGTCGACGAGCAATAATTTTAGGTGAAGAGGGTTCACTTTCTGAAGAGAGTTACAATATTGCATTGACCGCCATAAAAGAAGCTTTAAGGCAGTGTGCAAGTCTGAATAACACTGTTGAGAATGGTGTTGGTCATACTGCCTTAGTTAGCATTGAGGATGAGAATCAGTGCAGTACTTATTCAAAAGATGTAGTACCAGATCCTCACTTGACTAGTGCAAACAAGGCCCCTAGGAGAGTTGAAGCTGGAAAGGAGAAGGAGAACAATGAAAATAACACATTCAGAAAAGGAAAGGTTAGTTTGTTTTGGTGGCTGATATGAACTTTGCTTTCTCAAATGCTATTAGAACTGTTTCTATCTATGAATGGTGTTGTTAATACAATTTGCTTAATGCGTGCAGCAGGTATCTCAGCCAGGTGCCAGTAGCATTGGGGTGCAGGATGGCTTCCACTTAGTGGTTTGTGTTTGTGATGCTCACGTTTAATTCCATTTTAATTGAGGACCTCCGATTATTATTCTGGTTTAATTTTAATGCAATTTAATAGTCATCACATTGAATCTTATAAAGAATTTTGAATCTTGGCCCCACTCTGAGTACCTTTTATCGCCAGGCTCAGGCACTGGTTTAAGAAAGCAGCTCGCTGGAATATGTGGACATTAAGTAATTTTACATTTTTATCTTTGTTTTATTCTTTCATGCATGTATAACCCACTGTTCAGATATACTAGCCGTTGTCATCAATCGTAAGGTTTAGTTGCAATGGCATGTGTGCTTATTTGTTTCTTCCTAATTCTGTTGGCAGGAGATATGCGACCTAGGTCCAACACAAGCACATAATGTGGTGCCAACACAGTTACAGCATGTGGTGCCAACGGTGTTTCACAGTATGACATCTACACAGTTTCATAATATGGCTCCATCTCATTTGCCTGAGACTCGACTTCCTCGGTAGTATGCTCTTGTATTCACTTGTAAAAATTCTGTAAAACATCCACAGCTACAGGTCTATAGGAAAAGAATCTCTAACCGTTTTGCAGGTACAAACACTGGTCCATATTATGACATATCTGTTGTGCAGTTGGCAAAAAGTTTTGTTTATCATGCTGAGCTGAAGTTGGAGAGGTAGGCTAGATTGGCATGAACTTGTGCATAAAGTAGTCATGTATACACGATCTATCTGTAAATGTTATGCAATTTATCAGGCACGCCATTACATGATGCAATTGTAAAACCTTTTAGCTTAATTTTCCTTGGTGAGTGGAATCTTTTGATCGGCGAGGTTACTCTTGCATTTTTAGTACCTGTAGAATTTTTCCTTCAGAAAATGCACAACCAACCACTCAAATGACAAATCAAGCGTGCTGTGTTGTTGATCCTGATTCAACTGGTTATTGCAAAATAAAGGAACTTGACAAACTGAAATTAAAATGGGATCTTCGTAAAATGGATCATTATGAGCATTATGACGAATTTGATTGCGAAGTCCAGTGGCAAAAAGAAGGGGATTTATTAACTCGTTTATTTAGTCTGAATTGGTGAAATGATGGAATGTATATAAATTATTCTAACAGGCTCTGGAAGGAATGCAGAGCCTGAAAGTGAAAACGATGGAATCTATAAAATTCAGTTGTGTTCATCCTCCGTCTTCACATCCACTTGAGATGCTGAAAGTGATTGCTTATTCTTTGGAAAACGCTTACTGCCAGTTTGCGCTTAAAAACCAATAAGTAATAACAACAGTAAAAGAAAAAGCAGAATTCAATTTACCTTGGTACTTAAAATGAATGGCCAGACTATTGCAACCATATGGTAGAACTCCAATGGTAGTCATAGAATAAACAAATGTATTCACTTCACTTTCAAAACAACAATAAGTTAATACACAAATCAGCGTGATGCTGTCAATAGGGTACATCATTTGCCGAAATTATCAAGGCAGAGGCTGTTAACAGAGTTGCAGTTTTACAGGCGGTTAACAAATGTGATTACAAGTGCTTGAAAAATTACATAAGCAAATCTCAACAACATAAAAAAAAGAAAACTCTACTCGTCGCACTAGGATGTTAAGAGTTGAAATTTCTGAATACAGTACCCTGCAACTGTAAATCTGTGAAAAAAGAAAGGTGATCCTGTTATGATTCTGACCTGCACTCTCAACTCTCATGTATTCTCACAAGCTGGAGTTGAAGCTGCAAATGCCTTCAACCAAATACAATAGTTGAATGAGTTCTAAATGATGAAGAAACCAGAGAACTGAAAAAGGAGCATTGATGGTATTGATCTCTGAGAATTGTGAGGACAACTATTTAGAATACATTTCAAATATGATTGAGCTTTGACCTATCTACATGGAAAAATCTCTCTCATGGTAGCATTACAAAATTAACCACCATGAGAAAACCTATGGAGTACCATGCACAACGCTATTGTTTAACAGTTTGACAGCCAATTGTCTCATTTGCAATACAACCTCTAAACAATGCCACAGCATCTATAATTTGGCAGTAACATCTGCTAACAGCATTTTCAGTGTCTCGTAGGTCATAAAACAAATGCCGACACCAGGCACAACTTTGTAGTATTCAGGCAGTATGCCTCTATATAGACCCCAAAAGCCCTCAGTCTGGATTATGTGCTTAAATGTACCAAAAAGACCTGTTGTGTATACACGGGCCCGGCCACCTGCTCCTTCCAATTGCTTCCGTCGCCTCACAAGATCGAGGGGAAATGTTGCTGCATATTTACCAGAATCATATGATTATTCTTGAGCACAGTAGCTCTTTTAACTACCAGATTTGTGAAGGATATGAGAACTGTGTATGTCTCAACTGCTAATACATATCTAAATGCAATTGTATCAAGTGCACACTAAGTGTTAGAAAAGTTGGAACAGGAACAAAAATATCAGAAGCAAATGGATCATAAATAAACTTAATATTGAGTACTATGAAATTTATAAATGGAACATACCGAGTGCTAGCTCACCGAGAGAATTTGTACTAATAGCTGCTTCCAGTACAGTTCTCCTCATGGTTAGGGTTGGGATATTTTTAATATGAGCAATAATTGGGTTGGGATAGTTTTAATATGAGCAATAATGTAATCAATTAGGAACAAGAACAAGTTTATGAAGAAAAGGAAGGTGTCAAAATTTGATCATTGTGAATGCATGTTGATAACCTCCTTAGTTACAAAACGTTCTCATGTCATTATTGGTAAATGAAGGGGAAACCCAGTGAATGAATTTCTTCCCAATATACCAAAAGAAAAGGGTAACCATTTTTCAATAGAAACCATATGAACAGAACCTTTGACAACTGCATCACGACTCACAAGGCTTGGAGGACGCCAATATCCTAGGATAATGCAGTTAGCAAAGGAAACCAAAGTGAGAAGTATACCTCAAAGAGGACACCTCTCACGTTTGATTACTGAGAGAATAGTACTAGTTCACCTGAGAGTACTGCCACCTATTACAGAGTCAACTTCAATGCTTGGGGAGACAAGTTCCACAAAAGAATGCAGGAGAAATGTGGTTAATGCAACCAAGATTCTTAAATAGGAAATAAAGTTAGATGAATTTTTTCCCCTGAACTTCCTTCCTAAAATTCTCAAATGCAAGATATAAAACAACTCCTGTCGGTCTCTTGCTCTAGGGGTCAGACTGGTTAGATAATTAATGCAGAGCCTGAACCACACCTTGCTTCTCTGCATCAAAAGCATAGTAAACAGCTACAAGAATTAACGTCTTTGATTAGATATTGACATCATCTAATCAGACAAAGGTAAGTATTTCAATGAAAAGTTCACCAACATTGCTATCTGATAATTAACATTTGATAAAGTCAGTAATGTTCTGTGACAAGTGAAAAAATGCTGTAACCTTAACATCTCCTGTTCCTCTGTCTTATGATAAACATGGGGAGCAGACAACGCATGGAAATGGCTACTCAAGGAAAATATGCAACAAAAGGATTATTCAAGGAATATGAGTAATTACTTTGCAACAAATAATATACAAAAACCATAAAATATGGTTAACATAATTGGAGGTTTACACTAGAACTTTCATCAACAAAGACCATCCTTTCATTGGCATAACAAAGTCCGAGAATATCTAAAATTAGCAAGAAACCTATTATTTAGCATGTTTTAGATTATTCACCTGTTGATGATGCAATGCCTGATAGACTGCCACAAGCCAAACTCACTGCAACAGTAGAATCATGGGGCCTGAAGTGGAGAAGACAATACTAAAAGCTTACAACTGTTATATAAGAATATGGAATAGTATAAAATGTCTGTACTGTAGTAATCATATTATGATTGAAGCATACCTGTGTGTTTGCCAAAATGATCTTAAGGTCTCATACACTGTAAAGCTGATAGCTATATTGGGTCCAACACCCTGCATCAATATCCAATCAACATAAATAAATGATAGTAAACCCTCTAGCACAAATGTTATTAGCAAAAGAATAGTATGGTACCAAAAGCGTTGCTCCAAGCCCCTTGTAGAGGCCCAAAACACCCTCATCTCTGCTAATTGTCCGCAGTGCATGAGCAATACCTCTGTAGTAGATAACATTTGTCTGTTGAGTTTGAAACGGAATGAGTGGATCAATAAGCAAAAGGTACATAAAAATAACCAGTTATTAACTATAACTAGAAGTTCAAAAGCAGATAACAGGCTAACATTTTGTCACACTTTCTTGGGAAACTAATAGTCAAAACAAACTTAAAATTACTCAGGAAGGCAACACATCAAAACATTATATAACCAAGTTCACATAGTGAAGGAAGAAGTCCATAAGCTGCTAAATACAGCCCAAGCCCACAGGTAAATTACCAAAAATTATGAGCTTGGTTAACATAACTGGAAAAAAACAAGCCAACAGTAATGCATTCACTAAACAAAGGTTAAAGAAGTACAAGTTTAGTGATATGAAATTTTGTCCATGCATCCACACGAATTCTGAAACAGGCCAAAACAAAACTTCACCATAGCTACAACCTTTTAAAGCTGTCATCAATACTCAACTAATACGATTGCAATAATTTATCAGGCTATTAGATGATTCACAAAAGTAATCCTGATTTAAATCTTGTGTTTTTCTACTTCTACAGTCTCATTACATACACAATATCTTTCAAGGCTATAGAGATCAAATGTACAAGACAACATAGATGCAAATCCAATTCACAACAGCTTTTGGGGAAGTGAGGAAAGAATAAAATCCTATCTTTGCATTCGAAAAACTCAGAAAGAATTGCTCAGCAATGATAAAAAGTTAAACAGTAATATGTGATGGAATGCCAGGGGGCAGCAACACAAGAATAGCAGTTTTCAGGTCCCTATCATGCCTATCAATCTGTTGACAACTGAATATGCTAGAGGAAGTTGTACATAGGGAAGCTAAAAACATGGTTATGAGCCATATCTTACCTGAGCTGCAAGACGGGTTCTCACAAGATCCAATGGATATGTAGCAGATGCTGCTGTTATTCCAGCCATACCACCACCTACAAAATGAACAAAGAGCCCTCCACCCACGCTTTCCCTATGGCTTTCTAGTCCAGGTATTGTATATAGCATCTGTTACACAAATCACTCTGTCAAAATTTTGGCTACAAGGAGGGAACTTAGATTCTGAATCAGTGACAAAACAAAACTTTATTTCAACTATCATGCATTCAATTCTGGAAACCTTTTTATAGTGTTCATATGCATAAAAGTTGACAGAGGAATAAGGTAGACGGTGAGCAATTGTGACAAGATTCCCCTTCCAGAAAGCTCTAAATCCTTCCTCCCTAACTATCCGAGAAGCCTCATGCCATATGCTAGCCTTTCTCAATGTTGCAAGATCAGAGTGCATGCCTTGCACCTAAAAATATAAGGACAACGGTGTTTAATACAGCGTATGAAGGTTATACAACAAATATTTATCAATTCAATAGGACATACTAATGTTCAAACAACCAAAATTTCCTGGGACTTTTTATCTATTGCACTAGCATGGCACCTCTAAATGATTAAACGCAAACTTCATGGGGAAAAAACATATGTCTACACTCTATAGCCATCAGCTGAGAAAGCCCTTTGCAAATATGGGCTCTATCCATAGCCAAAACCTGTAAGGACTATGTATTAGAAATTAGCACATGCAAAACACTGAACAGCATCACCAAACAAAATAAAACAGAGCCGATAAACCTACATTGTTCAGGTATACGCAAGCCCTAGATTCCAGGCTCTACATTCAATGGTAGCACATAACAAGAATATTCATGTAACCATGTTAACATAATTTATTTATTGTTTATGCTAGGCATAAAAAGGAAATCATATTACAATGAGATTCACACTACTCAAGAACTTAAGAAAGGTTCAACATCCAAGTGAATATTAAATTAAATGAGTGGTGATTGCACATGAAGAACACTATAGGAGGAAGGAAGGGTTTTTGCACATGATAAAGGAACGCAACCATTTGAAACCTTATTAATGCCAGTTTACACTTAATCATAGCATGAAAAGATAATTTAAAAGAGTTGCCAAGACAAGTCCTGAAACTTAGTTTAGCAAGTTCAAAAATCATTATTTGAACATAACTTTCCCTGGTGAACATTGGTTCACTACTCTTCAGCATCTGTTTTCTCATAATTAACAAGAAAATTGGTTCACTAAGTCCAAGCATCAGGTATAAGCTCAACGAGTAAAGGTTACAAATTTACCACTATGCCTTCATAGCCTTGACATTGCAAAATTTTGAAAATTTCAACCTATTCCAAAACTTTTGAATAAAGAGCGAGCCAATAAGCAACAAGCTGAACATTTTGCAACTAATAACAAAAGTTCCTAATCAAGCAACTGATCGCTATTCGCTCAAACGACCCATAAAGCAACATCCTTTTCTCTTTCAGCTGAGTTCCCTCTCGTAGCTTCATCAACGCCAAACACCTCCGGTTTCTCAATTGAACCTCACATATCTTCGTTCCTGTTCCCACACATTACTATTAGCACACCTTTCCACTGTTTAAAAACTATACTATTTCTCCACCAGGTCCTTTGAGTTCATGTCAATGTTGGTGATCAAATAAGCGCATAGCCACCACACCACCCAGGAAACATCAAAGGAAGCTACTGTTTAAACTATCAGACCCCACCATAAATACATCAAAATATCCCCTTTAAGAAAACCGCAATCCCAAAAATCCTTTTCTTTACACAAACTAATCCAATATCACACCAACCTATTGCTCAAGAAAAAAAAAAAATTGGCTAAAAAAAAGAGAACAGTCATCAAATGAACGATAAAAGGGTATAAAAAAGAAAGAAAAAGAAGGAAAACCTGAAAAAGAATAGTGAGGCGAGCAAGAGGCGCAGTGCAAGTTTTGCTAAGAGCACCAGCCACGCCACCGGCCATAAGCTGTGAAAATGTTCCGATCTGCGATTGCTGCTTATGGAACGGTTTCTGCTGTTTCTGCTGCGAACTGAGAGCTCTTGGCCCTCCTTCTACAACCACTCCCACTCTTGCCTCTGTCTGCATCCCTTTCTCTCTGTAAAACTCTCTCTTTTATGTATGGAGCTTCAAAATTGAAGCATCGAAGTCTTCTTTTTTGCAGAAAACCAAAACGAAAAATATATAAAAAAAAAAAAAACAGCTTTTCTTCACTAATCAGTAAATCAATAAAAATCCCTAAAAAAAAAAAAATCTTCTACTTCTCTTCAGGGATTTATTTTCCCTTCTGCTTTCAATTTCTAGCCAAGATCTCTGCTTGTTGAGAAAGCAAAGTAGCAACAACCAAGAAAAGAAACTACGTCGTTTTCTTGTCTAACCACGGCACCTAAAGACACGTTTCTTTTGGCCTGGTTTCTTTCGGCCTTACGCTGGATGCATAATATGCATTACACCAAAATAATCTGAGCCGTTGATCTGTTATACTAGAAACTTGTCTGTTATTATTTGACTTTGACATATGCGCAAGCGATCTTATTGGTTAACTTTATAGAGGGGAAAGCAGGGGAGTGTTTGGAAGGTGGAATATGTGGAAATTCGGTTTGGAATATTCTGTGCTAGTTGGAGTTTCCGATGACGTGATTTTCTTTAATTTGACAGCTGTTACGGTTTAACGTTGGTGTTGTGTTTACAAAGTCGGTAAATCCTCAACTCCTTTTGTTCACTAACACGTGTGTTTACGATTTTGTAAATCTGGAGCTTATGCTTTATTTTGAACGGTACCATTAACAACCTCCACGTGTGTTGCTGCTTGACATTACATGTGCAACAAATCACGCGTGTGGTATGGTGCCACTACTAGAATTTAGAAATAGTTTTTGGACCAAATAGGAAGAAAAATAAAGGAGAAAGACAGTCGACAATTACTTTTTTTTATTTTCTATTTGTAATTTTCACCTTATACGTTGAATGGGAAATAAAATAAAAAAAGAATAATGAAAATAAAACAAAATGAGTTGAGTTGAGCTGAGTTCTTATCAGACTCAAGATTCGGGTAGATAGAATTTAACTCAACTTAAACCCAGCTTGAAATTCGACGAGTCTCGAAATTTTAAACTCGAGGAAGATTTGATGTTCAAGTTCAACTTTAAAAATTTAAAACTCGATATTTGAACAAATTTAATATAATTATTATATATATGTTTATATGAATGCTCAATAAGGTTCGATGAGCTTTCCACCGAACATCATTAGACTCGAGCTTGACTCAAGCTCGATTCGAGTGAACTTTTTCAAACTTCTCTTGAGTTAAATTCAAACAGTTCATGAATTGACTTGACTCATTTATATTTTTAAATTAGACAAGCATTGAAAAATTTGTCACTTACATTTTTTTTATTTACCATTTTATCCTTCCATCATGTAAAACCCTTGTTATCCGTTCATCACTCAGAACCTCATAAATCCCTACTTTTACCTCCATATTTGTTACAATTTATTCGGTCAAATTAGCTGTTTCAATAGATGTTTTAGCAGTCTTTAGTTGTTAGCTATTAAGTAGCTTTTCATAAAATGTTAAAAGCTAAATTAAACGTTACATGGATTAAATTTTTATAAAACACTAACTTAACCTTTAAAAACGCTAACTTAACATTTAAAAGTAATTCATACTCTAAATTACTGAACATTATAAAAAGTAATATTTAATCAAAACGATAAAAACTATTTTAAAAATTCTTATTAAACACTAAAAGCTATAGCTATTATAGCTATTTAAAAAGTCGCTCCTGAACACCATCGTTAGCTCATTCACTTACAAACAGTACTTCCATCAATTTTGCTCCCACTCTCCCCAATTTGGGATGGATTTTTATCAAAATTCCCTTCAAAATTTTACTTCCATGTTCCAAACAACTCGTTGTTTTCCACTGGTATTTTCTTTCCTTCCATAAAATGATTCCTTTCCAAACAGGCTACTAAAAGCATTTATTAGTGTATTTTGTTTTCGAAGGAAGGAAAATAATTAGACAAAGCTGTTTGCCGTAATTGGCTACGATGGAAATAAAAAATAACACTGTGCATTCAATTGGCGATGATGCATAAACTGAAATCCTTCTTTATAAATTAAAACACATAATTATGCAAATCACATCCCAGAAAATACAAATTCCATGCCACCTGCCCCTTGTTAATCTTAATTCTTAATCCTTGCCAAAAGGAAAATGCTGGTTCTGTGCCTCAAAATTGGCAGTGGTCGAATCCATCATTCTTACCATTTCCATATTAACAGGAAAAGGTGACGATAGATCGATCCCATTACTATCATGAAGTCCTAATGCCAAAGAAACACCAATACCATTACTAGCTTGGTACTGGCTCTGCACAGAAACGTCAGCAAGTTCATTTCTTGAGCGTTTAGATGGGCTGTGGTCATAAGTAGTTTGGGGTAGTTTCTGGAAAGAGAAATCAGAGGGCTCTGTGACATTGGTATTAACTGCTTCTAATGGCACTTGAGCTTGCTGTGATGAAAGCTTGTACACTTCTTCCACCATCGGTTTCCAAAGTCTAACTCTTGCATTGATAAACCAATTAGAAACCTGCCAGAAACCAGAGTTTCAGGTTAATTCTTGTCGCAGATATAAACAAACACTGAAGCCATAATTAGGCAGGATAAACCAAGTCACCTGAGTTCTTGATAGACCTGTCTGTTGAGCAAGAATTTGCTTTTCTGAGTCATTAGGATAGCTGTAATACATGAAATACGGTTATATTAGTATCAACCTCACAATGCGGCGATTAAGGTCTTTTGGTTGAGCATTAAACGACTTACGGATGCAAGAAATGTTCGAATAGCCATGTCTTAAGCACAGCCACTGCATGATCAGGTAGTCCTCTTTGAGATCGCCAAACAGGATGCTGGAGAAAACTCAAGTTGAGACTTGGGTTTTGGTTTTGAAGGCCATGTTCATCAACTGCACAAAATCTTGGAAATTTTTCATTAGTAGTATTATTAATATTACCATCATCAGAAATTTTTCCTGTGAAGTGAATTTGGTCCAAAAGAACATTCTTCAAGAAACTGAAATGCTTTGACATAAGTTTTATAGCATAGCAAACAAATGGAGCTGCATTTCCAAGGCCTGCAACTGTTTCAAATGATGCAACAACTGACTCCATTTGCTGGCAATATAGCTTGTATCTCCTGTACACCTATAAAATACATGACCAAGAACCAAATTTAATACTAATTAGTATTATTCTTGTAAACTAAATTATTTAATTAACAATAACTAAACAACAAAGAACTCTTGTATAGATTTTGACTGGTACTGAACAGTTTTTGCACTATGCGCAACAGTTTCAGTTAAAGGCAGAGGGTACAGAATTTTTAAAGAAAATGAAGCAAACAAAACAGAGCAACAAAGGGAAACAGTACACTGATTCAGTATGACAAGACAAGTCATCTTTTTGCAATGTCTACTAATGAAAATATCAACTCCCAAGACGGAAAACTGTTTCTCTGACAGTAACAATCAAATCACCATCAGTTTCATTAACATAATTGAAAGAAACTCCAACAACGCCAAAAGATTCACAAGGTTCCATAGTCCTTATCCAGGTCTCCTTTCAATGAATTTACAGTATTCTACTGCCAGTGCATGTGCATCTTTTTCTGCTCACGTTAAAGAAAGAAGTTGAATCATGCTAGATTTCTTTTTCTAATTGTAGTTTTTAAATATGAATAAATTAGTTTTAATATTTCACATCCAAACTTAATGTATGACTTCACCATTACCAGGTTAAGGTTTATGTAATTTTCGTTTAATGCAATCATAATAAACGCATAAACTAACAATCTATTCAATGTGGATGCATATCATTAAAATTGCTTCAAAAAACTGCAAGATTAGGGGGTTCAATCCTTAAAAACAAAAATAAAGAAGTACAAAACCAGATTAGTTTTGTAGAAAAAATGTGGAATAATCATTGAACAAACCAGAAAGAAAATTACAAAGATAGATATTTCAATATCACTAAATTAAAATTTATGGCTAAAAATTGAAAAAAAACGAAACAATGGAGCTGTTCTGAAGCAAATCTCAAGTCAAACAAATTAAAGGAAATTTTGGAACTTGACATCCACTCCTACCTGACTAACTATTTTATCGAAATAAGAGAAACAATTATCTAGAATATATATATATATATATATATAATATATATATATATTTATACATACATACCTCATCAGCATGAACGTTTTAGAATTTTCCAACCATGTTCTGTCGATCACTAAATGCAACACTTTCTCTCAATTAACTTCACTTCTGCTCCAAAAATCCCAAGAAAAGTCAAAAACTTCATAATTATATATATATATATATATACATACATACCTCATCAAGCATGAACGTTAACTTAGAATTCTTCCAACCATGTTCTGCTCGATCACTAAATGCAACACTTTCTCTCATTACTTCACTTTGCCTCAAAAAATCCCAAGAAAAGTCAAAAACTTCATAATTCACACTCCCACAAAGATCATCCAAAATCTGCTGTGCAGGTTTCAAGAATCTTGAACTCTTCAAGATTGATGCATACCCAGTAAATGGGCCAAGAGGGACTGAGCTTCTAATTCCACCATTATTGTTACTATTCTGCTTCAAGCAATCTCCAAATATTGAAACGACATTACTACTGTTATCATTATATCTTTGGCTTTCGAGTTGAAAGGACAACGATAAAGATAAATCTTTAGGGTTTTGAAAAGAAGGGTTCATTAGGGTCTGCGGGATTTGTTGTTCTTGGCTTGTTTGAATAGGAGTAGAAGTGACTCTAAGCTTGCTTCTTCTGTTTTGCTGTGGGACATGGAAGGATTCAAAGTTTTGCGCAATTAACAGAGAGAAAGAGAAGAGCTTCTTTTTTGAAGAGAATTGAAAGTGAAAGAGAAAAGGAAAGGACAAGAAGGGTTATGATATAATGATTACAATTTATCTGTTGAAGTTGCAGAGACTGTTGTTGCAGAAAGAGAGAGAGAGAGAGAGAGAGAGAGAGAGGCGCAGACGTGTTGACGTGAAGTATGAGAGAAAAAATTTTCTTTTTCCTCTGAAAAATCGAAAAATATTTTTGTGTAAATGAACGATTGAGATTGTTTTCAATGGAAAAAAATCAACCATCACATGATAAAACAGTTTTTTTTTTCCTTATTCTAAATTTTTTTATTCGATTATCTTTTGAGTAAAAATGCACTTGGTCAAAATATTGATAATTTATTATTTAAATTAGTATTTATTCCCATAATTTAAGAATTTGAGGGATTTTACATAATTTAATTCCTCAGGCTATTTGTGAAAATACAATAAATTTTTCAGTAAAATGGTAGCTTGGAAATTTCAATAAATTTTCAATTTAACCACCATTAACCAAAATAAGAATGAACTTATTAATTATAAATTGATTATTATGATTTTTATTACAAAGTGAGTAATAATCTTAGGTAAAAAATTACGTTCCTAGAAAAGTAAGACTCTAGTAAAATATTATAAGAAAATTAAATTTTCGTGTTTGAATAATTATCAAAAAGCTACTTAAAAAATGTCCAATTCCAAGAACGCTGAGAAACAAAGCAATCCCTGAACTTCTCATGGAATCAGGAACTTGATCATAAAAAAATTCTAGCAGACCAACCAAAGTAAACCCATCTCCTATGCCAAGAATAACGTACTGTGGTGCTAGCCAAAACACACTCATTGACAAATGCTTACTCGTTTCTTCTTTGGCTACTCTTAACCTCTTTTTTTCAACTACGGCGGCAATTAACAGAGCAAGAATTGAAAATATCATGCCAATGCCAATTCTTTTTAGTATGGTAATTCCTCTTGTTGTGGTGGTGCCGACTCAAGTGGATCCACACACAAATGAAAAGAAAAAAAAAAAAAAGGAAAAAACGTGTTATTTCTTTTTCAAAGGTTGGCAGCCAATCATTCAAAGGTTAGCATGCCGTTTGACAAAGGAGTGCCGTGCATTGGTAATGCATGGCTCTCTTAAATTCTCTCATTCCCTCTCCTATTTATAGGAGAGGATGTTCCTCAGTTTAGACACACACTAGAAAGAAAGAGAAAATGTAGCAAGAGAGAGTGTTATAGTTTTAGGATGAGTTTCCTAAAATTGGAAGATAAAAAAATAGTGAGGATATTATTTTAGGGTGTTTTTGGGAAACACTTTGTGTGCCACTATTTTTGTATTACTCTCTTTGTGTACCTACTATGTTTTAATAGTGGAAGAATGATTCGGAGTTTGTCCCGTTGACGTAGTCCTAAAACAGTTGACGGTGAACCATGTAAATTTATGTGTGTCACAAGTTTACTTTTCTGCTGCGTTAATTTTCTCTTAATTGATTGAAAGGGCTCAACAAGTTATCAGAGCTGATTCCTAACAACTGGTATGAGCCTGGTTCCTAACACCTCTTTCGTTGCCGGTCACTTTTCTAAATTTCGGAACAAGTAGTTTCTCATAAATACTTACTGAAATTATCATCCCTAGAGCTCCAAGAGCATTAATTGAAGCAGGTGGAATATGGAAATTGTTACCAATCTTTCTGTTTAATGTAGCTCCTTGTTTGACAGAGAATGTTGAGTTTTGTGACACATCTATACCAAAAACCAGTGAACTTAACCATATAGGGATCAAATTTAGGACAAGCTTCATCTCCTTCACTCTTGTAACTGTTGCGAGCCTCCATGGGTTAATTTTCATATCTACTGATATTTGTTCTTCGTCTTCAATTATTGCGGCTTTGTCTAGAAATCTGCTAGTCAATAAAAACCCACATAAATTACCACAAGATACGCATAAATATGGGTTCAGATGCAAAGAAAGTGAAAAAAGGCATGCACTTACCTAAGCTTATTAGTGTGAGATAGAAGTCTGCCTCCATTGTTAGGAACTTCATACAAAAGAGAAAGATTCGACGGATAAGGTAATTTTCTTTTCCTTATAGCAGCAACCAGAACTTGAAACAATGGAGTTAAAGGACTTCCTTTTGGTATTTGATATGGGTAACGAGTCCTCCCAGAATAAAAAGTTGCTGTGCAGAAAGTCATAGAAATGGCAAGAACAAGAAATGCAACACCCCAACTCACATTTTCTTGAACATAAACTATAACTCACTCCAAGAAAAAGACCACAACAGAGTGCTAAGCTCCAAAAATTGAAGAAAGACATTTTCTTTTTTCTTTCTTCTGAATGATTATCGTCAAATTGGTCTGCTCCAAAACTCTCCAGGCTCGGCTTGAGGCCGCCGGAGCCTAGAGAGGGACAATACAGTGCAAAGAAAAATACAACTTCATGAATCTTTCTTGGTTTCTGACATGTTTGTGTATTGCATGCCCTTAGACTTGGAATAAACTGAGACATTGTCAATAGGCTTAGACCCTGTAGTTTTAGTAATGAAAATGGTTAATAAATAATTAAAGACCTCAAGAATAATTTGTTCAGAAAATTAATATTTAAATATATTTATTACCGTAAGAATTATGAGGGATGAAAGTATAATCATAAGAAATCTGCCAGTGTAGGAATCAGCTAAGAAACCTCCAAGAAGAGGCATAACTGTTGTTACTCCTCCCCAGTAATTCACATTCTTGGCTGCTGTTTTCAGGTCTTGATTTATCACTTTGCTGAGGTAGGAAATTAGATTTGAAGATATTCCAAAGTGGCTAAGCCTCTCACTAAATTCAATTGCTGCACCACAAATTTTTTATTGTTCATTAACCAGTATATATGAACATTGTTCATATTAGAATTGTTGGAGTTAGAGACAAATTATATATTATGATAATATAATTTTTTTTACCTAATAAAGGATAGTTTTAAAATAAACAAATACCCAGCAGTAATAGGTATTTACTTATGACTTCTGATTCATTTTTAAAATTTTAAAAAAAAAATTTAATTTAGAAATCAAACCAAATAATATTTTAAACATTGAAAAAATTGTTCAAATTAAGAGAGTATTTTATCTCAAAATTATTTGAGGACTAGAGATAAAATTAAGAGTTTGTGCTACATACACACTTTGTTTTCTATATATTGTTTTAAATTAATAATTCAAAAATTAAAGAGTAATTAGTTTTAAAATTTTAAGATCCAAAGTATAATTAAATTTAAAACATAGAGGAATAAAGTGTGAAAAAAATTGAAATTTTACAGTAAAAACTAAAAATGAACTTGCCTGTGTAATTAATTTTAAAAGTTCTATAATATAAAAGCAAGTTTTGAAACAGTAAGATAAAAAAAACTTCATGAAGTATTCTGCAGTAATGAAAAATAGTTATTGAAAACAAGAATTTGTGAAATAAAATTTGTAAAGTATAATAAAGAAAGAAACAAGAAAATCAAAATCTCATATGGCCTACTCTACATTTTGCATTCTTGCATATATAATCAAATTATATAGTTCATAACTTCATATATTGTTCATAGAAGGAACATGCAACATAAATTTTGCATAAATACAGCACTCAAGCATTAATTTTTTTTAAAAAAAATAACATGCATCAGTACATTCTGATGATAAGAAAAGAAGCTCTCCATCCTCCAGTTGAACTTCTAAGAGGAGTCCTTCCTTTATAATCCACAGATGAATCATTAACCAATTTCAGTTCATCACTTTCTTTATCACTATCTTCACTTTCTTTTCTTTTCTCCATTTCTTTCTTCGTTTATATCTTTGTTTGTTATATGTATTTTGTTTGAAGATGGTTATTTGTTGATGCGCTCTGATTTTATAGTTGAAGAGTTAATGTCTTTTTGACGGGGGAAATGTGATCTGGCAAGTATTCCGTTGCCAAATACTTGTTTCTAAATACTTGTCAAATTTATGGATTTTATAAATAATAAATTATGTTTTTCATTTTTACCCTTTATCTATGATGAATAGCTTCCCTTTCTTAATAATTTATTGTAATTTAAATAAATTAAGAGTAGTATAATCAATTAACTCAATAATTTATTGTAATTTAGACAAATTAAACGATTCTCTTAAAGAGCGTAAAATCCATACAGATGTGATAAGTATTTGGGAAGTACTATTTTGCTAAGTTGGAATTAATTACTTTATTTAAAGAAAATTTTTTAGGGTAATTGATTATCATTAATAGAACTTGAATTAATATTATTAATGATATTAATAAATTATGATCCAACATTTTCTGTTTTGATGATTAAGTCGGATTCTTGGATTAAAGGACAAACAAATTGGATTTTGCCATTAATTTCAAGGATTCTTCATGATTTTCTCAGGAGTTACTTAGCAAAAGAAAAAATATTAAACAAAAATATAATTTTTCAAACAAGGTGAATTCAAATTTAACTTTTAAATTTAAATTGAAATGAGTTCGGCTCGTTAAAAATATATTCAAACTCGAATTCATTATTACTATTTGATCTGTCTCGACTCAGTTTATGGTCTATACATACAACACCAATCAAATGAAGCTCCAACCCTGCACCAAATGAGAGGTTTACCTCTACTCGACCCACTTCCAAATTTTCAATTCTCTCTCTTTTGGATCTCACTCAGTCCTACTGAACATTTTATATTATGGCAAGGACACATTAGAACATCATAGTTGAAACCAGTAAGGTCAGCTGATAATGCTATGAAGATAATATTAAAATTAAATACAATAATTATATATTATGGAATCCACTCTGTTAGATCTTTAAATTAAGAACCTTTTTTTTTATTATTTTTTTTTTAATTTTCATGTGGCATTTGTTCGCTCAAAGTGGAACTGCAAAAGTAGATACTTTCTTTTGCAAAACAGCAAAAGCCATTACCGCACATAAGAAGTTAAAAAAGCATGTCTATTTAAATTTCCATATTTTCATTATTAATATAATGTCTACGTATAAGGCTCCGACCCGCAACTCTGTTATACTCGCTCGTAGCGTACGTTTAACTTTTAATATTTAGTTATTAAAATAATTAAAATAGACTCTGTAAATACAAATATCTATAGACTATATCTATATTTACTTCCCTTGCTTATAATATTCTCTTTTTCTCTTCTTTATAATTTCTTGGCACTAAAATACTGTTCTCTGACTCCATATTCACCCTTAATTTAAATAGTTTATTTAATTACCTATTCTTTACTGTTTTCACTTTATTTATTTATTTTTTTTTAACAAGAGTTACTTTATACATTCTGAAACTCATCCTAAAGCAGAATACAAGACAAGCCCACTGAGGGTAGATTACCGATTGCGAAGCCCGATAAGGGCAGAAATTACATTAACAATATTACGTGACAAATGGTAGTGGGTGGGGGTAGGAGTTGAACCCCTTTAAGTCTTGATTACCTCCATCTTAGCTACGAGGCTAAGGCTTCATTGGCAAAACTCCTCCATGATAAAGTTTAATTACTGATAACGAAAACAACAATTCATACAGAAGACAAAGCAAATTGCACACAAAAGAATTATGCAATTCTTTTTAATTTAGATCAAATGCACCATCCCTAAAATTCAAAGAATCAAAGATTACACATGGGTCACAAAATAATGAACTAAACTTAATTACAAAAACCTTCTTTACCTATACTGTAGAGGTTTTCCTGTTATTTTCCTCCAGTATGCAAGTGCTTAAACACAAGCTTTCAATTGGTAAATAAGTTGTTTTGTTCATTGTGGACGGTTCTAATGAACTATATAAACCTCTCGAAAGAGTATATGACAGAAAGGTGAAAAGGGGTTTGATCTTATCTGTCAAATGGATAAAAATAAGACTTTTTTTTTGGCTAATTCGAACAGCAAGGTCTTTTGTTCCCATTACTTGACAGATTGGCGACATTAATTGTAGTACCATGAGGAACTCCAGTTGAATTTGCTGCTTCTTGTGCTGCAAGTGCTTTCTTGCTAATAATATGATAAATATCCAACAGAATAGTCTGAAATGCCTTTTCAACATTAAGAGCTTCCAATGCTGAAGTTTCAAGGAATGAAAGAGTTTCTTTCTCAGCTAACATTTGAGCATCTTCTGCTGAGACTGCTCTCAGGTGATTCAGATCAGATTTGTTTCCAGCCATCATAATCACAATGTTGGAATCTGCATGATCCCTAAGTTCGCGCAGCCACCTTTGAACATTGTCAAATGTTTGCCTCTTTGTTATGTCATAAACCAACAATGCACCAACTGCTCCTCTATAGTATGCACTTGTTATGGCTCTATACCTTTCTTGACCAGCTGTGTCCCATATCTGTGCTTTAACTGTCTTCCCTTCTACCTGCATCAAAGTTTCTCAAACTCAATAAACCAAGGGATTCAACAACTTTTAATCCATCTCAATTAACAAGTAATGGTTCAAGAAGACAAACAACTTTAAGAACTCTAAGCTTTAGAAAAACAGTCAACTGTCTGTTTTAGCATTCTTATGCAAAACTTCCAAACAGCTTAACAACAATTTTAAAATAATTTTTCCAATAGCATCTGATATGTTGTTTTTGAAACAGTAATTTCCAACTTCAATGCTTACTAGCTCTTAGACTAAATTCAATATCTCATAAGCAGGCAATTATTCTTTCAGGCTGAAGGAGACTGAAAAGTTTCCTCATATGGGTACATCTTTGTATGCATAAGCAAATGCAATTCAGAAGTTCACTATTTCACGCCCATCATCCAATTAAAACATAATTACATATCAAAAGTAAGATTTGGAAAGTGATATTAAAATTAATCTGATGTAATGTATTGAGAAATTCCAACACATCAATTTCTCAATGAATATCAATCTAGTTAAGTTCCAATTTCTAAATAAGAACAATATACGATGGCTATTCTAAGAATAATCTTTGAAATTCTAAGCTGTCATCATACAATGCAAACTCCAAATACTGTACCAAAATTCATATGCACATTCTTTATTGGAGAATAAAGTTCATATCCACTAGACCACATCCACATTAAAAGACTTTGCATTCTCCCCCCCCCCCCCCCCCCTCATATGCACATTCTTTATTGGAGAATAAAGTTCATATCCCACTAGACACAATCCACATTTAAAAGACTTTTGCATTCTCCCCCCCCCCTTCTTTTCCAAGAGGACATATGCTCTTCCTTACCACATAATTGAAAATAGAATCTTCAAATAAAAATATCTAAAAAATTGGTAAAACAGATATTCAAATCCTAAAAAAAATGATAAAAGACTTTAAAAACTTATATTTTACAATTAAAAAAGGAACAAAAAAAAGCATATCAATTGAATGATTCCAAACAAGAAATTGATCAATTACAAACAAAAAAGAAAAAAGGAAAAAAAAAATCCTAATTCACGGATTTGAAAATTAGAAAAAAGGAATACCTGAAGAGTCCTTGTAGCGAATTCAACACCGATAGTAGACTTGGATTCCAAGCAAAACTCATTACGAGTAAACCTAGAAAGAATGTTGGATTTACCAACACCTGAATCGCCAATCAGTACAATCTTGAACAGATAATCGTACTCGTGATCCACCTTGTACGCCATTTCATTTGATTACTTCGTCTTCTTCAAAACCTACATATATCAGATCCATTCATGTTTCAAAGAACGAAAAAATTAAGCATTAAAAGCCATTTAATAGAAACTTACCATAAAAAGAAAGACAAAGAAAACAAATTGAATTTGAAAAGTAAATTTTTGGGTGCAGAGGAGAGAAGAGGCGTTTTGCAAGAGAGAGAACTGAAAACAGAATAACGGACGGAAAGGCATTTAAAACGGCTTTTCATTTGGGTTAAGGAGCGAAACTCCTGGCCACTTTAAATTTCAATTTAAGATATAGATAGTCTTTTTTTCGCCCCAAAATAGGTTAAAGGAAATGCGTTTTAGTTTGCAAGAGCTGTAAAATGTTGAATGTTGTGAAGTTCAATTAAGAGTTGTTAAAGTATTACTGTGGGTCCCTCCAACATATGAGACCCACACGGTTTGAAGAAATAAAAAGGAAGAAGAAAATTTGTTTTCGGTGGACGCGTTAAGAATCGGTGGACGCGTTATTTACGCGTCCTTCTCTCCTCTTCAATACACACCAATAAGAAAAAAGAGAGAGAGTGAGAGCAATTGTGAGAGAGAAAAATAAAGAAGATATTATTCAAGAAGAAAAATTAAACTTAATTTTTCTTGAAAGAGTGTTGTGAGTGTATGTAAACACTATTTATTTTTCTTCTATAAAAGATCTGTGGCAGTCCGGAGACGTAGGCAAGATTGGCCGAACTCCGTTATCAAATTGTGTGTTATTATTTTCTTTTGCTCCCTCGTAAAGAGGATTTTGCGTAATTTTTTCTCAACAACTGGTATTATCAGAGCCGAAGGTTTCGGCAGGTCTAGCGGGTCAGATAGTGGTACCGGATCCGTGGATATATTTTGAAAACAAATATACCACGACGATAAGAAAATTACGACGAGTCCATCGGTGCTGTCCGCTCGATCGACTGTGGTGAATGTAAACAAAGTAACGCAAATGGTGGTGAATAGTACTATCTAGAGTATCTGTTGCTAAGTCCGACACCTGTTAAGCCAGGACTATTCACGGATAGTTATATTTAAGTACTACGGTTACTATTTACGTTTACTGTCACTATTCAGTATATACAATCAGCGGAGTTAGATCGAGGCAGTCGATGGCTGCAGATGAAGGAAAGGTCGTATTGAATTCGACGGTGCAATTTTTTTTTGGAAAAAATGCTAGAGGATTATCGTTCAAAAGGTCTTTTCCAACCTCTCTCTAGAACGAGCCAGAGCTATGAAGAAGAATTGATCTTCTCAGATAGACAAGCTCGGCACTTATTCGTTTAACCCTTTTCCCGTAATGTTGCCTTCACATGCATAAAGAAAGCCACCCGGGTCTCTATGGCGGCTCTTTCAATATGTTACGAAAAGCCATCGGCGAAATAAAGTTCACTTGATGAGGCGTTATTTCAATCTACGAATCAGACGAAACCTTCGGGGGCCCAACTCTCATGACACTCAATACCGAGTGAAACCCAATTGATTTCATAGTTGATTGGAATTTGTTTAAGAGTCGAGGCATTGGATTTATTTTGTCCTTCTGCGACCAGAAGTTGAATGCTACTGTCACAGCGTTGAGATAGCTCGTCCGGAGCAAGAGAGTCTAAAATTTGATGATTTCGTGGACTAGTTTTAGTGATCAGTGAAGAGATCCGACGGAGAGAGTCAGGTGAACCTTCAACTTCTTCAGTCTTGCATACAGAATCAAGAGGAAGAAATTCAACCAGAGGGAATGGACACGGTAGATCGAACTACCGAGGCAAGTCAAAGGACAGGAGGTCCAAATCCAGGAATCCTAGCAATTTCAATAGCACAAAGACCATTGCATGTTGGAATTGTGGAAAAACTGGTCACTACAAAAATCAGTGCAAGAATGAACCTAAACACCAGGAGGGAAAGTTAGAGGCAAATGTTGCATCCACCTCAGGAGAAGATGATGCACTTATATGCTCTTTGGAAAGCAAGCAGGAGTCTTGGGTTTTAGACTCCGGCCATGCACTCACAAAAGACATCCTTGAAAGGTATGCCCCTGGTAAAACTTTGGAAAGCCTATACCTTGGGCGTTAATGCAACCATGTAATTGTTTTGTAAGGAGTCATTGAAGATAAGTTGATGGTCTTAATGGAGATTGAAGCGATGTCGACAAATATTTTTCTGACCTGAAGAAAGACTTATTCAAGTTAGAGTCAGACTTGATGCGCCACGCCTATCACTCATCGACCCTTTCCACCCTCGTAATTGAATGATTTACATAGGTTAGCATGCATGGTTGTCGTGGAAGTAAGAGTGGTATTCTTTACAGCACAGCGGAGCAGCAACCGTATTTCCATCTGCTGTTGCAGCAAGTTGAAACTCCCAATTATCTATGCACCACGAGGCTTGGCAATTCAATGAGTATGAAGGAATACTTGAGGATTCTCTCTCCCGCTCACAGGGAACGACTACCATGGGCTATTCAGTCAATATTGAAATTAATGTGTGGAAGACTGCATTTATTTTTGAAAGCAGAAAAGAGTCAGCTTTCAGCAAATAGGAAGAACCCCCAAAGAAGAGAAACTTGTAGCTTGTTCACTTCGATGTCGCTGCACCACTACATGTTTCTACATCCATCTGCGTGGAAAACACTATTTGTAGACTTTTATGTGATTCACTTCTCGAAGTATGGTTTTACTTTCTAAAGATAAGATCAAGAAGTATTTGATGCTTTCAATATATTGGAAGCTATGGTTTGAAATGAGTACGGATGAAGAATTAACGGTACTCAGACCTGCAATGGTGGTTGATGATGAACACAGTCTTTCAAGAAAATTCGTGCTATGAGCATAGTGAACTCAGCATGGTGAGGACCGTGCAGCCGGCATATCCGCTCAACATAATGGTTTCTAGCTGAATGCGCCAATGAAGCTCGAACGTTGACAGAAAGAGCCATGAAGCTTACGTTGGTAACAATCAGGCTTCCAAAGCAGTTCTGGCAGAAGCAGTCAACACTACAGCTTTACTTACCTCACCGGAGGTCACTCGTCGGTCCCATTGTGAGCACAATCTCCAGAATAAGGTGATGGGTGAAAGCACAGTATAAAAACTCTCACACTTTACTGAGTTTTTCGGTCTTGTCTAGCATATGGCATTACGGTTGCATCATCTACGCAGAATAAACGCTTGATCCAAATGAAGACATGCATTTTCACGGCTATGGCGTTGATGGGTTTGTCGATCCGCCTCTGCGTGAGAACATGAAAGTAATCGCCGAGAGATGTAGTCTTTATGACAGTGAATGATGTACCGAAGCAACAATGACACAGTTGCCGCTGAATCTCAGCTAGAGTGGGCCTTAGGTCGTTCTGTATCCCGAGTCGCGACGCATCATCTCAGAAGTCGCCGAATGCAGTTATTAAGAATCCTCATTAAGAGGAATCGATCACACACCACCAAATTCCTCCCAAGCATTATGAACGTTCTAACTGACCGTCTCCAACACCCTAACAGAAAGCTGATATAATTATTTAGTTATTACAGATGGCAAAAGAGACCTGGAATGCCTTTGAGGAAGCTCTGTCAAACCGGTAGATCGCCTAGCAGTGGAGCTTGCCGACTGGACAAGCGATGACATGGCCAGTCTTAATCTCCATTCACACATGGAAACGACTGAGCTTCCGTCTGCGGCGCGATGATGGCAACTTCAAACATACTGGGTCGTGTCTCGACGTGAAAGGGCAAACAGTGATCGGTTCGTAGAGATCCAAAGACGGCGAACTGTGTAGTCAAGCTGTTCCAGCGAAGGAAGGTGACTACACCGACCTATTTGCCACCGGTTGTAAAACTCACTAACTATACAGGCTGTGCTTGAATATTGTTGCCAGTGAGGGCTCTACTTGAGCAGTTGGACGTTAAATGACAAGGCCCGTTTCTGTCACGGAACTTGGATAGGGTATAACATGTACAGCCGGAAGGATTCTCAGATAAAGGAAGAGGATACTGTGTGCCTAACTCAGAAGACTTTATTGGACTGAACAAGCTCCAAGACAGTCTGGTACACATAAGTTCGGCAGTTTCTATGCACCATATGGAAGGTTCCAGAGTCAATGCACCACTGTTGTTCTTCAAAGATACAGTCCAGTTTATATCTTCTACTGCTTTTGTTATGATTTTTTAGTACAGTTCAATATGGATGATATCAGGAAACTGAAGTAAGCAATTGTTCAAAGATTGATCATGAAGGTATTAGGGTCCGCGAAAAGATTCTTGGATGCAAATCACGGAGATAGCAAACATGCTCCTTTGCAATTATTCAGCCGGATCTCATCTTCTGCTATTGCAAAGAATTCAACATAATATGCTAAGCGGTCAGCACACCCTTGCTACATTTTCGCCTTATCCCAAGACCATCCCCATCAGACGAAGAGAGTAGAAAGACATGGCGAAAATTCCTTATTGCTTCTCAGCTTAGAGTTTGATGATGCTAATGGTATGTAACGAGGACCAGATCTGTCATGCGTGGTATGTGTTAGCATGGTATATGTCAATCCAGGAAAGCTCATTGGGAACGCTGTAAAGTGGATTGCTATCTACGAGGCGCACTACTGAACAAGTTGTTTGTTACTTTTAAGGCAGAAACTAAAAGTACAAGCGTATGTTATGAGACTATGGAGGACATTGGATCACGAAGAAGCACACGGTTATATTTTTCCAACCTGTTGGTACTACAGCTGTTAGTGGAATGTCACAGGTACAGAAGATTGTGCCTCTATCCACAACTAGAAGCTGAATATATGTGCCCAGTGACGACAGCTAAGAGCTGATATGGCTTCAGGTTGTTGTCTAAAGGAGTTGGATTCACAGAAATAAATTTTGACATGTTGATATCCAAGTGCATATTACCACTGCAAAGAATTCTAGATTTTCACTTCGAACCAAGCATATGGACTGCCGTATCACTTCATCTGATTCTTCTTTAGAGATTGATGTGTTAATACTGGAAAGAAAGTCCAGAAGTAAGAATCCGGCAGATATGTAACAACGGTGTACCATTGACAACGAAGTTTGTGCTCGACTTCAGTTGGCCTGCTTAGAATAAACAGACCAGAGAAGCGTGTGCTATGTTGATGTGTGAAACAGATTTAAATCATTTTCAAGTGGGAGATTGTTAAGTCATTACTGTGGGTCCCTCCAACTTATGGACCCACACGTTTGAAGAAATAAAAAGGAGAAGAAATTTTGTTTTCGCGTGGGAGCCGTTTAGGATTCGGTGGCGCGTTTACTTCTCGTGTGGACGCAGGTTTAAACCTCTCTTAATAGAGAGGTTTTCTTCATCTCAGTAACATAAGGAATAGATGAGTGAGTAGCAATTTGAGCGAGCCCGAGGTAATTTGAGGAAAAATAGAGTAGATATTCAAGAAGAGAATTTAAGATCTTCTTGAAGAGTTTGTGAGTGTATGTAAAATATTTATTGCTTCCTATAAAAGGCTGTGCAGTGCGGAGACGTAAGAGGAATATTGTCGAACTCGTATCGAGACGTAGGCAATATTGGCCGAACTCCGTTATCAAATTGTGTGTTATTATTTTCTTTTGCTCCTTCATAAAGGGGATTTTGCGTAATTTTTCCCAACAAGAGTAATTGCATTTTTTCCATTATGAAAATTGGAAGTATGAGATGAGGGATTAAAGCTAAATGTTTTGTTTTTTTTTGTCGGTTGAGTTCATTATTCATGTGCTTGGGATTTTTTTTTTTTTTTTAACACATAAGAAGTCTAGTAGACCGAAATCATATTACCGGCTATATAACATGGTAGCTTTTTCTTTGAATAATATTTATTAAATTGATAATAAATTTTATAATGGAGAAGATTTGAATTCGAAACATCTCGCTTCTCACATTTTTCTACAAGACATAGGATTATGGATGGTAGCGGGTCAAACATCCGCTTAAAATATATTATCCGAACTTGAACTCGATTATGAATTAGATATTTAAATCAATTCCAAACCTATATAGAATTTCACCTTTAATACCCGAACCTGTCCCGAAACTAATTATAATTATCTGTTTTTAAATACTCAATTCTGTTTAATATCTGTTTAACATTAAAAATATTTTTTATTTTTAATTTTTTAAAAAAATAAGTAAAAATTATTAAATTGACTTAATAAAAATTAAATATAAGTATAGCATTAATTATAATTAGAACGGTGTGTATATATAATTTTCTTTTGAAAGAAAATATTATTTAAATATTTTTTGAATATTAATTAAATGAGTAATGAGTAGCGGGTACTCAAAATACTTGAATCCGAATTCAATACGAGTGGTAAAGAATCTGTCAAAATCGGGATGGATCGAATTAAATAAATTTTCAATCTTACATAAGAAGACTAATCAAACCACCGTAAGTGATTCGCTTATCTATATTGAATTGCTATATTGAGAATTGCCAATCAAACCACTCGTTGCCAAGGGCCAAGTGCCAGCCACGAACATCCATATAGTAGGGGTGGCCACGGTTCCGGAACCGGCGGTTCCGGTTCCAAAAAAATTGAAATCGGAACCGAACTGAAAATTTTTGGTTTCGATTCTGATTTGGAACCGAACGGTTCTGGTTCCAATTCCTGTTTCGGTATGGTTTCAAAACCGACGGTTCCGATCAATTTTCCGACCGGTTTTCCGGCAATCGCATAATTTTAAATTTTAAATTTTGAAAACCAGTTTTCAAAATCTAATAAATTTGTGAAAGTTATTTCTAAACAAAATACACCTAAAAAATTAAAAAATGCTTCAATTAAATTTATTTTTTTAAAGACTTGAACTTAATTATTTTTTTAAAAAAAAGTCTTCAACTGAATTTATTTAAAAACTGCTTCACATTTTAATTTCTTCTTCATTATTTCTACATCACTCGAATCCCTATTCTATCTTATCTTCTGAATCACCTATGTTCTCGTTCTGTATTCTATTTTGTCTCTAATAAATAAATTCATTATCTAAATGCTATCAATGTCAATAAAACCAAAAGCGTGCTTTTCACTACTAACCGTGCCAAATTTATTTTTTTAAAGACTTGAACTTAATTATTTTTTTAAAAAAAAGTCTTCAACTGAATTTATTTTTTGTTTAAAAAAGTTTAAACATAAGTTAAAAAAAAAAAGGGCTTGAAATGAGGTATTTATAATAAATCCAAAAAATTATTTTTCCAAAAATACCCTTGAAACTAGCCGTTATGTAGCCATTTATGGTTGTTAGGAGGGGTAATTAAGAGATTTCACAATAAAATTAAAAAAAAAACTGACAGTTTCTAACAGCTAGAACCGTCGGTTCAAACTGGTTCGAACTGGCGGTTCTAATTTGCCGGAGAACCGGCGGTTCCATCTGGTTCCAACCGGTTTGTGGAACCGCCGGTTTGCGGTTCCAACAAAACTGGAACCAGAACCAAACCGGAAATATCCGGTTTCGGTTCGAATTGATTCCAATTTCGGTTACTGTTCAGACCAGTTCGAACCACCGGTTCCGGTTCCTGAACCGTAATATGGCCTCCCCTACATATAGGCTTAAACACCAAAAAGGCTACAGGGCCCATAGCCCAATAAAGAAACAAAAGAACGCGTTGAGGACGGTGTCCGTCTGGACTCGGCCAACCCTTACCCCACATCAAAATTGAATGAAGCACGTACAAATTCGCTATTGCCTAGAACAATATTAGAACAGATGATTTGAATTTGAGCAATAACTCTTCAAGCTGCACTTATAAGAAACTTGTGAAATTTCTTTCTTTCTTCTTCTTTTTATTTTTATTTTTAATATATATACTAATATTTTTTTTTATTAATTTTTATTATATACATGGCAAAAATATCTTAAGGAAAATGTTTTCTTTTAAAAAATATTTTTTAAAATTAAGTAATTTTTCAGAAAAAAAGCCAAATATGTCTTCACATTTCATGTGCTGATAGTCAACACAGTTTACGTTATAATTAATAGCAAATGTTTTCTGCCGCCATATATGGAGACACACAGGGCCTCTAATTTTAGTCTGAAAGCTTCATCAATGGTAGCTGAGCAAGAAGGACAAGAATTATATCTTTATCTCTTACTAGTTATTCCTTTTTAATGCTACCATATAAACTGTCATTTAGTGCCAAATGTGATTAAAACCCTATCAAGATTTCATTTTCTGGAGCCGGAATTGATTTGGGTTTTTCCTTTTGTTGTGGAGCGATTGACGTTTTTATTTTATTTCATCATTTTCAGGTAAACCTTGAAGCTATCGAATCATAAAAAAGTAAATAATAAAAAATATGTATGATTTTTTTTTTTTTTTTTAAAATTAATATTAATCATTTGGCAGGAACTCAATTTTTTCTCTTATAAAAGCTTGTTGCAATTCTCATATGATTCAGCGCTAAAACTTACTTAAACAAGTTTATTTTTAAGCTAAGCTCTGCATTAATGACGATCAAAATGTCTGCATGGCTTCTCTTGCTAAATAGTTTTAATTTTGCTCTACTTATCTCAGGCATCACAGCTGCTCGGGACATTAGAAAGGCATGAGATGGCTCTTTCTTTTTTGTGTTAAATCTCCAAATTAACTATTGCTTCTATCTTTTATAGTTAGATTAATTTTTGCTATACATATACTGTAATATGAACTTGATGAATCTTTGGTATGGATCTTGCAGTCTTACATCGTCTACATGGGAGAACAACTCAAAGGCGAATTTGCTATGTCATCGTTTCACCATCTGAGCATGCTTCAGAAAGTTATTGGCAGGTTTATATTACGTAGAAAGCCATTCTAGTCGAGTGCTTATCTCATAATATAAGGGATTAAAAGTTTAATCAATACCCAAATATAGTATAAAATTGTTTAGCAATTGCAAAGTATACTAACCACATAAATTGAATGAAAATGAACAATTGCAGCAATTTTTCTCCAAAATCTCTTCATCATAGCTTCACAAGGTCATTCAATGGGTTTGTTGCAGAACTTACTGAGGATGAAGCACAAAAAATAGCTGGTCAGTTAGGTTCATTTGTCACTATACAGTCATTCTTTTTATGATAGAAGATTAATCTTTTTTTTTTTTTTAATTATGTACAGGACTGGACAATGTTGTATCAGTGTTCCCTAGTGAAGTGAGGACACTTGACACAACAAGGTCTTGGGATTTCTTGGGATTTTCTCAGCAAGTCCAAAGAGCAACTCTTGAAAGTGACATTATTATTGGTGTGTTTGACTCAGGAATTTGGCCAGAATCTGAATCTTTTAATGATGAAGGATTTGGTCCACCACCTAGTAGATGGAAGGGCAGCTGCCAAGTCTCATCAAATTTCACCTGCAACAAGTAAATCTTCATTACCACACACATATTTTAGCTTATTAAAACTTATTCAAAACTATACTTAATTGATTTGATACTGTACTTATAATGCTCATCCTGCAGTAAGATCATTGGAGCAAAATATTATCGTGAAAGTGGATCATTTCGCCCTTCAGACGATATCTCTCCTAGAGATACTAAAGGCCATGGAACACATGTAGCATCAACAGCAGCCGGTAACATAGTTAGCGAGGCAAGTGTATTAGGTGTTGGATTAGGAACTGCCAAAGGAGGAGTTCCATCAGCTCGTATTGCAGTATATAAAGTATGTTGGGAAAAAGGTTGCAAGGATGGAGACACTCTTAAAGCTTTTGATGATGCAATTGCAGATGGAGTGGACATCATTTCTATCTCAATTGGAGAGGAAAGTCCCGAACATTATTTCAAGGATCCATATGCTATTGGAGCTTTTCATGCAATGAAAAATGGTGTATTTGTATCAATTTCTGCTGGTAATCTTGGTCCTGATCCTTCATCGATTACAAAATGTGCTCCTTGGTATCTTTCAGTAGCTGCTAGCACCATTGACAGGAAGTTCATATCTAAGGTGCAACTAGGAAATAACCAGATTTATGAGGTATGGTTCAGTTCGGTTTGTTTCATTATTTTATTGTGAAATTTAAAGACCAAATTAGCCTTTATTCATTTCTCGCACAAGGTTGGAATTTAAACTTTAATACACATGCATTACATGATGGTTTTTTTTTTTTTTTTTTTTTTTTAAAACTTTAATTACACTATGCATTACAATGATGTTTTTTTTTTTTTTTTTTTTTTAAGTATTGTCTGATCACTACGCAGGGTGATCTCGAATGATTGATCTATTGCCAAACCTGTATATCACACTTTATTCACTACTCTATTTTTTTTTTTTTTTTTTTTTTTTAAATATTGAAGGAGGGTGATTCGAATTTGATCTATTGCCAAACCGTATATACATTTATCACTAGCCTATACATTTAATTAATTTTTTATTTTTATTTAATAATAGGGTATTGCTATAAACACTTTTGACCTAAGCCAAACAATGTATCCTTTGATTTATGGAGGAGACGCACCAAATAAGGATGGAAATTTTACTCCTGCTCAGTCTAGGTAAATTTTAATTATCATTTCTTATTCTGTTGTTTTGATTGGAAATTATTAAGTTAATGAACACCATTAAAAACATATTTGTTTGTTTGGTATATTTATTTATAGGTATTTGTACATAAGAGCAAAATTAAAGAAATTATTTGTTTAGCCACTAATCTTTAATATTCCAAGAACCTATGTGTAATATGGTTAGGGAAGCAATATGTGCTCAAACATTTATTAATGAATTGCAGCTTGTGCGAAGAAAATTCCCTGGATCCAGATTTAGTAAAAGGTAAAATTGTTCTTTGCGATGACCGGATCAATGGAGAAACAGCATTGCTGGCCGGAGCAATAGGCACGGTGATGAAAGGACGGAGCCACAAACATCGTGCTTATAATTACCCTTTGCCTGCATCTTATATTGGTGACAGCGGGGACGAGAATAACAGTATACTTTCATATATAAGATCAACCAGGTATATGTATACATTATCAGCTCACCATCTACTAAAAGAACCAAACTATGCAATTTTTGTTATAATGCTAATGAAACCTTCATATTATTAAATTTGCAGCAACGCTATAGCTACTATAAATAAGAGCATTGAAGTAAATAATCCAATAGCCCCTTTTGTCCCCTACTTTTCCTCAAGAGGTCCTAACTCAATTACACCTGACATTCTCAAGGTAATCTATATGGATTTTACTCGATCCTGTGATCACCAGAGTGGGGTTTATTGCACTTCAACCACTAGACTAAACTATTTTTTTATAGCGTTTCGATTGTTATAATACATAAGGAAAAACTTTCAACGTTGTTGCAGCCAGATATAGCTGCACCAGGAGTTAACATCCTAGCTGCATGGTCTCCAGTTCGTTCAGCAACTGGACTTGATGGTGATAATAGATTTCTGCTTTACAAAATCACATCAGGAACATCAATGGCCTGTCCTCATGCAACTGGAGTAGCTGCCTACATCAAATCATATCACCCCACATGGTCTCCTTCTGCTATCAAGTCTGCTATTATGACGACTGGTAAGATCATATTATAATAGTTAACAACTCTCCAGCAAAATTATAATTACTTTTTTCGGTTCACTTGCAGCTTCACCAATGAGTTCTGAATGGAATTCTGATGCTGAATTTGCATATGGTTCTGGCCACATAAATCCTCTGAAGGCAAAAGATCCTGGATTAGTATATGATGCTGAGCCAATCGACTACATAAAATTTCTCTGTGGACAAGGATATGATATAGGTCGTCTAAGACAAGTTACTGGGGATTTTAGTGTTTGTTCTGAGGAAAATAATGGAACAGTTTGGGATCTAAATTATCCTTCTTTTGCACTTTCTACTAGAAATTCAACATTAGTTACTAGTAGGGTTTTTAACAGGACAGTAACAAATGTTGGGTTAGCTAATTCTACATATAAGGCCACTGTGACTTCCCCTCCTGGACTTAATATTGAAGTAAATCCAAGCATTTTAGCTTTTACTTCTCTTGGTCAAAACCTATCTTTTACACTTACAGTTGAAGGAAACATTGTTAGTTCTATGGCTTCTGCTTCTTTGGTTTGGGATGATGGAATATATCAAGTTAGGAGTCCTATTGTTGTTTTCTTCCCTCCTAATTTTTCTTTTTGAGGTATTTTCGTAATGTGAAAATCTGCATTAATAGTGCTTCAAATTCATTAATAAAATGAATATTTAGTTTAAATTTCCTTATTCTCCATCTCTTTTTTAAATTTACACAAGGATATGTTTTTGAATTTCCTCCTGTGATGGATATATTTGACAATTATAAATATAAATAAAAAACATATTATAAAATTATAGAAAATGAATAAAATTGTAATCTTCAAAAAATATTGTTTTAAGTTGTATTACGAATATGTACTCTATTGTTCAATATATGAGGGTCAGCATACTTCGTAAAAATTATTATAGTTTTAATAAAAAATTAATGTCGTTTGCTATTCAAATAAATTAAGAGATAACCGAATATTTCCTCACAGAAATAAAAACATAAATAAACAAATAAACATTTTGTCTATGAACAACATAATATTAACGTCTTGTCTTTTAAATTTACTTCTTTTCTTCTGAAAAAATAAAAATAATTGGTTGAAGTTGTAAGTGAATTCTCATGCAGGTCGGAGGTTTAAATTGAAATCAACCAGTAACCGAACAAAAAATTTAGAGTGCCACATAAAAAAAAAATCACTTATTTCCGCTGTTGCTATTTTGCACTATAGCGATGCTATTATAATTGAGGGAATGATATATATAAATCTCCACATCGGCCAGGTACATTCATAATTAAACACTTAAATAATTATGAAGTGCTCTTTTTCATATTTTAGGTTAAGATTTTTTTTTATTTTTTATTTTTAATAAATATAAATAAATAATTATAAAAAATAAAAAAGTAATTTTGAAAGATCAATTGATAAAATTTCATCAAAAGTTTTGTGTTTATATTTATTTATATTAATTTTTTTTTTGAAATTTTTGATAAAATTAAGGGTTGAATCAATCTGTAAGATTGATATTAATTTGAATAGAGGGGATTATTGGAAATAAATGATTATTCCAACTAGTTTGAAAATTAATGTTTAATAGTTGTTGACGGGTTGAATTAAGCATTTAATATATTTGAGTTGCCATTTTATCTTTTAAAAGAAAATATTAATATTGATATTAATATAATATATTAATTTAATATTAATATATTACATTGTATTTTATGTTTTTTGCTTAGCAAATGGCCGTCCTTGGAAGGACTTGCTCCGTTGACGGATTTACCAATGGTTTCATGACACAAACTATAAAGGAAAAGTCAAATGACAAGTGTTTTTTGACTTGTATATAAGCAATGCTCTTCTTTACACATTTCTGTAGGAAAATTAGTGCTCAAATGTCATCCCGAATTTCCTTCCTTCAATGTCTTCTTTTCATAACCCTTGCATGTCTTCTTGTCAGTAATTGCCATGGCACAGCTGATGGAGATAGAAAGGCATTCATTTTCATCTCCCACATGCATATTTCTTTCTGTTATTTCTTTAACACTGTGTCTGATATTCCGTAATGAAATATAAAATATTGTAATCAGTACATTACAGAAATGTCTTTGATTATATTATATTTCATTATGGCTCAATAGATATAAATTTAATTCTATATAGAAATTAGTAAAATTGACTTAACTGTGACATTTTGATTTGTGTATGCAGACATATATTGTGTACATGGGTGACCGTCCAAAGGGTCAATTTTCTGCTACAAATTTTCATATCAACAAGCTACAAGAAGTTGTTGGCAGGTTAACATTTTAACAAGACTTTAGATTTTCAAAATGTAAAAAGAGACTAACTGTTTTAGTTGATTGAATTGCATTTATCAGCCAGGCATCAGATTATTTGGTCCACAGCTACCACAGAAGCTTCAATGGCTTTGTTGCTAAGCTGACTGAAGGAGAAAAGCAGAAACTGGAAGGTGACTATATGTTGAAACAGAGACAACACAAATTGGAATTAGTATTTCTTTTAAAGTTTCTGTTAATTTAGCTTAAGCTGATATTGGTTCCAGGGATGGAAGGTGTAGTGTCTGTATTTCCTAGTCAAAAGAAGAAACTCCACACAACAAGGTCATGGGACTTCATGGGTTTCTCTCTGAATGTTACAAGATCAACTAAGGAAAGTGATGTCATTATTGGAATGCTGGACTCAGGTATTTGGCCTGAGTCTGCAAGTTTTAGTGATGAAGGATTTGGTCCACCTCCAGCTAAATGGAAGGGAATTTGTCAAGGAAATTCCAATTTCACTTGTAACAAGTAAACATTAAGCCCTTCTTGTAAAGAATCAAGTAGGAAACACACCCAAGAGTAGTTAAACATATTTATTGTACTAACCTTTCGCATTTTTTGATTTCATATTTTTACAGCAAAGTAATTGGAGCTCGGTATTATCTTAGCGAAAGAGAAATTGCTCCTGGAGAAATTGCTTCGCCAAGAGATTCAGGAGGGCATGGAACTCACACTGCATCAACAGCAGCAGGAAACATTGTTGACAAAGCAAGCTTGTTAGGCATTGGTTCAGGAACAGCTCGAGGAGGGTTTCCTTCTGCAAGAATTGCTGTGTATAAGATTTGTTGGTCTGATGGTTGTTCAGATGCTGATATTCTTGCAGCATTTGATGATGCTATAGCTGATGGAGTTGATATAATCTCTCTTTCAGTTGGAGGGTGGCCTTTGGACTATTTCCAGGATGTAATAGCTATTGGAGCTTTCCATTCGATGAAAAATGGTATACTCACATCCAATTCTGCTGGCAATTCAGGTCCTTTTGCAGAATCAGTTATGAATTTCGCGCCTTGGGCACTTTCTGTTGCTGCAAGCACCATAGATAGAAAGTTTGTAAGTCAAGTGAAGATTGGTAATGGAGCAATTTATGAGGTGAGATCTAATAATCAATCAGTAAAACACAAGACACTATCTGATAGAATACAAGTCTAAAACTAAAGTTTGTGTTTTAACCATAACCATAAATGTAACTATAACTCTTCCTCAATATAGGGACTCTCTATAAATACTTTCGATCTTGGAAATACTACGTATCCTATCATCTATGGTGGAGATGCACCGAACACAACTGGAGGATATGACGGATTGTCTTCGAGGTAAAAAGAGTTATAAAAGCGTTGAGTCTAATTAAAGCATTATAATTATATATATATATATTGGATGACTGAAATGTGCAATCTCTGAACTGAAAATGCAGGTTGTGCAGCACTGGTTCCTTGAACAAAACTCTGGTGGAGGGGAAAATTGTTCTATGTGATGCTGAAACGGATGGAAGAGGGGCTCTAGCCGCAGGAGCAGTTGGCACTATAATGCAAAATGGGTATTTCAAAGATATGTCATTCAGTTTTGCTTTACCAGCTTCTATATTAAGCATGAGCGATGGAGCTCATATTTTGGAGTACCTGAAATCAACAAGGTAATTTGCAATTCTCTTCATATCGCTTATGTGTATAAAGCTCTTTAATTATATATAATTAGGTTGCGTGTTTTTTTTTTCACGTTTCACTAGTGATCCAACTGCAACAATACTAAAGAGTATTGAATGTAAGGATCGATTAGCCCCATATGTAGCTACCTTCTCTTCTAGAGGACCTAATCCATTAACAAGAGACATTATCAAGGTAATCTGAGAAAAAAAATATATTTATGATTTGCAGGCTCTTTCCATTGTTTTTGACTCTTAATTAACTATCATGTATATGCAGCCTGACCTGACTGCCCCTGGAGTGGACATTTTAGCAGCATGGACTGAAGCTTCTAGCATGACAAAATACGAGGGAGATAACAGAATAGTTCCATACAACATAATCTCCGGTACATCCATGTCTTGCCCGCATGCTTCTGCTGTAGCTGCTTACGTTAAATCATTTCACCCAACATGGTCTGCTGATGCAATTAAGTCTGCTCTAATGACAACAGGTAAGTGTATAGTTCACAAACAGCCTTAACTATACAGAATTAACTATACCATTTACAAAAGGATTATTGCTTAAGTTTGCTTATTGACTCGACTAAAATTGATTCGATATCAAACTTTTTTGCAATTAAACTCAATTAGCTTGATTTACTTGGACCCTTTGCATTTAATCTTCTTTGCAGCTTTTTCCATGAGTGCTGACAATAATGCAGACGCAGAGTTTGCTTACGGGTCAGGACATATAAATCCTGTAATGGCAGCTGACCCTGGATTAATATATGATGCTGGAGAGGTTGATTATGTTAAATTTCTATGTGGGCAAGGTTATAATACTAAACTACTTCAACTTATTACTGGAGATGATAGCTCATGCTCTGAGGCAACAAATGGGACTGTTTGGGATCTAAATTACCCTTCTTTTGCTCTATCTACAAAAATTGGCAACTCCATAACTCGAAAATTTCATAGAACTGTAACAAATGTTGGATCACCAGTTTCTACTTACAAGGCCATTATAAAAGAAACAGCAGGACTTAAAATTGAAGTTGAACCAAATGTTCTTTCTTTCAATTCTCTTGGGCAAAAGGAGTGCTTTGTTGTGACAGTTGAAGCTACATTGATTAAAAATGTGATGTCTGGTGCTTTGATTTGGGAAGATGGAGTTTATCAAGTGAGAAGTCCTATAGTGGCTCATGCTACCTATCCTTGATTAGGGATTGGGATTTATTCCCATTTCTTGAAAATTTATGGAACAAATAAATTTAGTATCTTCCTGTATCAAATGCAGTAAATTTCTTTGTTTGTTGTTCAAATCAAATGCATGCAAAGATATTGAATTACAGAAAATGTTTAATTTTAGATTTCGAATCAAATTTAATTTAAAAAGGAAAGAAAAGACAAAAAAAACTTGTGAAAGAGGAGAAAAGGTAGACCAAGCAACAGAATTGTGAATTCACCAAAATGGGTAGAGAAGAATCCAAGATTGAGCTAGCCAGACATTATCACCAGTTTCTTTTTCTTGTTTCTTTTGTTAGGATTCTTATATTTTCCGGCAAAATTCTCAATCTAACAATCACAACATGGTATCAAAACCATACAATTAAAATTTTCCTTTCTTTGAATAAATGTGCTAACAAAATTAAATTTTTTTCAAATACAGAATGGAATGGAGTCCTGGTTGAAAACAAAGTCATTGCAAAAACTGAAAAAATGGAGATGCAGGGTATCGAACCCTGTACCTCTCGCATGCAAAGCGAGCGCTCTACCATTTGAGCTACATCCCCTAATGATGCAATTTACATCATCACATAATGTACTGTACAATCTATGCTGGACATGCCAAAATATCAAAAATGGATTCAATGGGTCAACACGTGGGTATAGTAAAAGGTATAACGTGTTGATACTAATCATATAACCCTTCCTTTAATTTGATAGTAACACATATTTAACTGCAGGTACTATGATGATAATTCCTCGAACAAGAGATTTGTGAAAGGAAAAAGTGTTCTTTGTGATACTCTTATGCAAGACGATTCTCCTCAAGATAGAGCTTCTAGTTTCCCTTACCGGCTTCACATTTGGATTTGAAAGATGCATCTCATGTTTCATAACATGTGAATAGAATTAGGTATGTTATCCAAAATTTTATTAGTAAAATTGCAGGAAAGAAATTCTATAACATATGGTATTAATTCAATAGCTTCATTTATATATACCACAGAAAACCAACTGCAACAATATTCAAAAGCATAAGTTAGCCCCATATGTAGTTTCATCTGGTTCTCTGATGAGGGGTTCTTGATCCAAGAAAAATGGAGATGCAAGGATCAAACCTTGTACCTCTCGCATGCAGAGCAAGCGATCTACCATTTGAGTTACATCCCCTTACAGTAGAGAATTGTATGTAACTTATTTTTTCGGATGTTGTTTCGGAAAATAGAAAGAAATGGGAAGCAATAGTTAAATTCAAATTATAGACTTAAAATTAGACACTATATATTTCGATAAAAAAAAATGTCTAATTGGTAATTAAACTCACGTTAAAAGATTATTTAAATTTTAGCATTTTTACAATTTCTCCATTGATTTTTAATTTTAGCATTCTTACAATTTTATTTATAAAAAATTAATTTGAAGTGAAATTAGACTTGCATTTTATTAGTTGATAGTACTGTAATAGACTACGGCCATATATTCCAATTTGCAATATGAAAATTAGTAATTAAAATTCTATAAGATATATTACTTTTTCATTAATTTCCATAATTAATGTGACATTCCTCATTCTTATCAAATAATTACATCATTATTAATTTCAATTATTTCCTTCTTCTTTGGCCTTATTGTGATCATCACTATTGCTTCTAGCCCTTGTAGTAAGGTAGATTAAAGATTAGATTATACTTTTGAAAGTAATGGTCAATGTAGACCAATTCATGCATGTCAAGACGCCAATAATCCAACTCATTTTGAATTAATAATATCGATAAAATTTTTTATTTTAATCATCGAGTATCTGAAGCCCATTGGCCCGGCCGACTAGCCAGGATTCATGCCTGGTAGGCGCAAAATATTCTCTTCTAAGTGTTTAAAAGGACTTCATACCTAGAGTTAAAATTCAAGACCTCTGATTAAAAGAGAATGGATTACCATCGTTCCATCTCACACCTGGGTGTATATATATATATATTATATATATATATCATAATATATATATATCATATATATTATATATATAGTATAAAAACAAAGTAGTTTATATATAAACAAAGTAGTTTGCATTATACAGAAGCCAAGTGTAAGCTTCTGAAATTGCCAAGTATAAGGAGAACAATAATTATTTAGCACGATTGTAAGAAGATAAGGTGTAATGACAGCAATTATAAGAAGATAAGTCGTTTTATATTTTTAGATAATATCTTTATCATACTAATATCTATTAGTTACATACTATCAAGATAATGCATTAAATTAAATTAAAATACAAATAACCCAAGCCATAAAATAAGAAATACTTAATTTATATTAGGAGTTAAGTTGCACTGACACAAGACACGAACATACGGGATATATGATAATAAATAAACAATCATTTATAAAAAATAAAAAATACTTAATTTTTTATTTTAGTATAATTAGTTTAAATTAAAATACAAATAACCCAAACTACAAAATAAAAAAATATTTAATTTCTTATTTTAACGATTACTTTGACGTATAGGATAGTCTGATATACCAGAAGTTAGATTGCACAGACACGGAACACAAAAAATGGGAACGTACGAGATATGATAAAAAATAAATAATCATTTATAATAAATAATAAACATAAAATAAAAAAATACTTAATTTTTTATTTGAATATAATTAGTTAAATACTCAAAATGATTATCAGTACTGAAAAATTTATGTCTATCTATATCTATTTATATAATATATAAAAACTTGGTAATTTGCTTTATATGAAAGTCAAATGTAAGTAACACAGTTTATCACTTGACATTATTTTAAATTATAGAATGACGGATGTTAGAATTCACACAATTTAGCATAATTCTAAAAATTATAAAAAGATCAGTTGTTTTATATTTTCAGATAATTTTATATTTTCAGATAAATCCCTCTTATTCAAGGATAATATCTAAAAAAAAAATTACTCTAACATTATCTCTAACATTTAATTTAATATATTAATATAAATTTATTTCTTCTTACAAAATAATTAAAAGTAATCTACACGCTTAAAAAGAGTGTGAATAAACAATATATTACTATTAAATAAATAATATATAAGCAGTTTAAGAAATATGAATTGAAACGTACAGATACGATAATTTTTTAAAAAATAGAACATTCTCACGCTTAGGACACACTATACTAAATAAGTAAGTCATTAATATTTCAAATAAATAAACAACAATTTATAATAAATTATAAACATAAAGTAATAAAAAAACTTAATTTCTTATTTCAAGGGCACAAAAATAAAATATTTCATTTTTTATTGGTAATAAAAAAACCTTGGTAAATTAGCTTCGTGTATAGAGTAGTCTCATATACTAGGAGCTGAGTTACATGAAAATAGGACACGAGATAGGAACGTACGAGATACAATAATTTTTAAAAAAGATAGGACATTCACTCGCTTAAAAACACACTACACTAAATAATTAATATATTCATATTTCAAATAAATAAACAATCATTTATAATAAATATAAAATAAAAAAAAACTAAATTTTCTTATTTCAATAACACAAAACAAATTTAAAAAAAAAAAAACACTTCATTTTATTGGCTAATAAAAAAATCTTATGTTTAATTATTTGGTTATGGAAGCTAGTCTCATATACAGAAGCTTAGATTGTACAAACATAAGACATTGAGATCAAGAACGTATGAGATACCCGATAATTTTTTTTTAAAAATGTAGGACATTCACACGCGTTAAAACGGGACATTTAGTAATACTAAATTAATTAATATATTCAATATTTCAAATAAATAAAATAAATAAACAATCATTTATAATAAACATAAAATAAAAAAACACTAAATTTCTTATTTCAATGACACAAAAGCAAATTAAAAAAAAAAAAAAGAACACTTCATTTTTATTGGGAATAAAAAAATCTTAGTTGATTATTTTAGTGTATGGAGTAGTCTCATATACCAGGAGTTAGATTGTACAAACATAAGACACGAGATGTAATAACGTACGAGATACGATAATTTTTAAAAAATGTAGGACATCCACACGCTTAGAACGGGCATAGTACACTAAATAAGTAATACATTAATATTTCAAATAAATAAACAATCATTTATAATAAATTATAAACACAAAATAAAAAAAGAACTTAATTTCTTATTTCAATGACACAAACACAAATTAAAAAAAAAAAAAAACATTTCATTTTTTATTAGTAATAAAAAAAACCTTGGTTGATTAGCTTAGTGTATAGAGTACTCTCATATACCAAGAGCTATGTTGCATGGAAACGAGTACGACAATTTTTTTTAAAAGGTAGGGCATCCACACGCTTAGAATATAGTACACTAAATAAGTAATATATTAATATTTTAAATAAATAAACAATCATTTACAACAAATCATAAAAATAAAATAAAAAAATACTTAATTTAAAAAAATACTTAATTTCTTATTTCAACAACACAAAAGTAAATTAAAAAACACTTTATTTTTATTGATAATAAAAGAAAAACCTTGATTGATTAGCTTGGTCAAAGGAGTAGTCTCATATACCAAAAGTTAGGTTGCACATACACGAGACACGAGATATGAAAATGTACGAATAAGGTAATTTTTAAAAAGTAGGACATCCATATGCTTAGAACACACTACACTAAATAAGTAATACATTAATATTTCAAATAAATAAACAATCATTTATATCATTTATAATAAATCATAAATATAAAATAAAAAAATGCTTAATTTCTTATTTCCTCAAAATTATTATCACTATTGAAAAATATATTAATAGCGCATATACATTTTTTCATGTATGTCATACTATGCATGACTTTTGCTTATTGCATACTTATGAAAAGTTTTGCGTGATACTTAAGAAGATATATCTTATATTGCAACTTTTCAGCATATCTCAATAAGATACAATTTATCATTTTATTATATAATTTTACTATTTTTTAATGATATTATAAAATATTATTCCATCTTTTAATATTGCCATACGCATCGTGCGGATTATAATGAAAAAAAACAATTATATTTTCAGATAATATCATATAGAAGGAAAAAAAAACTAAATTAATATTAATAAGCAAAAAATATTTTATTTGAAAATAAAAAAGGAAAATAAGGAAAAAGAATTCCGATAATTTTCTCTTTAAATTAGAAGGAAAATAAAAAAATAAAAATTAATTTGTAGATAAAAATTAATTTTATTTTTCTTTTATATCAAAAAAATAAATAACAAAAGTTTTTCTGAAAAAAATGTAGTCGCTTCTTATTTTTTTTTGATTGTTCATTAATAAAAAATATAAAAATAAATTAAAAAAATATTTCATCACGCGATACGAGAACGTACACAATACGATAATTTTTTTAAAAAGTAGGAGATCTACACACTTAGGACACACTATACTAAATAAGTATAATACATTATATTTCAAATAAATAAACAATCATTTATAATAAATGATAAACATAAAAACAATCATTTATAATAAATGATAAACATAAAATAAAAAATACTTAATTTCTTATTTTAATATAATTAGTTAAATTCTCAAAATCATTATTACTATTAAAAACATTAATAGTGTGTATGTATTTTTTGATATAGGTCATACTAGGGGTATGAAGATGGATCACTACACGTGAACACGATTTGCCTAATACGTAAAATAAATGGGTTAGGGTTGAGGTTAAATAAGTTCGTATCATAAACGAGTCACCCATTTATGACACGAATATAAACGTGTTATGTCACAGGTTGACACGCGGGTCAGGCGAGTGACCCGTTTATTTAAGAGTAAAAAGGTAATTTTAGTGTTAGATATAAATACTCCAACTAAAACCTATTTAAATTTTATTGTTGTACTTTTTATTTAATTATAAATTCTTTGAGAATTTATGCATTTTATGTGTGAAAAATTATTTTTAAAATGATGAAAGTTAAATTTTATGTAAAAGTTAAAAATACTTATAAGCAAGTTAAGTGGGTCTAAAAGTTAAAAATACTATAAGCAAGTTAAGTGGGTCGTATATAGGTCAACACATCCACTTAATCTATTTATGATATTAAGCGAGTTACACGAGTTGAATATGGATCAACATGATCCGCTTAACCTGTTATGATATTAACCTGTTATAAGTATATATCATCTTAACAATAATAATTTTTAATTAATATTCATAAATTTTATGTCAAGATCCTCTAAGTATAATTATATTCAAGTTAATTAATTGAAGAAGACGAAGAGACTAGGAAGCAGACAAGGAAGTAATATTTGGTTAAAGTTAGGAAAGTGAAAGAAAATCTTATTCTTCTCAAACACATGCTCGATTAGTCATAATAGGACAGCAAAAGGAACCTTGAATTTCTTAGTATATAAATTAAGCTTTTCTTATTTTAAGATTTACAATTTCACATCTGGATTACCCCGTAAAAGAAGGATTGATAGTTTCTTCACCGGTACATGCATGCCTGCTAATTTTCATTTGTGAAGTGTTCCTTTCCAAGTCAAAATAGTCTAGTCAATTTACATAGATTATACAAATTATTTCCAGTGTTATAGGTAATTTAAATTTCTTTTTATTATAATAGTTTTTATATATTCTCTATCAAACACCTTTATTGTATTTACCTTATCTTCACATCAAAACCCTTTATTCACGTCTTCATATATAAACAAACATACATTATCTATATATTGTCTTCACATTGTTGTCTTTACATCAAACCCCTCATCCACGTTTTCATAATTCATAGATAAAAATAATTGTTTCTAGTTATCTTTATTACAAATTACATTTTATTGATTATCAATCATATTAGAAATATATATACATTCAGTCAAAACCCTTATTAAAATTTGATAATTCATAATTATGAATGTTTTCTAATTATCTCAATAAAAGATATATTAATATGTTGGTTTGATTGTAAAATTTTCCAAAATATCAAAGAATTATTTTTCACTATACATCTTAAAGAAATTTGAATGGTTTCATCTGAATATCACTCTTATCTAAGCATAAAGACTAAACTACTAATAATAATAATAATAAAACCTTAATTAATTTCCAAATTTATCTATTCTCAATAGAAAATACTAAATATATAAAGAATCTCTAGGTGCATGGTTGGCCATAAAATTCGAAACATAGTTAAATTTTTGACATATAATTAAGAATAAGTCATAAATACTATAAATAATAAAAATGAAATTGAAAAAAAAAAAGCCAAAATGATCGGAAGCTTATATATATAGACTAAGTAATTATAAGAACTCCAATTTTTAGTCAATTAGAAAATATTTCCCAAATCACATGTTCAAGTTACTATCAAAAGAAAAAAAAAAAAAAAAAAAAAAAAAAAAATCACATGTTTCAAGTTACTATCAAAGAAAAAAAAAAAAAAAAAAAAACAAAAAAAAAAAAAAAAAAAAAAAAAAAAAAAAACATATCTAATGATTCCCAATACATAATGGACCCACCTTAAACCTTCATTAAAACGGAAACAAATGACTTAGGCAACTTGTTAACGCGTTTGTTTCCTATCATTTTTCTTCTTTACCCTTATTGCCTTATCCTCCCCTCTATATATCTTGCAATCATGTACTAGCTTCTTGCATGTCTTCTTCTTCTTCTTCTTGCTTAACCAACTCTACTACATATAGAGAGAGAAAAAAAGAGAGTTCAATTATGGCTGTGTCTAAGGGCCTTGTAGTTCTTGTTTTGCTATTTACTATTGTTGCTATGTCTCTCCAATACCCAGGAGGTGCAGAAGCTGGAGCAGTATCACTCAAACATGGTAAATAATTAAAAAAAACTTTATATCAATTCTTTCTTCTTCTTCTTTTTTCCCCCCTTCAAAATTGGTAATTTATATGTGATTACAGGGAATTCAAAGAAGTTCTTTGCGACCCTGGGGCTTGAATGCAAGTGTTGTGATGGTGATAAAGGTGAATGCAGAAGCTCTTGGGAGTCATCTTGCTCAAAGCTTCAATGTCATCCATGGAAATCCTATCCTATTCATTAATTCTTTATGTTTATGTAATGATGTCGCAGTGTGAACAATTATATATGTTCATGGATTTAGAGCATTTTTATTATAAATAAGACTAAATTCTTGCATTACTTCAAAAGTTGTAGCTAGTATTAGTCAGTGTACTAGCCACTAGTCTTTTTTTTTTTTTTTTTTTTTAAGTATTATGCTTAGATCCTGTTTTAGGGAATTAATAATAAGGATAACTTTAATAAAATAATTGTCTATTAATGTGATTTTAGCAATCAAAAATCTAGAGAATTTAAATACTTTATTCTAAGATCAACAAGCAATTAGATGACTAAAAATGAGCGGCATCTCCAGATAAATTTTACATGTCTTTTTTTTTTTTTTTTTAGTATATGCTTAGATCCTGTTTTAGGGAATAATAATAAGGATACTTAATAAATAATTGTCTATTAATGTGATTTTAGCAATCAAAATCTAGAGAATTTAAATACTTTATCTAAGATCCACAAGCAATTAGATGACTAAAAATGAGCGCATCTCCAGATAAATTTTACATGTACGATCAGAAATTTGAAATCCGAAAGTTTTATTGTTAAGAGAGTTTTATCTTAGTATCATCCCCGCTAAATGTACAAACATTTAAGTAAATAGAAAAAAAAATATGTATCTAATTAATTACTTGTATTTTATTGTGGATTATTAGCTATTTAGATTAAAGAAATCTGAAGAAAACAAAAATCAGAAGATTACTTTCTGCTTAAGCAACTTATACTTGGTTATGTCTAAAAGCAAAGAAATTCTAAGTAACCTTTCCTTTTCTTGGATTGTTATTGCTACTTGATTATTATGGGTGCTATGTATAAAGTCCATGTTGTTTATCAATGAAAAATAAGATCATATTTACCAAAAAAGAAAAAAAAATAAAAAATAAGATCGTATATCACTCCTTTATAATTTTTTTTTTTTTTTTTGAAAAAACTTCTTTATAACTTATTAACCTAATTAATGATGAAAAGAATGCTAAAAAACTTTACTAGTTTTTATAATTTAATTATCACAAGTTTTTATTTTGATAATTCTGTCATTAATCCAATTTTAAGTAATATACATCCATACGAAGACATTAATGTAGAATATAAATATTTAAAGTAAAAAATGTAAATCCTCATGCCCAACTAATCTGAATTTGCGTTTGGCAAATCCATAAAAATGCAAAGCGTTTCCTTTTAAGCGTTTAAAGAACTCTATACTCGATGTTAAACTCGAGATTTTAGTCAATGCCCTTACAATTTTTCTCATCGTGGAACTCTACACAGGTTGGGAGGAAACCTCCCAACAAAGAGATGGATCTAACTCTCACTCCTAAAATCTTTAAGTTCTTGTTACAATTTGTTTTCCCATTGTCATGAATATAATTTTTAAGAAGTCACAATTAACCTCCGTCAGTGGCAAGAATTTTTGTAACCATGAAAAAATTGTCACACAAAAGAAGATTTCTTATAGTAGAACATTGTTATGTTCTCCACCAAAATTTATGATGTCAATTATTCACATCTGGTCAAACCTATAGCCAATAATTTTTGCCTAAAAAAAAAAAAGCTAATGCATTTCTCTCTAATGTATTAAAAAAGAAAGCTAATGTATTTTTCTTTTCTTTTTTTTAATATATTGAAAATTTTTATATATTGAAAGGCATCATTTATTTTAAACTTTTTTTTTTCATCTTTTATATCATAAGATATAAATTTGAAGATTAATTATTAATTATTAAATTATGAGTCTAAGTATTGAAATTGTTTATCAAATAAATTCCAGAATCTAGAAAAGTTGGGAATATATATAATATATATGGTTCTTTCCTTTCTTGCAATTTGACTAGTTGCGACATTCAAGTACTTAGTCCTTTAATTCGTTAAATGGAATCAACCTTCTTGTACACAAATTATTTTCATCTAGTATTTCACAGTCTCATTCTCATTATACCCAAAAAAATTAAAAATTAAATAATAAAAAAATACTCTTTCATGCACAAAGTATGGAAAAGAGACTCAGTTCAAAAGACTTCTAGAAATATTCTAAAAAAAAGAAGAATTTCTAGAAATGGTGCAGCATCTTCAACCAGGGATTTTTTTTTTTTTCCCTTTCATATTCTGTTGTGCCCATTTAATTAATTAATTACCACAGATTTTTATTGTTGAATTCCCAGTTTATGACAGCCATAGACTGGTTTTGACCAATTATTTCTGAAACAATTGACCTTTTTTATTTTTGACATGATCAACAATTGACATTTTAATTTACCTTTTACACTGCAAAAGAATATGTTCCTCCCCTTTCTGCCATTTCTAACGAATTTCCTATAATTGAACCTCTAATTTCAGAATATTTTCTACAAGAATATCATATATTCTGTCTAAATATTTTGGTTTTGGTCAAAATTAACATATTATTTCAGAGTCAGCGTTTAGGTTGTTAGATAATAAACCTATGGTTATTATCTTCCAATTCAAATAAACAGACTTTGGAGAGTTTTTCTTTTTTTTTTTTTTACTACAAATATTGGGTTTGTTCGACAATATTATTTGTTTTAGTAGAGTTTAGTTATTAGTTGTTTTAATAACGTTTTTAACTAAAGTTAATTTTTTATAAAACGCATAATCTAATTCAAACGCTATGTTACCGAACACTATAAAAAATAGTAAATCCTATTTAAAAAACTAATGTCGAATATAACTATTATGTTATAAGGAATATTCTATATATAATGCTGCAATATAATTATCTAACTATATTGCAATTATGTGTTCATTAAAGCAAAAGGCATGAGGAATAGGAAAATAAAACCTAGAATGCTTAAAATCCCATGGATAAGGGATCATTTGAATTTGGAGGGATTAAATATCATTTCGATGGAGATAAAATTTTCTAATAAAGGTATTGGTACTTTTTTTTCGCTCTTGTGGTTTATTGAGCCACATGTAGAGGTACTACAACCCAAAAACTAAGAAAGAGAGAGAGATATAGTCTTTATGTTCTTAGTGTATGAGATTTTAAATCCTAAACCACTAAATAGTAATTTCAAATTTTATTTAGGAAACTACTCCATTCATGATTTTTTTTTCCTATTTTAATATATTTTTAATAAAAAAAGAAAATGATATAGAAATGTCAGGATTTAAATATTTAATTTGAGAAAAATAAGACACTTGTAATATTATGTCGGATCATTTAGTTTTTTTATGAATCTAATAAATTAATATCATTTTTCTTTATGAAGTAAGAGAGAGCTAATATATCCCATTATAAAAAATTAAAATTCAAGGAAAGAATGAGAAAAAGGAGAAGAATAAGATAGTTATAAGTGAAACAAATGGCATGGTGAGAACCACCAAAAGAAAATGTGAGCTTGGCATGCTTATATCAAGCAAGAATTAATTAAAGGTGGGGAGCAAATGGGAATATTGTGAAAAGCAAAAGCATATCCAAGAGACCAAAGACCTGCCCTAGAAAATATTCAAGTCACGTTTTATTAAAGCTAATAACCTTTAGATGAACTTATCCGAAGCTATCCAAAAGGAACCAAAGATATCATCACTAGTCTCTTTTTTTTTCTAAAGAGAATGTATTATATGTCACCGGAGATGGAAGCGGTATGGATATTTTATGATATCCATTGAGCTTCGATATATTTAAGAGAATATGAGTACTTATAAATGTGAATCTTTAGAATACTGATAGTGAATACCCCCGCGACTCTATCCATTTATTAGTAAAAATGTATTCTAAATAAGTTTGAATTTGAATAGTTTAAGATTCGCGAGTTTCCTATAGGGTATTTTAAGTGGGTTTCGGACAAATAATAAAAATTTAAACAAATTAGAATATGAATATTTAAACAGATTTATAATGAACAAAAATAGTCAAATTTTAAATACATATAGATACAGATAGTTTAAAATTCACAGATATCCGCTCTACTTCCCTCCTTAATCTTCAGTGATTTTTCATGAGTTAATCATCGTATATGCAAATCACATGTCAAAGATTTTAGAGTTTGTTTTCTAAATGGATGTACACACGACAAACCCATTAATTTTAAAAAATAGAACCAATTTGCAAACCCATCATGGATCTTATAAATGGAGCATCTACATTTACTAAATTATAACGCAAAAAAAAAAATAATAATAATAATAATAGTTGGTATTTTTGTTTTTCATGCTAGCTAGACTACGGGTGTCCCCAACCCACTCTATTGAGTCTAATCTTATTTATGCAATGTCAAATCCTTCAAAAAAAGAGCTTCCAGCGGAAATTTTCTCCATTTATAACGATCAAATATTTTTTTTTTTAAAGGATTTCAATCTTTTCCACACACATCAATCAATCTCTGTTCATTAAATCTTGGCATATTTTTTCCGGTAATTCATAAACGTTAATAGCATATTTTTATAGGAGCCTTAGAAAAAAAGGATTAGGTTATTTCAGTAAATACATTCAGCCAACCCCAATCCTTTTACCCATTAACATTTTAGAAAATTTCACAAAACCAAATTATCAAATTGGCTAACAAATTTTATTTCGATGACATATTGAATTATTTCCGGGTGGGTAATAATATGAATTTAAACCTCCAACTGAAGTAACACCCAAAAATTATAAGAGAAATGAGTTGCACAAATTTATATGTGCTTTATTTTCTTTTACATATATATTTCTCAATATATATGTATAAACCCAATCATATTAATAGAAAAATTGTAAATTTAAGAACCTTAATATGTTTTTAAAATTATGAAAAAACAAATTATATTATATTTAATTGAGGATACATTTTCTTTCAAAAATTTTCTTATATATATGTAAAGAAAGGATAGATCATAGATATAGTATGGTACATTATCATCTTGTGCTTTTTGGTTGTTTCTTTACAACAAAAAACCTTATCAAGAAATCTTATGTTCATCTATTCCTAAATTAAATCAAAAGATGATATGCAATATAATAAAATATATATTCTTGTCCACATTAAAAGTGCCCATGATTATATTATTCAAAAAGCCCTTGCTACTAGTCATTCCAAGATTAGGGTTATCTTGAATGTAATAGAATCTCATCAATCAACCATTTAAAAAAGCAAGTCTAGATAATCGGAACTGGGTAATTCAATAGCAAAGCGCGGGGATTCAGTCATGGGTTTGATCCTCCACAATGCAAACTTCTCCCTTGTCAGTCCCTTTGCCTCAGAGCGCGAGCAGGGATTAGTCAACTTTGTGCACAGTAATAATCAACTCATTGTTGCATAATCCCTACTTCATTCCCTCTTCATAATACCTAATTAAATCGCATAAAATAGCATTACTCTTTTCATGTATATGCTTTATATCTATCCATGAAAAATTTTCTTGCAAAGCATTCATTTGTTCCATTGTTGTCTGTTGATAATATATCATACTAAACTAGATAAAGTTTGTATAAAGTTGGTAAGGAATGTAACTTTGTTCATTACTTTTTGATTAATTTGAATTTTTTTATATGACAATTTGAGTCAGTTTTGCAATCTATTATCTATTGCCTCCATTACATAAAAATAGCTTTGATTTAATTTTCATAAAGATTAATAAATTAAAGTTATTATATTGTTTGAATAATAAATTTTAATTGCATTTTTCTTAAGATACTCATATATTGACTCATTTCGATAATTCTTTCTCCGTTAATTTTCTCAAAGTAATAGATAATATTAGACAAACAACTTCTGTAAAGCGATAAATAAAATTAGACGGAAGGAGTATGTTGCAACCATATAAACTATATATCTTTAATCTGTGTAGAATAATTGTGGAAGTGTATTTTTGAATTCACGTATAAGAAAAAAAAAAAGAAATATTCTATCATAATCGAGGTGTTAACTAGCCTAAAAAATTTCTTAATAGAAGTGAATGTAAATATAGCTAATGCTCACGTGTCAATTCATGTGTTTAATCTGTTCGATCAAACGACAATAAAATAAACTTATCTATTCAAATTGAACAGAGAAACTATTTATCTAGAGTTATAAATTAAATTTTCTTTTAAATAAAAAAATTTTGTGTTAGAATTGATTCAATAAGTTATGTAATTGAATGAAAATATAAAATTGCTTTTGACAATTATAAAATCACACCATATTCAGCTTTGAAATCATTTTAGTTTTAAAAATTATTTTTTAAAATTTAATATTCAAAATTCAATCCAAACAAATTCAAATTCACATTTAAAATTTTGAAATTTTATAAACTAAATGGATAAGTCTGCTTATACCGTCCAAACATTGTATCTTGTCTATCAGAAAATGCAAGGGGGAGAGCATTTGCGTCTCAGCCAAATAGGGGAACTTGAAAAGTAATTGAAGCCTACATAATGCAATAAAATGGAAATTAAATTAATATTACAGACAATACATTTGGCAAAAAATGGTAAGAAAAATACGTGGAACAATGATAAACATTAAAACAGAAGCATGAGCACACACGTGATTACATATACTCTCTGTTTGTTTGTCAAAAAACATATATTCTGCCATTGATTCTATTAAGATTTAGGGGGAAGAATTAGCTCTTATACACGTAATTGTATTCATCATTTTTTGTTCTTTTTATCGGGAGGCTCAGTAATCTAAAATAATATTACGAGTTACAGAATTGAATTAATCATTCTCTTTATTTATCAAATTGATGAAAATTCTATATTCGAGGTGATTCAAATAAAAAATCTCTCACTTACTATATAAATGAGAAAATCAACCGGAATGAGAGTGGTGCGGATACTTTAGGATACCCGATTTAATCAGTTTAAAGAGAATATGTGTAATAATAAATGGGTTCATAATGGATATGGATAGTGAAATTACTACCTATAATGAGATAATGGTAGAATACGAGTATAGATCTTTCAGTACCCGCTATATTATACAAGTTTGGCAATGGATACCCACGGGTACCCTATCCATTATTAATAAAAACTGTATTTTAAATAGCTTCAGATTTGAATAGTTTAAGTTTGGCGGTTACCCTAACCATATAATGGTACTTTAAACGGATTTTGCACGAGTACGAGCTGTAAAAATTTAAACAGATTCTAATATAGATACTTAAATGTATATTTAAACGGGTTTAAAACTGATACAGATAATAAATTTTTAAATAGATACAGGACGAATAGTTTAAAATTTTCAAATACTCGCCCTACTTTCATTTTTAGACTACACCTAATTAGCATTTGCGTTTAAAAGGTATAAACAAATCGAGCTAAGTTCAAACTTACTAGACTCGAAGTTCGGCTCGATGAAAGTTCATATACACGAAAAAATTAATCAGAACACACTCTATTGAGATTTGCAGCATCTTTGGATTTAGTACCTAGCAAAGAAAATTAAAAGGAATAAAAGGGAGCCAACTATTTTGAGCAAAAGGGATATATCCTATGAGACCAAGTTGAAGGAAGCAACCTTATCCATCTAATCTTATTATCTTCTTTCATGCATTTAAGGAAAGCAAAACAGAAACAGTGTCAAAGATGTGAGGCATGGAGGACACATGTCAATAAGGGGTTGGATCTGGCAGGATGTCCACTTGTACATGAAAGGGTGAACCCATGTGTCAACTCAAAAAACAAAAAAAAAAAAAAAAAAAAAATGGAGGGACCACATGTCAATAAGGGGTTGGACTGGCAGAGATGCACTTGTACATGAAAGGTGAACCCATGTCTGTCAACTCAAAAAACAAAAAAAAAAAAAAAAAAAAAAAAAAAAAAAAAAGGGAGAAGGTAGAGTTGAATTGATCAGAATGTACTCGTGAAGATGAAGGTTGGTTTACTTGGCAGGGGAATACTTATCATACTATGTATGAGAAATTTATGAATATACATCCACCTCATAGGTTTTTTTTTTTTATTTTTTGAAAACACCTCCTAGTTACTATTTGAAAAACTATCACTCTTAATCTATAGGATGTGGCTTATGACTTAGTTAGTAACGCAAGTTGGGTACATGAAAAGAGTTTCCCATTAAACACACTTACAGAGAGAGACAAAGAGCTTGCCTTTGACTAAACCCCAAGCTAGATTAGGTGGTCGTTAGCGATAAAACTATCACTCTTTTTTTCCAAAAAAAAAAAAAAAAAAAAAAAAAAAAAAAAAAAAAAAAAAAAAAAAGACAGAGAAGAAAAACTATCACTCTTGTAAAATAAAAAAAAAAAAAAAAAAAAAAAAAAAAAAAAAAAAAAAGACAGAGAAGAAACTATCACTCTTTAAAATAGTACTTGCTTTGCTTACAATCATCCATACATCATGCCAATTATTAATTAACATCTAAGAAAAAGTGTTATAATTTATCATCATTATTGTTTTTTTAAGAGACATTATTGTTTTTATTGACATAAAAATACATTTATATTTTATACTAAATATTTTTTATTAAATTGATTTAGTGTGTGAGTGAATTTATATACCATTTACCCTATTCAGTGAGAAAAGACGCATATATCCTTAATTCATTTATTCAGTAATAACAGATACGATCACTCTAAATTGTAAGAGTTTAATATTTTTTTTCCCTATTTATTGATATGTATTTATTGTTTAATAGTAAATTAAGAGAGAAAAAAGAGTGATCATAGGCCACATTTCTCTAAAATAAAAGAAAATAAAGATATGCATCACAATAAAATAGAAATGTCTAACTTTTTTTTTTTTCTTAAGAGAACACTGCACACGTCCTAAACATATCTAACTAGATATGCAATTTGTTAAGGAAAATGTTTTATGTTGCAAAGATAAGCAAATTATTTTACTATTTTTTATAGAAAATATTTTATTCATTTGATACACATTTAGAAAATTTCACCATATGTATTACACGTAGGGTGTAAGATATAAATATGCTTACTAAATATGAAATTTATTTATCTTTTTGTGTTGTATATAGAAATGAGGGTAACTAAGATTCAATCCTCTATCCTTTTATATTATAATTACATAAAGAAACTATTTTAATTAATTAATATGAACCTAATAATCTTATCAAAATATTAAATTTTAATATCCCTTTATTATAAAATAAAAAAGTAGCAGAAAAAAGAAAAGAAAAAAAAAAAACAGAAAGAGAGAAAGAATTGAATAGAGGCACATGGGTTGGTGCAGGAGGAAGAGAAGAATCCAAGAGACCTTCTTTTGGGGCTTATAAATAGCAGAGACCGTTTACTCACTCCATATATCTCCACAACTACAATTAATCTTCACGTGCTCTCTCTGCCTCTCTCTACCCATAGTAATAAATAAATATATAATAATCAAAAAAAATATTTTTTTTATACTTTTTTCTCTGCAAATCTTATCCATCCCATTCACTGCTCTGTTACCTCTTTTTTGTTCCTTTTTAATGTCTTTTTGGGGGTCAGTGAGGTCGTTATAGAAAGGTTTTATCTATCAAAGGGGACTACATACAGTTTTGTTCGTTGGTTGACAAAGAAAGGTTTTTTACAAATAATAATAATACTAACAGCTACGATGGAAAACAAGAAGCATGGTGTTGGAAGCAGTGCTTCTTCTTTGGATCATCTTTTTGGTCCTAAAGACTCTTCTTCTTCTTCATCTTCATCATCATCAAGCGTTTTTGGGTCTATTTTCTCTCCTCCATCATCATCAACGGTATATATATATATATATATCTATATGTCTTGCTTTTTTTTAGTTTGTTTCTCTGAGATATTTTTCGATCATTTGTTTCAGTTTTTTATGGACTTGATTGTGCTTTGAATGATCTCTGTATGGAGATCTTGCATGCAATCTTTCTAACTTGTACATGCCATGGCTATTGCCTAGTAATATTGTTAATGCATGTGTTTTATTTTTCCAATTTCAGGGCCTGAGAAGGGACTCTGCAGGAATTATGGGAAACCAAACTGGGAATATCAAATATGGAAATCCAGGCATGTCAATGCACAAACTTTATGAATCCAGGTGCAATTTTATAAATTTTAATAAATTTAATTGAGTCCTTTTTCAGATAACACAGCTCAAAGCAACAAAGGTGGCATAAGTGGAAAAGATACCAGTTCTTCTGTTTATCAAAATGAAACAGCAGAACCTTGTTATTTCAGCTCATCAATTTACTATGGTGGCCAAGAAAATTATTCTCCGAGGACCAACAATCCAGAATCTCATCATTCTGTAAGTTTACTATATATAATTGCTGTCATCATTAACCAACAATAAAAGAAATACTATAAAAAAATTATTATTTGAAACCCAAATGAGTGTTGCTTTAGCATCTCATAATATGAGAAATTGATTTTTTTTTTCTTTTTTAATTTGAATATAGTTCAAAAAAGAAGATAAAAATGATGATCCCAATGGCAACAATGCAAATAGTGCTTCAAGAGGGAACTGGTGGCAGGGTATGTCAAGTATTATCTATATGGTTGAAAATGTATAATTGGAAGGTTTTTTACTGTTTATTTTTTCTAAATTTGAAATATGGCTTTCTGCAGGTTCACTCTATTACTAATCCTAGCTTTATAAAATGCAAATTAAGCATCTATAAGCTAAGGTTTGTAGAGAGAGTGCATATTTTTATCATTAAGCTTTTTATTTAAATAAATGCCATCTAGATAAATTAATTAATTGTGAAATTTTGGTTTTTTCTTTCTTTTAAATCTGGTTGACCCATCATTAGAGTCACTAATACTGTGCTTGTTGACACAGGAATGATGGCTATTATGATCTACAACCTTCATATACACTATGGAAATATAATAAGATGATATATATATATATGTATATGTATAAAGAAAGATAATATTATTATGTTATAGTAGGAGTTGGAGCATTATGTGGTAGTGGTGTTGGGTTCTTTTTGTCCCAGCTAGACTCTTACACATGATCTGTATGTTGTTGTAGGACTTTGATGCCTTCCTTCTTGCATACTACATAGTTTCTTTTCCTTAGCTAACCTAATCCAATCCTCCATGTAGTTCAAGAAAGATTTCTGGGTTTTCAATCTTGAATATATTGTATCTATTAATATTCTAACCCTCTCTCAATTTAAATTATAAGTCTATTCGACAACTGCGATTTATTTTATTTGAAAAACTCTAAAAACTAGAAGTACTTAATAGTTGTTTTCATAAATCGCTAAAAGCAAAATATAGTACTTATTAGCTGTTTGAATAACTTTTCACAGCTAATAGTAATAACTTTTCATAAAATATTAAAAAGCTAAACATAGTAGAAATTATCATTTTATAAAATAGCCCTGGCTGTCGTGGAACACAGCTTGCAAGATGGATCTAACATTACAGATTAACTTTAAGCACAAAATAAAACAAGAAAAAAAGGGAAGAGGGGGGGGGGGGGGGGGGGGGGGAAAACTAAGAAAAAAAGCGGGAAGATAGGGGGGGGGGGGGGGTAGAGGGAACGGTAAAAACACTAACAAAAGAAAAATAAACAGTATAAAAAGCTTATTATTATTAAATGCCTTGATGGTTTACCAGCAAATTAAGTTTGCTTGAAATAAGCTACCATCAAAGATGCAGAACCAGATAAAGGTTGATAGAAGCCAAGCATAACAGAGATACCATCCACTGATGCTGCTCTCAAGGCAATGTGTTAAAGCTGCAAGAGAAACAAAAAAATAAGCGAGTTAAAGCCTTGTAAATTACAAAGTAAGGGGGGGGAGGGAGGTAAAAACCACTCAAAAGAAAATTAAACAGTAAAAGCTTTATTTATTATTAGATGCCTTGATGTTACAGCAAATTAGTTTGCTAGAATAAGCTACCATCAAAGATGCAGAATCCAGTAGGTTGATAGAAGCCAAGCATATTACAGGATACCATCACTGATGCTGCTCTTCAAGGCAATGTGTAAGCTGCAAGAGAAACAAAAAAATAGCGAGTTAAAGCCTTGTAATTAGCCAAGTAGCCATCATTCAAACTGAGATTTGAATATAGAACTTTAAAAAGAAAACGCTTATTGGATGAACATTCGAGATTGCAGCCTCTGATTTGAGGTATTTGATAAAACAGCGTTTCAGAATCCAGCAACCAAGATTCAAGATTCGTTAATACTCAAAAGATGAAATTTTTAGCTGCTGAACCAAAGAAAACTTCAATGATTCCAAACGAAATATAATGTGAATTTGAAAACAAACCTCCACACTTGTAACCCACAGGCCGACTAGCAATGTTGCAGCGTTTGGGAATAGTGACCGCAATTTCTGGTTTGACTCCAGAACTTTTTGCAGTATTGGAAAGCATAACAGCACAGAGACAGGCAGGGTTTTGGCCAATCTTCTTTACCTGAGCACAGCACTGGGAAGAAACTGGAGCATTCTCATCCTGTGATGCTGATGCACAAGGTGCCAGCTTAAAAGCTTCCATGTCAGGAGTGGTGGACTTCCCACATTCACCAGCACCATCAACTCGATTAAACCCAGAGATTCCAACAAACACAAGAAGCACAAAAAAGCAAACGGACTTCGTTAAAGCTGCCATTTTTCTAATGCAATGCACAAATAATAATAAACGTCATTGGATTTTATACAGAAGCAAGAAGATGAAATGTGCTTACACGTGAGTTCCATTAGTTATAGTGGAGATAGCACTATAAGAAAAATTATTTTGTTTATTGCAGCATACCTACTCCTTCCACAATAGATCTCTACATTATCTGGCTATTTCAAGCCATTGACGGCTACTGCTCACTAGAAGTCTTAGCAATCATTTCATTTCTTTGGATCCTTCAAGGAGAAAAGAATAGCTTTTCATGAGAAGCTGACAGCAGAGCATTCCACCACATGCAACCTTTCTAGAGAACCTCCATTTTCTCCAACATCTCTTCTTGTTTTGCAGCATTAAGCAGCACATAAAGAGTAATATGAATGCAACAGTTGCATACCAAAAATACATGATTCTACACGGAAGGAAAGAATAAGCTCACATAATACACTGGCCTTTGCAAATATCTATGTACTACCACATTTTCTTGGTATTCATTCCCTCTGAGAGGTGAACTGGATTTTTTTTTTTTTTTTTCCTTTTTTCTGTTCAGCCTGATTTTTACATAGTCAATTTACAAGAGTTCAGGACATTTCAAAGTAAATAATCAATTGAACAAAAGAGCAATTTACTGAGCACCCATAAAATCTAAAGAGTCAATCACAGGGTTTAGTTTCTTGTCTTCTTTTTGGCTGTCAATGAATGGGTCATATAAATTAAAAGCAGGATGAACAATAGATGCACTATCCTTGTCAAAAAAGAGGGGAAGAAGAACAAGAAACAAGAAACAAGGATAATCAGTTAATTTAGGTCTTCACACGAGACAAATTGAACAAATATAAGCATTCCTGTTCCCAATCTTTTTATTCTGCCAACTGGTTTCCAGAATAAGCAGACAACAAAACAACACAACAGACGTAGAGTGCATGACAAAGTCCTGATTTGAAGAACGCAGTACTGCTAGGGGATAGTATTGCACTTTGGCAGAGCCAGTTGGTTGAGAAAAAGCATCTTTATTGCACCATAGGGGATGTTATGGGAAAAACATGCCTAACAGGAGGTATTTCCAGTAATTTTGTTCTTCCATTTCAACATCCTCAAGTTGATAAATCTAATTGTTCATCAACTGTTATTTTCAACATTCATCATGCCACCAAAGAACCAGCAAAGCTTTCTAATTGTGAACACAAAATTTCTCCCAAAACATGATATTTGTCTGACTCGTACACACAGTTCTTGCTTTTCACAATGAATCCACGCCATTTATGCTGAATGTCTACAACTTATCATATTTTACACATTTCTATCTACCTTAATTTAAACCCCATTTCCAATATTAAAATAGAAGGTCCAAGGTAACATAGAACACAGAAGATGAACACAAACCAGATACACAATATCTTCCTATCTTCCAAACTCACGTCTAATCCTTAATCAACATCCGATCATGTCATTTTTAAATATCAAAATCAGTCTTTAATCATACATATCTTTTATAATTCATACCACATCCACTCATCATTCATTAATCACTATGCGCCTACACATGCTACCTCTGGTCCCTAGAATGCATAAACCTTTGTTCTAGATTCATCTGTCTTATCCCAAAACCCAATTTGCACATTTAGAAAGAAATCTTTTTTCCACTAACCCAATAAATATTCCAACAGCCTTAGAAGTGGAAGTATGATCCAACTATCACCCACTTCTCTTTTAAATTCTACTTGATCCAAACAAGAGTGCCCTCTTTACCTCACCTAATATCATTTATAACACTATCAAGCCTCAAACACCACAATAATCAACATCAAGCATACAAAAAGTGAGGAAAGAAGGAAAAAAAAAAAAAGAAAGCACATGTTTTTCTTAATTTCTTTTGTGAAAACATAGACACTTCAATACCAATTGCAGTAATATCCTCAAAATTCACATACATAATCAGAGATGTATCAATTTAGTTCCTGCATCTAATCTAAATACCCTCACTTGTACATCTGAAACTATTTAAACCAAACTAAGAAAAAGTTAGCGAGTAAAGGCATACAAAACGGTGCACACATAAACTAAGAGAGCAGTAGAAACAAAAATCACAAGAGGCACAACGGCTGCAAAGCTATGTCCACTTCCACAAGCCAAAGTTCCAAGCTTGAACTGAACCACATTAATCAAAGCCAGCATCAAAAACACGCACCCACAAACAGAACCGACACCGGACACCAGCATACCGACCCGTATCACATCTTTGTTAATGTGCGCGAAAAACTCAGGCAAGTGATTGAAATGAGCCGAGAAATGAGAGGTTTTAGCTATTCGGAGAGCTTGTTTGAGCGCGAGTGCGAGCAAGCTAGAGAAGAGGAAGGAACTAAAGGAGTAGACATGATAGGCGATAAGATTCTCGACAATGGAGGAGCTGGCGGCGCAGGTAGGGTCGGTAATGAGGGAGTTGTTGGGGTCCGATGGGTTCCAGGCGAGACCGAGGAAGACGGCGAGAGTGAAGAGGGAGTTGACGTTGATAATACCGTCTAGGGCGGTGATGTGGATGCTGGTGGTCATCCTAATTCGATTGATTTGATCAGGCGATGGTGCAAGGTTTAGGGTTTGTTTCTTTTAGTTGATTTCCAGGAAATGAGTGAGGAAAGTGGAATAAAGTGAACGAACAGTACGGTTACGAACAGAAGGTGGATTACCTTATACGCAATTGCTTAACTTCAAAAAGAAAAATTTAAAAGAAAAAACTGAAGCAGTTCACCCGCGTGACAGGCAGGAGTACTCACCACTATTTTACAACGACTGATTGATGTTCCACAAGCAATCGTTTTTTAATTAAAAAAATTTGAAGCAGTTCAAAAAAAGTCGATTGCCGATGCCGAGGATCGAACCCGTGTCACCCGCGTGACAGGCGGGAATACTCACCACTATACTACAACGACTAATATTTAGTACTAAACCAATCGTCTTTTAATTATAATATAAAGATTCGAAGCAGTTCAAAAAAGTTGATCGCCGTTGCCGGGGATCGAACCCGGGTCACCCGCGTGACAGGCGGGAATACTCACCACTATACTACAACGACCTGTTTGAACTTTAAGCTGTGTCTTCTTATTTAATTTTGTAAAATATTCCCCAAATTGTGCGAAAATCCAAATCCATTTTCAGGCTATAAATTAGTTATATCCAAGAAAAGCCTGCTAGTAAAGTCAGGGATTCAAATTTCAAACCTGAAATCATCAATGTTAAAAGAAATTTACCTAAAATTATAGATCTGAGCATGAAAACAAGTATGCAAAGGAAAAGATATTGATTTTCTGATGATATTTATATTTCTTTTAACTGTATAATTATGACTGATAAATTATGGCTCAGGATGTGAGATGTCTCAGGAATTTGATTCAAAACGTAAATTCTCTATTTGCTCTCAGCTACACACAGATACAAACAACATAAAAAGCATAAACTACATGGTTCCTGGTTTTAATATAACCAGCAAGAATCTATAAAAACCCAAAGAAACTAATAAATGAAACAACAATAACTGGCTAAAGCTTTTCTATCATAAAAAAATATCCTACTCAAACTCTATGTTCATCCTTTTTGTCCACCAAACTCTCAGTTCCCCACTTTAAGTTACAGTATATTTAGGAGCATTTTGATGCAATATAGCTGTTTCTGTGCCATTTGCATTTGAATTTGGACATAAGCCGTCTGTTTGATTACCACAGATCTTTGCTTTTGTGTCACCGCCAAGATAATTTGTCAACACTCTTTTTACTCCAAAACCGCGACGGTGAGGCTTGTTGTTGTTGTTGGACATGGTAATGTTGTGCAAAAATGGAGTTCTTTCTCCTCTAGCAGGACTGATAAGAGGTGGTGCGGGCGAAAAGCTTGGCGTACTAAATGTTGCTTTGTATGGAGTGCCTGAGACAGGCACAGAATAAGGGAGTGAAACTTTCTTGTGAGCAATGACACTGACACTGGAAACTGATAATTTGTCTGAATGTTTTGTCAAGTCATCAACATATAGCAAATCATCAATACGTGCCACAATGTTAAATGCCAAACTCTCCAGAACTCTTGAATAGCTTTCAAGAATGGATTTTCCGACATCCTGAAATTTTGAAGACAAGTTAGTCTTGCTGTACATGAAAAAATGTAGCAAAGCCAATGCATTTAGTGAGGATAAAAAGCCAACCTTGTTAAATTGTATTTTGCTTGTATCTAATGTAGTCTGGCTTAGACTAGGGAACCGTTGCTTTAACGAAAGCAGGAGGCTTTCTGCTCTTTCTGCAAGCAGTTCCCTCTTATCTCCATCAACCATTAAGTCCTTCACTATCTCCCATGATGATCTTGCTGTGGACCGGTTTGGATATGTTGGAGGCTTTGAATGAACTCTCTTACGCCATACATATATTGCAGATTCCACACGGTTTGCAATATCTAGAGCTACATTTTCAGTTGACAGGTCTAGGCAATCAAGCAGACATTCTGCAGAGAATTGATCCGAAGTAATATACCGGTATATGAGGTCCCCTAGACAAGCTCTCCCATTCTGAAATCAAATTAGATAGAATTCAATGTCGGAGAAATTTATTAATGTCCTAGTCCAGATACCAGAAGTCTTTTTGGCAATGAAGAAACTGCTTTTCCGAAAAGCACATTTACGCTATTTGTGAGCGTTGTTTAGCTATTTTGAAGCTTTTATTATAAGAACATATGAAATTCATCTTAAGAACATATGAATGACTTTTAAGCAATATTTTCAACGTAATGTTTTTCTCAACAGCAGCAGTAATGCCAAATAAACAACAAGCATGCATGTGTAACTAAGAAGTCCACTACCAACATACCTTTGGAAGTGCTTCCATGTATGAGTCAGGAACTTCCATTTCAGCTAAAGCAATACTATTGATAGCCATTGCAGCTTTTAGTATTTGATTAGTGCATTCGCGTGTATGGTTCAACTGCTTTCTTGAATTATCACTTAGGCCACCAGCGGGGATACGGGGTACAGGCAGCCACCACTTCTCCTCTTGTCTCTGAATTGTCTTTCTGAAAGAAGCTGAACCATCTGCATCTGGAGCTACAATGCCTTGATCAACATACCAGAACTCTGCATTGACAAAGCTATCTAATATTTCCTGCCATTGAAAGTTAAAAATGCTAATAATTCAGACTAAACTCCTCAAACTAAAAATTACAAAAATAAACAAGCTATATTAAATCTTACAAGAAGCATATTGTCTAGTTTACGGAGAGCTGGGAGATTGATAAAAAGGTCTGATCTTGGCCTGCAAGTCATTACCTACAAAATACAGAAAGCCTATTTATTTACTTTGGTAAAAAGGAAAAACAAATTGATTCTGATAACCAAATTGTTCCATTATTGATTTTGACTACATTTGTTGCTTGCTCGTGCTAGATTTTTGGCCAGCACAAGATAACTTTACGTGGTAATGGCTTACAATAAATTTAATTCTGAATTAAATTGGTACTAGAATTGGATTCACCTCAAGCTTACTACCATCAGGAAATGTTTGCCAAGAGGGTATTAATTCCACAATGTGATCACCAACACAAAGAAGCCACTCCATCTCTCTTCTCCACATTGATTTCTTCTCTGGTGCCAATGGCTCCAATCTCCACAGTTGCCCAAAAATAGTAACTAAATGTTGCAAAAAACCAAGATTAAAATTCAAATTACAAAAATTGAAGAACAGTACATACTCATATAAGCATATAGAAGTACCTACCACAGAGATTAGTAATAGCATTTGAAATAGCCATAGCTGTGCATGCACCTTTCCCTGACCCTGACATGTCTTCTCCAAGCAACAATTTTGCGAACCTTGCCTTCATCATATCAATCTCTACACAAAATTGACCCCAATTTATAAATAAAAAAAAAAAAAAAAAAAAAAAGGCCGAACCTTGCTTATCATATCAAATCTCTACAACAAAATTGACCCCCAATTTTAAAATAAAAAAAAAAAAAAAAGAGCTTCCGTGAATTTCAAAAATAAAAAATGGTTCTGACCAATGAAAAACAAACAAGTGTAACTTAGAATTTTTGAGCGCGATTTCAAAGTTCAAAAAATCTGCTTTCGTTAAAGCTTCAATACATTAAAGTGCTTCAATTTTTGAAAATTTTAAAAATGCATAGACCACAACAACCACCTGAAATTTTTTTCGAAAAAAAAAAAAAAAAAAAAAAAAAAAAAAGAGCTTTCGTGAATTTCAAAAATAAAAATGGTTCTGTACCATGAAAAACAAACAAGTGTAACTTAGAAATTTTTACCATTTCAAAGTTCAAAAATCTTGCTTTCGTTTAAAGCTTCAAACATTAAAGTGCTTCAATTTTGAAATTTTAAAAATGCAAGAACCACAACAACCAACCTGAAATTTTCGAGCTTGTCAGCTTTTTGAACTTGGAATCCTCTGAATGGGATTTCTCTTGGTCTTCACTGTCGGAAGAGGCTAATAAACTCTTGCACTCTCCAGCTTTCCTAATTGGCCAACCCAAAGGAGATGGTGACTCACAACCTACCGTCTTTACTCTCTCAGTAGAAGTAGCCTCAGAACTCGAGCTACTACTATCTCGTGACTCAGTCCCCGACTCAGTAACTGACTCAGACCCTTCTCTTATTTTCTCAGATCGTCCACAGCTACTATCACCATTCTTCTTCACAGTACTCTCCATCTTTTATGAAAAAACGGAAATTTTTTTGAAACCCAAAAGCTCAGATTCTTATAAGATTCACTAAAAACATTTTCTTAACTAAACCCAAAAGCTTAAACAGCTTGATTTTGAGGTGGGTCATGGTAGATTCAGGTTGCTATTAACAAACATGGCTTTTATAGGTGAAAGATAAGTTAGATATGGTTCCCTGTGTATTTCTATTCCATTTGTCTCTCTCCCTTCACTTGAAATTTGATTTTGAAGCACAAAACGGTAACTGCGAATGGGCACATGACAGGCTAACGTCTCTCTTTATTTTTCCTTTCCTCCTTAGTCTCTCTCCGTCTCTGTATCAATCGTCTGTGAGTAGAGAATACGTTTAAAATAATAATAAAATAATAAAGTCTCTGGGCGGACGGAAGTGTCGCTGCTCGTGAAAAAGTTACATTTTTACCCCGTATTTTTTGTATATTTATCCACACGCCATCCGAATAAGGACAAATTATTTTTCTTCTTTTTACTTTCAAATTTATATTAGTATATTTTTTTAACAAATTCAAAAGTTTTCCCCTTTTTTTTAAAAAAATCATGAAATTCCCTTAGATTTATAGGGTATGAAATCTATAGATTTTATAAATTTTATGAAAAATATATTAATTTTATCTTTTAAGTAGTTTAATTCCTATTTTGTTAATTTTAATTTATATCTCCTTCAACAAGCAATCTATGTTTGGTTTTGACATTCACAAAACATTTTAGTGATGTGTAAAACAATTTATTTGGTCCCCAAAAACAAATAGTTTGCCTTAAAAAATTATTATTTGATTAGAAGATGGCTTTGATGTTTGGACCCCAGCAATTAATTTTGGGGTTCAATGTATTTATTTTTAATTGCAATAATATAGCATGTGCACTTAATAAATCAACTTAAAAAAAATTATTAAAACATGTCATCAATGTTGACATTAAAAGATTTCCATAAATTATACATTTTTTTAACTTTAAAATTAAAGTTTTATAAACAATTAAAACAATATCTAAAAATAATTATTGAGCATATTTTTTTAAAGATTTTAAAGGAATATGAATGATAAATTTCTCCTCATTAGCAATTGCTCCAAATATACTAATTGGCTTAGCAATATTTATAATATATCAATTGAATTCCCACATTACACGGATAATTATAGAAATTTTAAAAAATTATTTCAATAAAATAGTTATTTTATTTTATTTTTTAATGTATTATAGTTAAAATTAAATATAAACTGAAATTAAACATAAATATATAAACATTTTCATTAAATATAAAATATTCCCATTTCATTATTGGGGACTTTGTTACCCTTCTTTTACTTTGAATTGTTCAAAAATATATATATACTTATTAATTTCATTTACTTATAATTCAATCAAAATAGAGAAAAGAAATGAAAATTTTAAAAATTTCTAAAAAGAAAAATAGAATACTAAATAAAAGGAAAGTCAAATTTTTAATTGTCTCTTTTTTCACTCTAACATAGATATATAGATATATACATGATATGTAAGTACAGGGATGAGAATATAATTAACATAATTAGTTTTTTAAAGTAACAATTACTGCAAATAAATATAAATTTTTCAAACTTTAAAAAATAACTTTAATGGTCCAATCAATTAATAAATATACAAAAATACAAAAAATTTTAAAAAATAAAATACTAAATACAAGAGGGACTCAATCGTTAATTTTACTTTTGATTTTACCAATATTGTCCTCTCACTTCTCGTTTAACGGATAACTAAGAGACTGATCACTTTTGAATCGGAGAGCAATTGTGTTTAAAGTTTTCCTCTCACTCCATGACCCCATCACGAGATTATTAGAATCGGATTAGTTCAATTGATTTTATATTTGGCCTTCACCATAAATTATGGAGATGTTTGTACTATTTATTGGTTATATATAACATTTATTTGTTCACCTATTAAACTTATATGTGAAAATGAAAATTTGATAAAGCAGGTGAGTTAGGTTGAAACTTTTTAGAAATGAATTTAACATGGGTTTAATATATATTTGGAGATATGACTTGCCCTTCATAATCAATATGTTGAACATGTTAATTATAGATTATTAAATTTTCTTAAAAAGAAGAAACATTTTAATTAAATTAATTATTTAACATAAAATATTAAAAGATTTGCGAACTACCAATTTTTTCCAATAACTTAAGTTTTTATTAGAGTTTAAATTTTAAATAATAATTTTGAAAATTCATTATTGTGATTATGACCGTGATATACTATCACCGTTCCATAATACTTGATACATTTGAGAGTTTATTTCAAAATACTTGTCACATTTGTGATTCAATGAGCAATAAGTTCATTTTTTTCATGTTTACTCTTTATGAATGACCAACAATTATTACTTCAATTGAATGATTATTTAGAAAATTAATATTAAATTAAGTGTAATATAGTCGATTTATTCAATAATTTATTATAATTTAAATAAATTTAATAATTTTTTAAAAAAATATTAAATTTCAAATGTAACAAAAATTACGGAACCGAAGTATTACAAAATTTCCAACAGAGTGCAACTACTATGGCCGCTAATAATGATCATACATTTATTGCTGTCGTTGGACGACCTTAATCTATACTAGGTGACAACTAGAAGTATCCACGGAATTGCAAAAATCTCTAACTTATTTTCAAGAATGTATCTAAATTTTTTGTTAAAAAAATTTAAATTTAATAGTATTGTCTTTAATATTATTCTAAATTTCAAAATTATATATTATCCTATCCAAACTAAAAATTAGAAGTTTTCAATTAGGATTTTATGCATCGAAATAACACTGTGGGCTACACAACAAAAAGTAGCCCCTCTTTGACTCACCAAATTGGTTGAAACATATGTGGTTGAGAGGATTCGAACTTAAGACCTCTAACTCTTTATATAAATGAAAAAAATCGACCAGACCACAGTTTAATCGGCTAATTCTCCCCTTTTTGACTAATAAGCCTCTTATTATAGTTTAATAATAGATAAATAATTAGAACCATTTGGTTTTATTTTCTTTTTTTAACTCAAATTTTTTCTATTAATGAATTTTATTTGGTTGCAATTAATAAATGTAGTAATTTTTTTGCCAAATAAATAACATAATAAATATATAAAAAAATCCAATTGATTTTTCTATCTGTATTTCATTTCATTCTATGTAATTGAATTTTGTCTCATCCTGAGCAATGAGACTAAGACAAGATAGAACTATAAAACTCTTATCTTTTTTATGTCACGAAAGTTTGAACAAAAGTGAAAAAATTATACTCCTTCCGTCTAAAAAATAATTCACTTTCTATTTTCACACAAAATAAAAAAAGTAATAATTATTATGACTAAATAACAATTTATGCATATAACTTTTCTATTATGTCCATCTTAAATAACACATGAGCAATTATTGTATTAAAATACTCCCTTTATGTTGTTTTTAGGCAATTATTTTGTTTCAGAATATAAATCATTTTGAATATTTTAAAGAATCATAAATGATATTTTTTCAATGTTACCCTTATTTAAATAATCTCTGTGTAACAATCTTAAACGATTTATACTTTGGGCTAGAAAGAGTAATAAGTAAAAATTAATGAGAGTTATTGAAAATAAGATAAAATTTAATAAGGGTATCTTAGATAATTTAAAGATTAATTATAATATAAAAAAAGAAAAATAGACTATATTTTAGGACAAGTCAAAAAAGAAAAATGAACTATTTTTTTGAAAAAAAAGGAGTATAATTTTCATCCCTTCTCGATCCATGCATACTTGATCCATGCATACTACTGATGCCAGAAAACCTAACTTTGTTTTCTTTTTCAATTGATCTGTCCAAACATATATTTAGAAGGGCAATCATTTTATGAAATCTTAATACGTATGCACTGTTCTAAATATTTCGTTATTTTGTTTTAATAAGGCCACCCCACATCATTTTTTTTTTCGATCTAATTAAATTGAAGCTAATCTTTTGTCCATTTTACATTTTTTACCGTATAATTTAACATTAAATTGAAAATCGAATCGATAAAAAATGGTTGGGAAGTAACTCTATCAAATCTGAATTGAGCTAATCTTCGAAAATAAAAAAAAAAAAAAAAAGATTGAAATTGTTGTCCGATCGTATCATATTGAATGAGGATGTGGAGTGGGGGTTAAACTACCCAATAACTGCTCCTATTATAGTAAATTTGCAAATGGATTTTGAATGGACGTACATAGATTTGCTTGGTGGCGTAGCCGTTGTAGGGATATAGGATTTGCTTTTTGATGTCTTTTTATGCATAGCATTGCACATTTTTCCTAATTTACTATTCTTATTCTCTAATCATCCCTACTTTAATGCCTTGAAAACTAAAACAAAACCCTTTCTCTTATAAAGAAAAGTATCCTTTGGCTTTGAGCATATGAAATTTTAGTTGGAGGATGCTATCTATGTTTATTTAATTGATTTTAAGTCCAATCAATTAATTTCTATAAATCGTATTCGAATCAAATAGTGACTTCGATTCAAATCTATTAACTCGACAAATTAAACTTTCTTAAATAGATTGACTGAGCCGAACCGAAATAGATCGATTCGGTCTATGGTGTTGCACACCCCTCCAAATATACATCTAAACATGTAGCTAGTGCATGTGTTAAATGTTAATGAAGGAGCTTCCAATACACATATAACCTTTTTTTTTTTTCTCCATTTTACTTATGAGTAAATCCTTCCATTCTACTTTCCAACGGCAAAAGACCCACCAACGGCTACTTATAAAAATTCTCTCTAGAGAGAAAAGATTATTAAAGAAACAAAAAGACTTTGCTTTATGGCAGCATGTGATATACCTAAAGCAGCAAGCAACACCCATTGACTTTTGATATAACTTACAACTTACAAGCATGCTCCTTTTACATATCCCGCCTTTCCAATTCAACCTTACAACTAATATATATTAATATTTTTACTGCCATTATTGAATAATATAAAAAATTTGAAGGGTTAAATGTTTTTATAATTCAGAGACAAAAGCATAGAAAAGTTTTTGAAAGTTTATATTATTTTTTATACTTGCCATTAATTGAATAATATAAAAAATTTGAGGGTTAAATGTTTTTTAATAATTCAGAGACAAAGCATAGAAAAGTTTTGTGAAAGTTTTATATATATATATATATAATATTAATATATATATATATATTATTATATACAAAAAGGAGAGAGAAGAGAGGGAGGAGATTAATATATACAAAAAGGAGAGAGAGAGAGGGAGGAGAAGAAGAAGAAATGATAAATAAAATGAAGGAAATAGGCCTAATGCATGCTCGTGAATTTTTTTCGAAAATATTTTTTACATTTCTAAATATTTATTAAAATTGAAAAAATTTTGAGTTCGAGCCCTTTTATTATAAGAGTTTTCACAGATTCAATGAGTCAAGGAAAACATTATCCCTTATTATATAAATTCATCGTGATATTTTGACTGAATGAGTCTCTTTATAAATAAAAAAATTATTACAAAATTATTTAGTGGGACACTTAATCTGAATCCAATAAATCGGTCTGAATTCTCCAATTGTGAATAAAAAAAATTACATTATCTCTAATTTTTTATTTTTATAATCATTTAACGTGATTGAAATAGGTTGGCAATAGGAAAAAAAAAAAAAAAACTAGGACTCCATTTATCCAAAATTTAATAATTGAAATCAATTAATGTTCATTGTATGGAAATAAAAATAACCATAGAATTTATTAAGAAAAATAAATAATATTGAAAATTTTTTGGATAATATAAAGAGATGTGGGTGTAAAATAGAGATTTTAATAAAAATTCAATGATGTGCTAAATATTTGAAAAAAAAAGAAAAAAAGAAAAATACAAAGTGATAATTCATAATAAAAAGTTGTGGGTAATATACATTCTTTCTCGTGCAATTCTTTCCTTACCTGCTAAAAGGGCTTAAGGCCCTACTTCAACTGCTTTCTGTATGTTCACTGCTTTTGGGTCATCTTCTTATTCTTGAATTAAACTGTTTAACAATTTCTTTTCTATTTGTTAAAATAAATTAATTGTTTTTTAAGATACTTTGTCAAACAATAATTATTAATTAAGGTTATGAATTTAGAATTATTAATTCATTCAGTAACTTAAGATTTAAAAATTGGTACAATTTTAGTAATCAAATTTTACAAACAAGAATAGCATATTTACGGAACTCTAATTAACAAGACATAAAACACTTAAAATCAAATTATATTGTAATTTTATAATAAGTAATAATCTCGCGGCCGAAAAAGAATATGGAAACATTCGTGAAAAATTCAAAAATAAAAAAGAATCCCGGCCAGACTAATAAAGAAAATTGATGGTTTTTTCTTTTTATTTTAATTTAAATCACTTATCAGATCGTACGTGTAGACTATAGCTTTATGTAAAGAAAATTGATGATTAAAAATACCTCTTCTTTCGTATGTACTTGAGGTTCAAACTGCCTAATGTTTTTGATTTTGAATTTGAATTTGAGCATACAGAACGTACAAATATTAAATAGAGATTGGAAGTATTTGGTATAAATACAAAGAGAGAGTACAGATTTGCTATGGTCATAATTACTGCTTGTTGTCACTTTGTTTCGTGTTAATGTAATCTCAGGTCGCTGCTCAGTTCTGTATTCTCCCGCTAGCTTCTGAACCATGCCGTGATGGACCACTCTCCCCAATCTTTTCTGTGCAACAAAAACCAAATGCATAAATTTATGCTAACTTATTAAATATTCAATACGTAAAACTATATATTATTAAATAATTTAATTTATAAAATTACATATATTAAATTCTTCAGATTATAAAATTATTATTGAATACTTATTGAATGATTAAAAAAAAATATGAAAATTATTCTTCAATAATTTGCATCGACATATAAAGTATTAGCTTATTATACATCTATTTAGTGATTGAAAATTATTTAAATAACATTTACAGGTTAAAAAGTTACAATAGTTATTTATTTTTGATTCTATGACCTTCGGTATCCGAAAGTCCACTGGACTCCAACTATATCCAGCTTGAGTACTGGAACACCCATACAGAGAGCTACTCTCTCGGCATGACAGTTTCCTTCTCAAAAGTTAAAATGTTTAATGATATAATTTTAACAGTTAAAAGTTAAATTAGGCAATTTAAAAATTAATGGTGCCATTAAATCTTTGTTATAAGTTTGGGATCAACTTATGTATTAAATCATACTAGAAATGAGTCTTTACTTGGCTACTTGAATGTGATGGCAAGCCTAATTTCTTCACCTCTCTCTTGCATTTTTTTTTTCCCCTCTTGTATGTGGAAAAAGTTACATGATTTTAATTCTTAATTTTATAGTATAAGATAAATATTTAATTATTAAATGTAGCTATTATAAATTAAATAATAAATAAGAACTAATAAATTTTTTGTCTAAACTAAATTATATTTTGAATAGTTTAAATAAACATTAATGGTAAAAAGATGTAATTTCTACGTGTTGATTTGAAACCTTTTATTTTTCCTATAATTTTGATGCAAATATTATAAGTAATAAGTTATTAATTAATATATTGATTTTTAGAATATTTATATTGGTACTCAGCTTAACTTTAAATTAATTTTTAAAAAAAGCTTAATGTAATTGAGATTAAAATTTAATATTTCAGTATTCTAAAAATTACTTGTATTTAACTCCTTTTAGATTAAAATATAATACTATTTACGTTTCATTTTATTTGTATGGTTTTACAAAATACGTATATTAAAAATTTAGTCAATAAAAATTAATTTTCTTTTTTTACCCTTAACTTATTAAGATATTAATAAAAGTCATTTATTTAATGAATAATCATAAAGGCTAATTATTTAAATATATAAATTTATAAACCATAAAAGTCATTTATTTAATGAATAATCATAAAGGCTAATTATTTAAATATATAAATTTATAAACCTTGTAAATATTTTGAGATATTCTAAAAAATAATAACAAGCAAACAAAATATGATGGAGTGCGTACTTCAGTATTCTGAAAATGACTAATATTCATTTCACTCCTTTATATTTTCATTGATTGTTTTTTGAATTTTTCACAAATATTCTATATATTCTTTTTCGGGGGTTCTTTCATAGTATGAAATTAATATTATTTTTGGATTCATAACTAGCTGCTTCTCTCATAAATTTTCTTCGAAGATTTTTTATTTAATATAAATTTTTTATTTATAGAGAAACTAATTTATACGGCTGTGCAAAATAGTGCAAAATAATATATATATACTATATATATATATTATATTATTTTTATTATTTTTAAGAATTGAAATAACATTATATGAATAATATGGCAAGCAGAAATATACATCTTTTTATTAAAAAAAAAAAAAGGACTTGCGATCTACCTGGGTGAAATTAATGTCACCATTTTGAATGTTAAAAACCTAAATAGAATGAAAAAATGGGAAAAAAAATAAAAATCCAATCAAATATGTTCATAAGAAATACACACAATCTATAAAATGGAACAATTCAGTCCTATCATATTATTGATGAAGAGCATTAAGAAATTCTATTAGGTTAGCATTTTTAAAAAATAACTTATGTATCATTTAATTTTTAGCTTTTCATTAAAAGCTATTTAAACAGCTAACAACTAAATATTATTAAAACAGTTACTAAAATAGCTAATTTTACAGAATAGACCATTTGAAAAATCGGGAGAAAGGTACTTTTTGTCCAAGAATGCTAAATTGCTGTTATCGTTATTAATTGATTAGTAACTAATAATATTATTAATATAGTTAAATATAGAAAAAAAGAAATTTAAGAGTTCTAATATTCCATATATTATTATCTCTTTTATTACTTTAAAATAATATTAATGATATTCCATCAATTGTTAGAATAAAGAAAATAATCTTCAAAAAAAAAAAAAATGAAAATGAAGAGCTTTACTTCTCAAAAAATTATTCATAATATTCTTGATTTTATTAATCCATTGAAAAGAAAAAATCGAAAAACATACTATTAAGAATAAAAAAGTTAATAGGGACAAAAAAGTTAAGTGAGTGTAATTTTTGTTTATATATATAATCAGCGGTATAATCTCTCTATATATATGGCTCGGGTTTTTTAATATTTATATTTATTATGCAACATTATATTTATAATCGCCACCGTGTCAAGGTATGACAGGTCGGAGAGGATCGAATTTGGATAAAATGAAAAAAAAATTTAAAAATAATAGAAACTATAGGCTTACTAAAAAAATAAAAATGACAATCTATCTAGCAAGTTTTTTTTTTTTTTTTTAATTTTTAAAATGGAGTAGATTTTATCTGTCCATTCGAACGAATACGCAACGGAATGGATAAAATTGCTATCCTTAGAATAAATCACTGATATCATTAATTAATTAATTAATGATAGAAATAATATTAATTAAAATCTGTTAATATCTAAATTGAATTAAAATAATTAAAAATTAGAAAAAATTGTTACGACGCCACCTGGCATTCTGTAAAATGATGAAAGAGTTAGATATACATATATAAAAAACATTGACCTAGACAATTTAGAAGGTTGGTGCATTTAAACCCGAAAAAGCCGGTGAATCAGAGTACTAAAAGCCCAAAATATTAAGCACCACCGCAGACCAGCCATTTGACAGCTAACTACAAGCAACCCAAGCAGCCAAGAATGACCCAATAGCCTCTTCACATGATCCAATAACACAACTCTTCAATTATTGATATTAATTCTTTTTTCAAAAAAGTATAAATAAGAATTTCAAGAAAGTTCCTTTGATAGAGGCAGAGGAATTAACAGCTGAATCTACCCTTCTATTTACCATACAGCTTAACAACTTCAAACATTTTTTTCTTCCAAAGGTATTCTTTTTCTCTTCTTTTATCAATAAGGTTGTATCTATATATGTATATGTTTGTTTGGGTATGTGTATTATTTTCAAAGAACTATTCTTTTTTCTGTTGTGCACAAGTAATTTGTCTACTTTCATTTTTTAACATGATTTAGCTGAGTTATATCAGCTTGATGCATAGAGTTTGTTGGATAATGATATGAACTCTTAAGTTATGGTTTCCTCTCTAGGACCTTTATAAGATTAGTTCATTTGGGATTTTATCAATTAAGGAATTCATTTTAGATTAGCCTTTGAGCTTCTATATATGATTGAATTAGGAGTTATTTATCTTTTTGAATCATCGTTATCTTGAATTCTTTGGGCGACATAATCACTTGGATGATGAGCTGGAACTCCTTCATCAATCAGCATTTAGCTTTATTTCATGTAAGAAAAGACATAACATATGCTTTAATTTTGATTTAAAACTGTGTACTTGTAAAAATATCGAATTTTCATAGAAACCCTTTTCATGATTTGGTGATTAAAGAAGTATGGAATAGCCAATTTGGTGCAAGTAGAAGACGTTTCTGTCTTGGAGCGCTCAAACTCATGCTATGTACAAACATGGTTGTAAGCTGAATCAAGCTTTTGTACTTGTTGAGACCTTAATTATGCTTTATCACACATTTAAATGTGCATTTTAGTTTTGTTTATTGAGCCTGGAGGACTTGGAATCTTTGCCTGCCTTTTTCCCTTTTTCGCCCCCTTTGTTACTGCTGGAAATTTTATTCATTGTGAACTGAATCTGCAACAGGTTGGAATCTTTGTATTCGGGAAACACTTGGACTACAAGATAAAGCTGACTCAGCAATTTTTTTTTCCTGACCAGACAGGAGCTATGTTTGAGTTTTAGCAGTGTTATTGAATTCTAATCTTAATTTGGTCGCTGATGTGGCCTTTGTATTGTCTGCTAAGCAAGATTTTTAATGTGGAAGAAGCAGAAAAAAACTTAAATGGTTCAGATGAAAATCATGTCAAAGCTGGAGAATGTCACCTAATTGAGCCATCATCGAGTGGCAGAAAATTCCAAGATGCTGTGCCATGCTGTTCACGTTTTGTTGAAGTAAGGGACTGTGATTTTGTCCTCTTCTTTTTAAAGTTGGAAAAATGGTTGTGAAATGGGAAATCTGATTTTAAAAGCGCCCCCCCCCCCCCCCCCCCGGTTTCACGTTTTGTTGAAAGTAAGGGACTGTGATTTTTTCTCTTCTTTTAAAGTTGAAAAAAATGGTTTTGTGAAATGGGAAATTCTGATTTTAAAAGCGCCCCCCCCCCCCCCCCTTCTTTCTCTCATTTTGGTGCCCCCCCCCCCCCCTCTTTCTCTCTAATTTTGGTGTCTGGCTCCATTTCTGCTGGTGGATATTTTATCTTCAGTAAGCTCTTCCTTGGCATTTTCTTTTTCATGAGTTTGAGTCCATAAGTTTCCTTGATCATGCAGGTTCCACACATAAGCCAGATGCATTCTTGGGATTGTGGTCTTGCTTGTGTTCTAATGGTGTTGAATACTATTGGCATCAACAATTGCAGCATTCAGGCATTGGCAGAATTATGCTGCACAACTAGGTGTGTTATTCTTTCCAAAACCAGAATTTTATTTCTTTTGTTTACAGAGGTAAATTTCAGAGCTTTGCTAATAGAGCTTACTTATGTAAAATACTTGAGGTTTTATGATACTTACCCTTTGTCACTTGACCAATTGTCATAAAGATTGTGTTTGGTGCTTACAGCCTATTGCGTCTGAGCATTCAGATCTTGTTCTGCTGCAATTAAGTAATAGGAGTGTTAAAGTCAAACTATACTATGTTGTACATATCCTGTGGATACAGCATAAGTTATTTTGAGGAATGAGGGGAACAACCTTTTACGTCTTATGTTTATAACAATTGAAATGAGTGTGATGTAGTGTGATATAAATAGGTGCAAATTATGGGATTTAGGTTTTGTCTATGTATTTTTTCATTTCTTGGTGTTATTACAAGAAATAGGGGATTACCTCTTATTTTCTTTCACAATATTGGTACAATGTTTGGTTAAAGTAATTTTTGGAGATAGTATTTGAAAAGCAATGCTTACGTCATTTCTTGTGTGATTCATTGTATGGTAGCTTGAAACTGTGAATTTATTGTACTTGTAAGATTTGTGCAGTAGATTGCAGTAATATAAACCATCATTTTTAACCATTTATTTTACCTCACAGAAAACATATGGCAAGTGTAGTCTGAATTTTTCCTCTTCTTCAACAGAAAATTTGGATTCCTCTATCCTTCCTTTAGAGTTTAGGTAGTTATAGTTTGAAATCACTTGACCACATCTATGGTTGGCTGGCTGCTTTTGGGCAGTAATTTTTGCAATATGAAACTCTCTCTTATTTCTGTCTTTGAGTTCTCAACAAAGTATTAGATCAAGAGAGATACCAGTACAAAGTAATTTATTTATTTTTGTTATCATATGGATGTTGAGTGCTGCCTTCAGGTATATACCAAATAAATTAATAAATTAATTGTTATCCTAGAGATGATGTGAACTGTATCTATATGTCATGGATCTTATTGGCATCTTCTTTGCAGCATTTGGACTGTTGATCTGGCATATTTATTGCAGAAGTTTTCTGTTAGGTTTTCCTACTTCACAGTAACAATTGGAGCTAATCCAAATTATTCTGCTGAGACATTTTACAAGGTCATACTCTGTTGTATTTATATACTTAATTTTGTTTCTTTCCCCCCTTACATCTTGGCCATTAGCAATGTTATATATTATATTTGATTGCAAGTTTATCAGACATCATCTTGTTGAAAGATGTTCATTTCTATAAAGATATGAGATAAGTGATTGATGCTGTGTCATTGCTGTTTACAGATTATCTTACTACTAATTATAAGGCACCTTGCTACTGCACAATTTATATGTTGCACCAGTTCTTTGGTGTTGTCTGTCAGCATGCTATAATGCACACAAATACGTCTCAGTGTCACATTCTGTGGCAGTAGATGAAATTCAGAAAAAGAAATTAGAATTTGTCCATTTCGTTTAGATTCTATTCATCCCTAATGTGTATGTGTTTTCATTTATGGAATTTTCATAGTGCATACCTTTTTTTTTTTTTTGTGATAATCTATTAATCCCTTGTTTCATTATAATAATGACAACGGTCTAATTTTGTGCAGGAGCAACTGCCTACGGATCTAGTGAGAGTGGACATGCTCTTTCAAAAAGCTCGGGAGGAAGGAATTAATATACAGGTAGATGCATTATAGTAGTAATGGTTTTCCATTTCTAAAATGCAATTGCAAGAATTTCACCTTCAGAAAAAAAAAAAAAAAAAAAAAAAAAAAAAAAAAAATAAAATGCAATTGCAAAGAATTTCACCTTCAAGAAAAAAAAAAAAAAAAAAAAAAAAAAAAAAAAAAAAAAGAATCGATGCTGATGGATACCCTATAAATAGGGGGTTTTGGCATCAAATGCATAGAAGTGAAATGAAAAAAAAAAAAAAAAAAAAAAAAAAAAAAAAAGAATCGATGCTGATGGATACCCTATAATAGGGGGTTTTGCATCAATGCAATAGAAGTGAATGAAATTTCTTTCCGTGTTTCTCATTGCAATCTTTGGGATCACTTGGACCTTATTTTTGTACTCTCAGTATGGTCACTAAAACAGTAGACCTGCATAGACCTTCTGGCGGATCTGTCAGGAAAACAAATATTATTGTGGTCAAAATTGATTTGTATTCTTGGTTGTACCTGTGTATATTTGGATCGTGAGCCTTTTCCCCTTTACAGTGCAGGTCGATTGACGAAAAAGAAATTTCTCGATTGATTTTGTCGGGGAAATTTATTGTGATTGCTTTGGTTGACCAGTACAAATTGAGGTATAATCTTCTGTAGTACCTTCTGAATTTCTTACCAGGTCTACTTCATCTTAAAACTCACACTATAATGCTTGTGCATTCCCTTTTCTCTTCATCTTGTTTGCACCTATATTGATTCCTCAATTTGGGAACTGTGCTATTTATCAGGTGGCTTACACTAAAGGCCTAACTTATTTTGTAAGTAACTAACCTTTTGCATTGCAACCATAGCAATTAACAGTTCATGGTAAAATTATATGTCAGCCGGACTTGGGTGAATGATGTTATTTTATCAAGCTTGAATGACAGCAACTCAAGCTACACTGGTGAGTGGCAATGATTTTTTTTTTCTTGTGTATTCTTTCCCTGTGATAAAATATGAAATAGACTAGCAGTTGTGGTAGTACTCTATAATGAAACAAAGATGGTCTGAGACTCACAGATCTTGTCAAATGCGTGATGATGTGATTTTTACATGGCTTTGCAATTTTTACTTTCAATATTACATTATATAGGGTGTGCTAAGGCTGATTTAGCTCATTCAAGTCATTTTTGAGATTGCTATTACGTTTTTTGTTCCTAAAGCAATTTAGCATTGGTTTTCGTACTAATCCTGAATTTTCAATGCCTCTCAATCTGCAAATTTTATGATTATGATTGAGTTTATAACAGATGGATCGCTATGAAATACAGACTATATTGGGATTTTTTACTTTCTGAATATTCATTCATGCACGTCCTATTTGATCACTTATCACAATTTTCCTGAAAAGAAAAATGTTGGGAGGCTTCTTCTTTGTGTTTTCTTTACACGTGACAATTTGGTTAGGCAAGGATCTTTTGGTTTCCCAGGTCATTATGTCGTAATATGCGGTTATGATGCTGGTGCAGATGAATTTGAGATTCGAGATCCTGCCAGTTCTAGGTATTGTCTTTATTTCCTTTTTATATTTCTAATGAACTCTCTGGTCCTGTATCTCCTCATATATAGGAAACTTTTGTGGGGTCAGAAACATTCGTTTTGTCCATTATTTTCATTTCATCTAGATCATGATCCATACAAACTCGTTGGAATTACTTGCCAATTGGGAATACTTCACAATGTGTTTTCCAACCTGCTAGTGTTGGCATATCAGAAAACTGTCACTCAGACCAGGATACAATATGTGTATTTTCCGAACTTGCCATAAATGACCCCAAAGTTTCAAAAGTGTCATACTCGTGTTCAGGTATGCCATAAATTGTTTCTTGGATAAGGGGTCAAAATTGTTGTGATCATGCAAGAATAATAAATATTTGCTCCAAAATTCAGTAGAGTACTGTGACGAGGGAATTTTGTTGATGATCCACAAACCATGATGCAAGTTTAAGATTCACCTTGCTGTGACTGCACTCAATTCCCTTTGAAATCCATCTCTTAAGGTTCACCTTAAGCCACTTTTGGTGTTTGGTTTAGTTTCTTAATTGTCAATAGAAGGAAACAAGCTGTGTCATGGACTTCCTTGTCAATAAAAAGTAGACCACGCTATTAGAAATCTACGAAAATGCTACACTAATCACAATTCGCTTATTCAGTATCCAACTTTTTATTTAATGCTATCAACTCTGATTGCTGTCAGCTCAGTGGTGGATCCAATGACTATTTGCTCATTCTATTAAATAGTAAATGGACTGACTTTCGGACATGGCTTAAAAATTTTGCATTTTTATTACATGTTTTGGAAATGTTTCCTTTTGGCGATCGAACTTTATAGGCTAGCAAATTTTTGATTTACAAATTAAGTTTTTACCTTGTAGTAGAAGAATGAATTTGTGGGAAAAACTGCAGGAAAAGTATGAGGATATCATCGAAATGTCTAGAAGAAGCACGCAAATCCTTTGGTACTGATGAAGATCTTCTCCTGGTAAGCTAATCCATTAAATTTTTGCTTGCATTGTGTATTGTATCAGAATATGCCAACCTTTTCGAGAGATGGGGTAATTACCTAATCATTAAAGCAATCGCCGTGGCAATTGACATTCTTGCCCTTAGCTTTTCTGCATGAAGTGGACATAATCAAGCCAACATCCCATTTCTTCTTTGATTGCATGCCAGAAAAATATTTTAATTCTTTAATATGGTCATGAAACTTCAAGTTGACAGAGCGCACCCGCCACAAAAACTAGGATGTGTGTATGAGGTGAATTGAGCCTTTTAAGACTTCTATAATTCTCCATTTCTCCTTCATTTCCACCAATACCTCAGCTTAATGACGCTATTAATTGCTAAACACATTTCAAAAAGTTAAACTCGACATTGATTTATGTAAATTTGCATTCATCATCTGATTTGTTGGAGTTAAATATAGAGACACTAGTCAGAGGAATGGGATGAAATAACTTCTTGCCTTAATTACTACCCATCATCAGCTCTTCAAACTCTGACCTTCTCGTTTCAATGCATTTACGCAGATATCTCTGGAGAAGAGATGAACAGAACAGCTTCTTAGTGCAGCTTTCTCCGTATGACAATGTTTCTCTCTAACACTATACCACAATCTAGCAAAGCTGGTTAGCTGCGTGATTCTTTTGCATACTTCATTATAATTGTGCAGAATATGTGTGTTAAGGTATTGACAGTCTGGTTTCAATGGCACGTATTTGCTAGTAAATAGTTTTCTAAGCATGTACATTTTGTATATTATGAATATTATGTAACAAAGTTCAAATTTATTAATGTCAAATCATCATATTGTGGTTTGCTCTATTAGATGCTGTGGTGTTGTTCATTTCGCTTCTTTGTCGATGCATTTTTTACATTCCATAACTTTTTCTTTGTTTTGTACAGACGAGATTGAAGCAAAATAAGTATTGAAAGGATGTCTTTAGTTTACTATAAGACATCGACTTCTGTTTTTAGCTCAGTGGAAATAAATTGTTTTTCCCAAGTATTCTTTTAAATAGAAATAGTGAAGGAAGTAATTAGAAAGATTATTAAATCTCACTCGTCTAGAGGCAGACATTCAACTATTCAGCCATTAGCCGGGGTCTGTGTGGGTCCGGAGTATATGAACAGGTCTATTTCTTGGCAACAGGGATTACAAATCTGCAGTTTCTGAATTCTCAAAAAGTTGAAATGGGCAGTGGCCATGCGAACTTAATGCCTAGGACAAGTTTCAATTCAGTTCATGAATTTCCTTTGAGATGTTAAATGTAGGTTGTAAATGGTCAAAGCCCAGATTAGAAACTGGAAGCAATTTTGGTGGGGACTTGAACTGTGAAATGCATGAATGTCTTAAATTTATGGGGTTGATAGTAGCAAGTAACAACAACTCTGTGAGCTCGTGAAAGGCTTAAATGCTTCATTTGCACATTTCTGCAACTGGCAAGTTATGGTTCAGACTCTTAAGAGCTGCACGTGTCCTCTACTCTGGAGGTCTTTTAGTTGTTTGAAACTTGAAAGCATAAACATTATCATGGGACCGTTCGGCTAATTCCAACTTTTTACCGTGAATGTGTTGTGCAGTAACTTTTTCCATAGTCAAAATGTTCCTTTTTTTTTTTTTTTTTTTTATTCCAACTTTTTACCCTGAATGTGTTGTGCAGTAACTTTTACATAGTCAAAATGGTTTCCTTTTTTTTTTTTTTTTTTTTTTTATAGTATCTTTTTTTTTTTTTTTTTTTTTATAGTATCAGTAACACAGTGTTTGAATTATATTTTAGAAGGTAAGGTATGTTTTTTTATAAACGTTACTAAAATGTTAAACGTTGCTAACACAGTTAAAAGCTATTAGAACAATTAATTTTACCGAATATGTCCTATAAATGTTTTCTTTAACTCAAAAATCCAATGTTTTATTATATTACATTTCTAAGTGAACTTTACCTGTGGTTGAAAAAGTTTTACTTGAATACTATTATTAACCGGACCCGAATATGAAAAACACATGCAAAACGGAAAATAACAAGATTAAAGATTCATGGACTCTCGATCTTATATACAAAATCGATCTTATCAGACAGTGAGTGACAGAATGTTCTTCACAAGAAATTAGTGAAGAGGCTAATGGTGGTGACATGGCAAAGACATGGAAGAGGGAATCAAGTCAAAAGAGAAGCAAAAGTAGTGGAAGGCAAGTTCCAAGAACCTCCTTAAACAAGGCATTTTTATTTTTATATATCCGACACACTAACTTCTTTTTCTCATACAATGTCTCTCCATACACACATCCCATACCTTGTTCTTAGGATGAATGAATCATACCTTTGTAATTGCATCATTATTTGTCTCCATCTTGATTTTCCTTCTTATTACATCATTTTTTCTAGCAGCTTCTTCCTTCACAATCACAATAAAATTTTATTTTTCTAGTTTTTAATATGGATTTAATTGAAGCTAGAGGTTTTCTTATATAATAATATAAAGCAGGAAATGATTCTTTTTGCTATTATATTGACATGAAAGGAACAATCTTTAATATCGAAAGCGTTTCTTTTTAGGTCACTTTTATATGGAGCATTAATCTAGAAATCTCAAGTAGCCATATAACTATGTTCAGTGAGGAAGTCAAAAAATTTCTGTGAAAGGGTAATTATTGGTATTAAAATTATTATTTTTTAAATAACATAAAAGTAAGCTCATTGTTAAAATTGTTATTAAAAAATTATTGCCATTAGTATCGATTCATATTCTGAGTTTGTTAACTATCGGTCACATAATAGTTTGCTAAATAAGTTATAATTTTTCAATAAAAATAAAAAAAAATTAAAAATTATTCTGCCGTATAATTCACAATATTATTTCAGTTAACCATATATATATATATATATAAAAGAGTGGAGATCCATGTTCCTATAATGCGGATAACGACAATACAACAAAATATTTGTATGTAAAATATTTGTATGTATATATATATAGTATTATATACTATTATATATATAAGTATATATAATAATAAAATCAACATGATGCATGATTTGGAAGCATATATAAAATCACATGATGCATGATTTGGAAGCACATAACTGAATGTTACAAAAGGATGAGACATTGAGGTACAATTCTCTCATATTATGCAATTTTGTCTGATTTTTAAGATTTAGGGCTACATGCAATGTAGGTTAGGTTTCTCTCTTATTTGTATTTTGTACACTTTTGTTCTTTGTTTCCCTCAAATGGGGAAATTTTCTATTGATCATGCGTGTTCTTTGTGTATGGTCCAAAATCAAATTAGGGTTCAGATCACATGTCACTAATGTAATTTTAGATTTGTTAATCACATGGGATAACTAAATAGGATTAATTGTTGGATGTTTTGTAGTTAGCTTAAGTAAAACAAATTTTATGGCTTCATTATGGTGATGCTACCTACATAGCATGCGTATTCTAATAATTTTATAAACGTAAATATGCATGTAATAGTAAGGTTTTTATATCTGATCTATTTGAGTATTTATAATTTTTTATTATTAATAAATTATATTATCAAAAAAAAATTGTATTCTTGTAGGTATAAAATGCCATGCTAACATGCTAATATGAGTGATATAATGAGCAAAGCATGAAATTATCCTTAAGATACAATCTTAAACCCTAAGTATCAACTCTTATCCTTCTCAAAAGAAAAAAAATTGTCAAAAAAAGAAGCACTTGTCTCAAAATATTGACCATTGACTACCTCATTTAGGACCATTGGTCTCATGTGACCCTCTTGTAGAGGTAGTCTAAACTACACATATCTCAAATCTAAAATCCAATGGTATCCTATGCATGTGTTAGTGTGGGGCCTTCAATCAATCTTCCCAAAAAATTTCAAATTTGATGGCAAAATCTCAAAGGCAAAATTGTTGCTAAGGTAAGAGGTCGTATAAGATCACTTGTCCTTCCTTTGAACATGTAAATCAATCAAATAAAACCAACCAGGATTGGATTTGACATTACATGATGAATACACGTTGGATAAGTTTTTCTCTTTTTTTAATATTATTATATTGTACATGTTGTATGAATTTAAGCTTGAAAAAAAATACAATAATTTAATTAATATAACACATATTTAGATTAAAATTTGTAACACACCCTATAAACGAGTTTAGTCATAACTGAAGAGTTGCGATTTGAAATGAATTTTTTTTTTTTTTAATAATGTGGTTTTTTTTTTCTTTTTTACTCTTAAAACTACAAATTCATAGTTTAAGTTTTGCCAAATTAATAAGAAAACATAAATATATTAATTATTTTGAGAAAAATAAATTCAATATGATTAATAAAAAAACTGAATCTAAACCTACGGATTATATTTAGTTGACAACACAAGCTGGACATGTGAGAAGAGTTTTCGGGTTCAATCTCCATTAAATACAATTGCAGGAAGGAGCGAAAATTTTTAACTGTAAATAAGCCCCGAACCGAATTATGCAGTTCTAGTAATAGAGTTCGAATACCGGCACTTTCCAAAAAATAATTGCGTCTAAAGATTAAATTGTTTATATGTGTCCTATAAATCAAAAGTAGACCTAGGAAGCGGAGAAAAGAAAAGAAAAGAAAAGTGAATTGGTTGGGTAATGGAAGGTGACCTAACCAAATTTTTGGCAGTGTAGAAATGTGCAATGGAAAGTAACTTGAGACCTACCCAATTTTCATGTGATGTCCCAATCACTTTCGATTTGCCCCCTCCCTTGTAACATGAGCAAGTCTTAGGAAATTTAACTTAAATTGTAAAATGTTTTATCTTAAGATTTATATTTAAAAAAAAATATAAATTACAATTTGTAAAATTATAAAATTTCATTGCATTTAGATTTTAAATGTTATATATATAGAAATATTTTAATTATATTTTTGGGTTAAATTGTTAGCATTAAGGTTATGTTTTATTAATTTATCAGAATATACTAGTTTTAAAGAAATATGAAAATAATATTTGAGTTTCTTTTAATTGCATTCTCCAAAGAATAGACCTCATAATGTAGAAACATAGTTGATTAAGCAATTATACTACATAAAAGTTTAAAATGGAACATTTCCACGAGAGATATTAACTCTTAATTTATTATATTATAATTCATAATAGTTTTAAAAAATAATTATATAATAAAATAAAATTTTGATCTCTAAATTAATAAATTAATTATATTTGTTTATAAAGGATAAATTCATTTATCAAAAAATAGGGGTGTATTCGATGAAATAAAACTAAAATTACAATATCCCGAAAAAATATAAAACCATACAAAATTATCAAATCCTTTAATCATAAGTCTGTCTGGTTTTCTGAATATAAGTTTTTTCTATCGATAATTAAATCTGACTTTCAAAATATTCTTTGTTGGATTCTTTAAAAATAAAACAGTGTCAACGTTGATAGAAAAGATTTAATAAATTTGATATCATAACATAACATATGAATCAAGTGGGGTTTAGGTATATTAAAGGAGCTTAAAATAATCACTCATAAAATGAAATTGAGTTTGAAGATCGTACAAATGGAAAGCTTTGGTATGGAAACCTGTTCCACTCAGATTATTAGTACAAAAAAAAAAATATATATGGAGGTAGGAAACTGTTCGCACTCAGATTTATTAGTACAAAAAAAAAAATAATATATATATTATATATATATATATATATATATATTTGATTAATTAATATTTTGAAGTTGACCCTTAGGAAATCAAGTAATGGGTAGTAGCGCAACGTGGATTTCAATTAAATTATATATATTGATTAAATTAATATTTTGAAGTTGACCTTAGGAAATCAAGTAT